ATGCTTTTTCTAAAATAGTAAAGTGTTGATTTTCTTCCTTATTAGATATGATTAGTTTATAAGCGATATATAAGTAATATAAAAATACGAAAATTAAGTTACTAGTTAAGCTTATAATCTAAGCTTACTACTAGCTTAGATAGAGGATAGGGCCTATAATTAAAAAAGTTTTTTAATATTACTAGTACTAGTAGTATAATGCCTATATAAGAGATTTACTTATTAGGACCATATTGAAGAGAGCTACTAGATATAAGGATATTATAAAGTCTATACCTATAATATATATCCTAGTCTAAATCGTCTCTAGACCAACCCTATCTTACTTAAGAAGAAGCTTAGTTTATATTATAGCGCTACAATAATACTAATAGTGTAAAAACCTCTATAGATCTCCTTCGTCGTTAAGTAGTAAACTAAGAGCTTCTTTATACATAAATAACGACCATGCTACCTAGTAATTAAAGAGAATTAATTAATTTTTTCGATAGTCTTGACAAAGGACAAAGAAACAAGCAATAACGTAAGTTTATTGGTTGAGAGATAGACGGGGAAGGAGAGAAGCTCCGAACCCTTTGAGGACTATCTAACTACTCTCAGGACCATACAGGGTCACGTGACCTCGACAGATAGCCTCCTAAAGTCGTATTATTTAATATATTATTAGATATAATAGAGAGAACCCGACTATAAATATCGTACTTTTTCAAAAAGCCTAATAAGTATATTACTTAGATTTAGCCCTAAATAATGTCTATTAAGCGGTTTAAATCTAAGAAGGATTTCGCGGTAGTTCTAGTCCTAATTAATAAAATAGCTTATAATTACTATAAAGGCCTTCCTTCTTCTAAAAGGGCGAAGTCTAGTAGGTAAGTGCGATAGAGAGCTTTATATTTCGGGGGAGGGTATAGATAATTATATAATACTCTTTTATCAATAACGTATTTCCCTACCGAGTGGGCCACCTACACCGGTCTATTCATTTTAAATGCATTTATCTCAACCAAAACGCCATTAAATTCAATAAGCTAAACTCGAGGTCTATTAGGACATATAGTCATTCTATGACCCTGAAGTTCATATACACTACACTTCGTTTTTGCCCTCGTACGCGGCTGAGAAGGTGCCGGAGCTAGCCCTACCTCACGGGATCCTTCTGCTAAAACTGCTTGCTCTGGCTGTGCTATTAAGGCAGAGGCCTCTAAAACTAAGAAGCCTTCTTCGGAAGGTATTTGCCTTATAGACCGAGTCTTTTTTCGCTTCTTCTTCTCGTTTTTAGCGCGTAAATCGCTTACTTCTTTCTTAAGAATAGCTGCCGATCGTATCGTGATTTAATAGGCTTTTAAAACTTGATTTGTCGTAGAATTAAGCGGGCTTAGTGGACTTTTTGAGCGCTGCTTTAGTAAAGCTTTAATTAAGGAAGCTTATTTTTGTAATTAGATATAGTTCGACGGCGTTTTTAGCGACCACTTACTATCCCGGCTCGAAGGGGGGGTCAGCGTACGGAGGCGAATATCGAGCTTCGAAAGCACTCGATCGGGGTTATAAGGCATTAAGCCGGCGCTAGCGAAGCTATTCTTAATAGTCTCCGATTTAAATACCTCGATTCGCGCGGACGGGTAGACTTCGAGGAAGTCTAATTTATTGATATAATTAATCCGGAGCCGTATTTTGCTTTCGATAAGCCGAGTATACGCGCGCTTTAATACCGCAAAACAGCTAATATTAAGAGGCTATAAAAGGTAAGACGAGTGCGGAGGCATATAAATTGCGATAATATTATTTTTCTCGTAAATTTCGTCGAATTTCGGAGTTAAATAACTCCCGTAGCCGTCGAGTATTAAAAGTCTATACTTCCCCTTCGTACGCGAAGAAGTAGATAGAATAAAGAGCTTTTCGAGCTATTAAATTCTAATTTTATCGGAAGTCTACCCGTTAGGACTAACCTCGAAGCGCTAATTATCCGGAAGGCTGTCGAACTAAGACTCGATAAAGACTTTGCCCTTAAGATTACGTACGGAGGAAGCGCCTACCCCGAAGTATTTATACACTTAATTGTAGTTACCTACGCGCGATTTCCGGGCTATAAAAGCGATCGCCGACCGTAGTATTCCCTTCTCGTGATAACCTTCGCGGTCGCAATCAAGCCTATTGCGAATCCGGTCTCGTCAAAGTTATAGATATCATCGGGATCGATACCGTGAGAAATGATCGTTTTTTAGACGAGAGAAAACTATTCTTTAATGATTTTCGGGTCTTCACATTTAGCGCGCGCGTAATTATAGCCTTTCGAGAATCGGGAGGAGAGGATTAGATGCCTTTTCACGAATTTTGTGACCTAATCCTTACCGACTAAAGGAGCGGGGGTAGATCCACGCGCCGCGAGTAGTAAATCCGCCATTTCTCGTACGGTAGAAGGCCGAGGGGCTGCTCCGCGAGAGTCTATAGAGAGAATCCATTTTTAAAGCGATTCCTCCTCAATTTCGGTCAATTTATGTGAATTTGCGCGAGTTTCAGCGCGAAAAGGATGGCCGGTAACGCGTCGCTGTAGTGTTGTACGGGGTACGTTAAACTAACGCGCTGCATCACGAATTGATAGAATTTCTTGCTTCTTAATAGCCTAGATAGCTAATAAGATCCTACCCTCTTGCTCCGTACGATTTTGAGAGGATTGAGTACGAATTGGTGGCATGGTAGGTGGTTGAAGAAGGAAGGTCTAATTAATTGACGCGTTTTACGTTAGGTGGCCCACTCGGTAGGGGTGGCCCACTCGGTAGGGAAATACGTTATAATCTATAATACGCTAAAACGCTATTTAGAAGATAACACCCTTGAAAATCGTAAGAAAAGCGGCCGTCCCATAATTATTAGTGAGCACGCTTACTCTTACCTCTATTTATAAGCACGTCGGTATCTATTTTAGACCTATAAATAGCTAAGCGCTACTATAGCTTAGAATCCGTTACCCTCTACTATACGTCGAATTTTAAAGCGATTCGGACTTAGAATCGGCGATCGAAATAGAAAATACTAATTAAGCCTCCTCTTATAAGGAAGAGGCTAAAATTTGCGCGAAAATAGCGACGCGAGAGCTTCTAATCGTGGATCTTCTCGGACGAGTGTTCGGTGCAACGAACCTCGAACTTCGGACCACAATAGTGCTTTCGTACGACCTCGGAGGGCCTTCGAAAAGATCTTATAAATGCTAAGGCTTACGTAAAAGATATTTTATATATAGTTTAGGCCGGAATCTAGCTAGGGGGTCGAATAGACCTAATTATTATAGAAAGAGACGAGGACTCGCGTTTAGGGGGGGGGGGGGGGGTTATACTACGAAGTCGTATATTTCGACGCTCGAAAAAGGTCTAATACCAATCTACACCCTTAACTTAGTATTTTAGTAAGATAACGCGAGGATTTATCTAGCGAAGGATATAAAAGAGTGGTTTAAAACTCACGAAGTATACGTCGAGAATTAGCCCGCGCACTCACCCGATTTGAACCTAATTAAACCGGTATAGCGCTAGTTAAAAGTGAAGCTTTTTGCATTTTTCTAGAGCTTATTAGTATAGGAAGGTCGGAGATAGACTAGCATTATTTTAAAAAAAATGCTTAGTAGAAGCATAGAACGCATTAGATTAGTCGAAGATAGATACGCTAATATTGAGCATAGGAAGACGTCTAAAGGCAGTACGCAAGGCTAAGGGGTATTATACAAAATATTAAGCAACCTAAAATTTAATTATAGCATTATAGACCATAAAATGGTGGTGCTATATATAGTGTAAGTGATATATATATTTTACATAAGGACCCGAAAAAGTGGAGTAGGAAGGAACTTTTGGTAGGGGATGTATCTTAGAAGAATTAATTATTTTAACATAGTAAATAGGGACCTACAAGTATTAGGCGTAGTAATTTGAAGTAGAGGTAATCTATTTTAAAATAAGGTATAGACTACTATAGTATATAATACGCTAGTTAGACAAAAGAGTAAAATACGTATAGGTGTGCCTATAGACACTACCGAACGGCCTATTATTTTGATAAAGTAGCTAATCTTAATAACCTACGGAGTTAATAAAAATTATTTTACCTATAAAGTATCCTAAATAAAGATTAAGATAATATACTATAGTAAATCTAGTATTATTATATTAGGGAATTATGATATTAATATAAATCAATTATTTTTATGAAATACCTTGTTTAATAAATAGCTAGTATAAAATCTGGAAGTCAGCTAACACTTTTAATTAATTATAAGATAAAGTTACTATACCTAAATATATATTTCTATAATAAACGACTTTAACTATATACTAGAGAAACTACCTACCTATAAAGGTATATAGTTTATTAAGATAAGGATTAGTATTAAAGCACATTTACAAAGTTTAGACTATATTATTTTGTATAATTTTATATAGCTTTTTATATAACACTAAGATCGAATATATTATTACTAGAATATAGTGTTATAAAAAAGAAATAGTAATCTATCCGAATAAATTAGTAAGTTATACATACGTTATATAAAACTAGGCGGACCTCCCCTTAGCCAAAATGCCTTATGCCCACCGTGGACGGGCAATAGGCCTTACCTCAAGGCATATAGACAGGCATTGTCGCAATCTAAACTGAACGCCTATATAAGTCCTTAGTAGCTATAATCTCTAGCTAATATATCCTTTAAAATAGGGTTATACAGTGAGTCGGCAAGTTGGAAGAAATGGTGTTCATTCAATAAGGGACACCAAGCTAGAGAGAAGGAAGAAAGAGAACAGGAGAGACGCCAGGAAGCCAGTATAACCACTCCGCTTTCGTCCAGTCATCTTGGACCCGTGTATTCACCGGTTCCCCCTCCAGCAGCCATGTATCACATATACTATATAAAGTAACCCCTAGGCCTTATAGCTATCGGTTTAAATCTATGTCTGTATTAGGATAATTCCCCTGATATATAATAATATAACGCATGTAGGTGTTGACTTGTACATACGAGTTGTGCTAGATCCAGGACTATGTAGATAGGTACCATGTCCACTTGCCCTGGTGGGCACAAGGGCCGGGGATTAGTCATCTGGATACTCATCCTTCATATTACTTATAAAAATCCTACCCCTTTCATCCCATCGTTTGAAATGCTTGCCCGCAATAGCGATCAGGCTCTGTGGCAGTTCTGTTAGGTGAGGTTTAATAAGTTCAATGTTTTCCTCGGCCACATATCGAACACTTCGATCCTCCACGCTAGATATGGTTAGCCCCCGAAGGGAGACGTTGGATTATCATACTTACAGAACATGGTAGAAACTTTGGTGCCTGCCAGCCTGTAATCGGTCAATGCCCATCCTCATCATCCACTGTTCACCCGCACCGCATTCGGAATCCCAGCCGGTGATGATAGCCCTGTAATGATAGCGACGGTGGCAGAAAACCTGACCCACAGTATATCGAATATTTGCGTTGGTACCAGTTCGGGTATGAACCTGCTTTGGGATCTCATCCACGGCCCTCATCACGTGGAGGCTCTCTAGAATATGCTCATGCTCAAATAGGCCGTGGAACAGAGGAGCAATGTATTGCTCGATGAGAAATATGTCCGAAGGGAAATCAGTAGCGAAAAGCTCCATCAGCCATGGCAATTGGTGACGCAGATCCGTCGGTCTTGAATCACCCGATAGGAGCATCACCGACCAAAGTGCAGCATATCTTGCACTCACGGCATCTACTGAAGTAGAATGCAAGTCTGGATTTTGAGATGCGATACGGACCGAGTTCAGAATGTTCTTGCCGCAGCGCAAGACAATCGACGACGTTAGAGACTCGCCAAGTGCGGTAAATTGGTCCGAGTTGGACATTCCGAGGAAGCTTAGTTGATTGCGCAGATCTGAAACGGAAGTTTCTCGTGCGCCTCGGAATGGGTCCAAGTACATGGGCTGCCCCTGACCCATATTAGACAAAGAACGCCCATCCATGTCAAATCCTGACCGGGGGGTGATTATGACATGGACATGGAAAGGAAACCCGCAAGGACGAGCATTGAGGCCCACTCCCTGCGCAACAAAGCAATATATTGCAGCTGATATCAACGGTAGAGAGTTGTGCCCAACATTCTTTAGAGCTAGCCCCAGGAAATTATGCTCCAGGGAGTGGTATTCCCGCTCTGGATCGAGGCCTGTAAGGTTGTTCGCTCTTAGCCAGGATGCAATAGCCAGGGCTTTTTGGCGAGGAGTGAGAGAAAGGTCTAGGTGATCTGCGACGAAGCGATCAAGAATCCCACCAAGCGAGCCTCGTATCTTTGGAAATCAGTCAGATACAGGTGAACAGCAAGAGACCACAAGGATCGAACTCACATCGTCCAAGTCCCCATATCCGCTTTCAGGAATGAAGAGATCAAAGCAGCCCAAGGCTCGGTCAAGTGACACCGGCTCCCCGCGCCTGAGTTTCGCCCACTCCGGCACTGCAATGCTCCGATGGAGACAAGTCAAGAGTGCGCGAGCATAATACCTTTAGATTGCCATAAGCACCGGTCAACTCGACGGAAATAAATGCCAATTGCACAGGATCAGTAGCCCACCTTCTGGCCAGATGATCATCCCCGAATGCCACCAGACTATGCCGCAAAAGAGTGTCTTTGGCATCGTATCCCATATTTATCACAGAGCGAAACTTTTCGATGCGGCCCGTTTGACTAGCGAGGATGCTCCCGAGAAGCCCAGTGACCGAGCGATCGACTTGATACTTGGACACAAAAAGCGCCTTCCAATCAATAGACGAGACTGGGCAAAGAAGCTTGTGAGGCATATCATGACGCCTATCCCAAAACTTGTAATGCGACTGACAATAGTAACGCCATAGTAAAGGCTCGTTCGTCACATTTTGAAATCGAGAGTTGGTTTGTTCGAGGGCGGCACAGGTCTGGGGAGGGCAATCACGTAGGATTGAACTCAAGATCTCGTCTGGAATATGAATGAGAGACCAAACCATCCCTGGAAGTTGACAACGGATGTTTGAGGGAAAGATGGAGAAAGGCAAGGTCACATTTCCTAGGGATCAAAGGTGATGATGTTTTGACGGCAGTTCCTTGATAAGGTGATGCGCCAAGGCTCCATGGTTTTCTTTCTCCCCTCAAACAATTCGAGCTTCGAGCTTCAAGGCTTTTGAGGTCTCCTCTTGATAGACACGAGACCTTGAAGCTCTGGCAGGATACGTTGTTTATCTCTTGTACACTTCTCTTCACATCTGACCTTATTATCCTTTGCATTTCTTCCCCCACCCCCAGGGCCATGGGCCAATTCCATTCAACCAGCCAGGCGAGCTCTGACGCCTCAGAGCAGCAAGGCCAAAAGACCGACTACTATGAGCTACTTGGGGTAACACGGGCTGCAACCGACGATGAGTAAGTTTACACACTAAGTGGTCATATCCGGCGACTAAAAAGTTGTCCGTCTTCACAGAATCAAGAAAGCATACAGGAAAAAAGCTCTCGTGCTGCACCCAGATCGAAACTATGGCAATGTTGAAGAGGCTACCAAACTGTTTGCAGAGATTCAATCTGCTTATGAGGTACTCGCAGATCCCCAGGAGCGGGCATGGTACGATTCACACAGTGATGCCTTCCTGGGGACAAGCGGGGGTGCCGATGATCAACACTCGTACAATGTTCGAATTACAACCACTGATGATGTCCTCAAGCTCTTTTCGAAGTTTAATCCTCGAATGGAATTCTCCGATGCCCCGACTGGGTTCTTCGGTGGTCTCCGCGAGCAATTCGAACAGCTTGCGTTGGAGGAAAGGCTTGCTTGCCAGTGGGAAGCTCAAGATCCTATTGAATATCCAGCATTTGGATCTTGTGATGATGATTTTGAAAATGTTGTACGGCCGTTCTATGCAGCTTGGAGTGGATTCTCCACCCAAAAGTCATTTGCCTGGAGGGATGCTTATCGTCTCTCTGAAGCGCCTGATCGCCGGGTGCGACGATTGATGGAAAAAGAAAATAAACGCCTCCGTGATGAAGGTATTCGAGAATTCAACGATGCGGTCAGGTCCCTTGTGGCCTTCGTCAAGAAACGTGATCCTCGATACAAAGCCAACGCCCAGAGCGAAGCCCAACGCCAGGAGACTCTCCGCCAGTCTGTGGCTGCGCAAGCAGCGAGATCACGAGCGCTTAATCAGGCCAAGATGCGTGACCATGTCCTTCAAGAATGGGCGCAATCGGAGCAACCAGAGGCAGACGACAGTGAGAGCGAGGAGAGCGAGGTTGAAAGTTTTGAATGTGTGGCATGTCACAAATATTTCAAAAGTCAAAAGCAATACGAGGCCCACGAACGCAGTAAAAAAGCACCTCAAGGCTGTCAAGCAACTATGCTGGGAGATGCGAATGCAGAATGATCAATTAGATTTAGAGTCCACCGATGGCTCAAGCGCCAATGCAGTTACAACTCAACCTCTTGAGGTGGGGGATGATACATCCCCCCGGCCGACGTTGAAGTAGTCTGTTCTCAGCTTGAAGAGGCAGGTATCAGTTCCGACCGTGATACTAGGGCGCAGGAAAGCTTGCCTGGCCTAAAAAAGACATCAACGTCCGGCCCGAATGCAGTTGAAGACTCTCCCCCGGCCACAGATGACGAAGATTACGCTTCGAGGGAATCAATCGAAACCAGACTACGAACTGATATGAGTCTTCTATCAGGAGAAATACAAGATTCTGTCACTGCACTGTCTGATCAACTGTGCGCTTCTGATGTCATGGGGCAGTCATTGGCGCCTAAGCTGGGCAAGGCCAAACAGAAACGGGCTAAAAAGGCCGCCAAGGAAACAAATCAATCTATGGCTTTTGTATGTGCAAGGTGCAAAGATTCTTTCGCTTCCAAGTCTAAGCTGTTTGAGCATATCAAAAGAGAGGACCATGCACAGCCATTGTCGGGGACTGTTAGTCAGAAGGGCAAAAAACGTTAGATGTCGCCTTATGGTGCAAGTATACCATACGTGCAAATAGTGGGCCACGGTCATTTTGTAGAGGTCAGAACTTGGCCTCAATTTGTATATTGTCTATCAAGGGGAGTCGTGTCGCTCAAATCTAGGTTGGGTAAAACAAAAACCCCTTCCAGACATGCACAAAGTCCATATTTAGCCTAACCCGGCCCGGGAGTTTTTGACAACATGGGCAACGGGCTGTAGGATGCCCTTGTTGTTGGAAGCTCCGAGGGCAGTACCTGTACTCCATCCCATCTTCTCCAGCATGGCGCGGCCTCGGTTTCCGGCTCCAATTTCCGGGGCAGAGGCGCCAACCACATCGCCTTCCATATAGGTTGCAGCTCCCCCAGATCGTTTAGTTTTGAAGGATTTTGGTGGGTCTGTGCCCCATGATCTGAACAGCCGGCGGTTGAACTTCCTCCCAGACAAGAGATCGTCGACGTTGGAAATGGTTTTGGGGGTGTATGCAGGAGTACGCGCGGTCTTGTTGAGAACAGGGAACCGATCCATTCCATGACCGCGTGACTGTGATTTCAAATTCAGTGCATTGGCCAACTCGTGTATCAGCTTTCTGCGTTGTTTGGTCATGGGTGGCAATGCCAGGCTTCAATAGAGTTAGCTAGGCCTAGTAACAGTTGAAATAGAGTAGACAAACCCGTTTTTGGGAGACAGGAGAAACGATCGTAGTTCGTTCATGAACTGCTCCATATTCATCTCCTTGGAATACTTGGCTTTGAGGTCTGGATTCCCTGATTTTCTGCCAAGTAATCCCTGCGCTCGCAGTTCTTCTCGCTCCTTCTTTCTCAGTTTCTTTTTCCTTCTGTCGTTTTGCCAGGCTTCTTGTAGCTCAATCTCAAATTCACTGTCGGATAGCACCAGCTCAGGGACGGCTTGCTTGCCCTTGGGCTTTTTCCGCAGGCTCGGTCGATCAAAGTCCATGATATCAAACCCAAAGTAAGGATCGGAGTCAAGGGCATCTGCGAATGCCGATGCTGAAGGGAATGAGGGCTTTCCAGACCGGGCGCCTTTCTTACCTGACTTGGAGTACCCGGTCGCTAGGTCCTCGAGCAGTATAAAATCATCCAAATCATCATCAGAATTCAAATCATCGAAGATATCCTTTTCATCCTGGTCAGTTCCACTCGATGTCGCGCCTGATTCTTGTTCTGTGTCAAAATGCATTTGAGCCAGCACTGGATACCTGCATGTCAGCATTCGCCTTGACAAGAGGCGTGGTTCAGACTTACCATCCACTGAGCCCTCGGCCGTGTATGTATTGGTTTGATTGTCTGCGGGTAATGATCTTGGGGGCTCTCTCTGAAAGCCAGCGGGGCTAGAGGCCGACAGGTCCAGCTGCGTCGCAGCTTTTTCAACGTCAATGCCCTCCTGGAGATCGGCGCTTGTTCCCTTGATAATTTCTGCATAGTATTCGCTGTCTATGTTGGCGATGTAGTCGGCGACTGGATCGATGTCTGTTTCTGGTGGCCAGTTTGGTTTGTCTGTGTTGGATTCTGCGTCGTCTTCGTCGTTGGCAACGGGTGGCAGGTCACGGTGTTCAGGTTCAACCACCAGTCTAGATAATGTTTGGGACAATTCAGCAGCGGCTGGCTGCACCATCCCTTGAATCTCTTGCTGGTTTGTTTCAATAACAACGGGTTTGGTGTTCTTCCTCCGACCAGTGAACACAACTTCGTCTTCGCTCGAGTCGTCGGAATCTGACAATTCAACTCGCAGTGTTGGGTTCGGGTGCCCCGTGTTGGCAACTTCATGCCCTTGTGAATCAAAAAAGAAGGGGACCTCGGGATCATCTACCCTATGGTCGAGTGGATTGTCGGTCATTAGTTCTGATGCGTCTCTGGTGGACTTCTGGTCCTCATCTTCCTGTTCCAGGGTTGGTTCCAGACTTCCTGCGCTCACGAAATTGACGGCCTTGTGGCGGAGGGCATTTGACCATGATCGCTGGTGGCTTTCAGTGTTCCGAGCTTCTTGCTGCATGGTAAACTGGGGTGGCGATGGGTCTACGGATGATTAGTCTCAACGAAGTAAAATAGAATCAAAGACAGATGAAGTATACCTCTGCCCACTGGTGCCCGCCTGGTACGGGCCTTAAACTTCCCATGGCGGGCCATGGGTGTAGATGAGATGGTTGAAGGAAAAGTTGTTCTGGCGGGATTTCTTGCTCGACGTTAGTGGGCCGGGCGGTGACCCCAAGTCAGAGAGCCATTACAGTCATTTTTTACAGATATCCATGATCTTGTTTGATGTATGTAAATCTCAAATCTTTCGGTGTCGCATCGATGCAACTTAGGAGAAACCATCCTTTTGACCCTTTTAGCCATCAGGGATCGGTGACGTCTTGGCTCGTGACTGTGTTTAGACCCCTCTAAAGATGTGTAGAAATAGCTTGAACTACAGATGATTCTACTTCTTTTGTATTGTTTTGTGTTCTTACATATATCTCTGTGGTATATTTGTTATTTTGCGTACCTCTGTGATTTCCTTGGATGTTGATCTAAGCTCTAGTCCCACTCCATGGGTAGGTAGCCTTGCATATATATATCCCCTCCGATCATCTCCCCACACCGTCTTAAAGCCCACCTCATCACCATCTACAAACCACAACAGCGATGACGGTGGACATGGAAAAATGCAAACGCATAGTGCAATACTTCTGGGATCCAGAACCCAAGAATGATGTACCTACGGCGTCGATATGGTGCCTGGGTAGAGAGTATGCGACCCCGCAAATCACCGGTAAGTCCTAACCAGACCTGTCCGATGAGTCGGTGGAGATCTGAGTGCCGAATACACGCCACTTGTTTCTAACAGTCAAAGAAGATGGCCCGACAAGGCAGTCCGCAGAAGCTGGCATATCGAGTGAAACGACAGGGAAAGCCTGGCCGGAAGCATTTCTCTCTGATTTTGGATCGAGGCAGTGGATGACATACCGATCAAACTTCACACCGATACCACGAGCAAAATCACCAGAAGCGGCGTCCTCTATGACACTGAGTGTACGGCTTCGGAGTCAGCTCATGGACTCCCAGGGCTTCACATCTGATACCGGGTGGGGCTGCATGATTAGATCTGGGCAAAGCCTTCTGGCAAACACGTTCGCGATCTTATTGTTAGGGAGAGGTGAGAGACAAAGCTTGATATACAGGGGAAAACCAGAGTTAACATTCGCATACCAGACTGGCGCAGGGGAGACAGACCAGAGGAAGAGTCGAAGTTGATTTCAATGTTTGCCGATCATCCAGATGCTCTATTCTCAATACATCGATTTGTGAACTGCGGCGCAGAGTCATGCGGGAAATACCCAGGAGAGTGGTTTGGACCGTCGGCAACAGCCAGATGTATACAGTAAGTGATGCAACAAAGCAAATCGCTTGATACTGAGAGCAGACAGGCTACTTTCAACCCAATGTGAATCACCCAAGCTTAGGGTCTACGTCACCAACGACACATCCGATGTATATGAAGATAAGTTTACACAAGTTGCGCGAGACATGACTGGCCGCATCCAGCCAACACTTATCCTCATAGGAATCAGATTGGGGATTGATCATATCACACCGGTGTATTGGGACGGACTACGAGCTGCACTGCAATACCCCCAATCAGTTGGTGTGGCAGGGTAGGTCCAAATGCAATCGTCTAGACATTAGGCGCATCTACTAACACTTCACAAACATTAAGCGGGCGCCCTTCTGCATCCCACTACTTTGTAGGATCTCAAGATTCCCACCTGTTCTTCCTCGATCCCCACTCTACTCGACCCGCAACACCATATCGACCTGATGAACCCTACACTTCAGAAGAACTTGACAGCTATTACACCAGCCGACTTCGGAGAATCCACATCAAGGACATGGACCCCAGCATGCTGATCGGATTCCTCATCAGAGATGAGGATGACTGGGCCGACTGGAAGCAACAAATTGAATCTACTCCTGGGCGACAGATCGTGCACATCTTCCCCGGACATGCCCAGCCAGATCATGGCCATGGTCGCGCAGGGGCGCTTGATGAAGTGGAAGTGCTGGATGACTCGGATGCATTGGAATAAAATTGGAATTACCTAGTTGGATATCAGTTTTGCATCCCGAAGCTGCTGTAGCTACACAAGGCCCCTCGCTCGTACAGAACTAGTTGGAAAGATAGAATCATGATGCAATGCAATCACGCATTTGGAATTTCGCGTTCTAGTAGGGGAGGTCAATCCGTGCCTGCCCCATACCCGAGTTATGTTACACCGCATTCACATATCGGTAACCATCAAAGAAAATCGCCCATCGGGGAAAAGAAAATTCAAGCCATCCCATGACGCATTAGAAACCCGCAAAACACCCATAACCGACCGCCTCAGAGCCCATAACAGATCAAGAGGCAGTAAAAACAAAGCAAGCTCAAAAGAAAACGTAAGGAACCCGCTTATTTGGCGGAGGAAGAGTACTTGGTAACGGCCTTGGTACCCTCAGAGACGGCGTGCTTGGCAAGCTCACCGGGGAGGATGAGGCGTACGGAGGTCTGGATCTCCCGGGAGGAGATGGTGGACTTCTTGTTGTAAGCAGCCAGCTTGGAGGCCTCGGTAGCAACACGCTCGAAGATGTCTGAAATTTAAAGTCAGAATATGAACCGATTGAGACGCGCCGAACGCGACTTTGGAGAACAAAACATACCGTTGACGAAGGAGTTCAGGATGGACATGGCACGGGTGGAGATACCAGTGTCGGGGTGGACCTGCTTGAGGACTAGAATGGGGTCAGTACAAATGCGCCCAGCAAAATCTCCAAAAAAAACAACGCGCAAATCACTCACCCTTGTAGATGTAGGAGGAGTAGGTCTCCTTGCGGGTCTTGCCGCGCTTCTTCTTCTCGCCAGAGGCAGCGGTGGCAGTCTTCTTGCCAGCCTCCTTCTTCTCGGCAGGGGCCTTGCCGCCAACGGGGGCCTTGCCACCAGTGGAGGGCTTCTTCTCAGCAGCCTTGGGAGCCATTTCGAATGTAGTTTTGAAAGGGTGGGTAAAAAGAGGAAGATTGAAAGATCAAAGGAAGATGAAGGAAGCGTGTGGATGGGAAGCAGAGATGGAATGGGGGAGGAAAAGTAAGTGAGACGCGGTGACGAGGGGAGGCGCGGTCTTTATACTCGCGCACCAACAGGCAGTTGATCCTGGGGGGTGCAAAGGAGGCCGAATTTCAATACGGTAATATGGTGGTATGATTTGTATGATTAAAGAGGGGTTGACGCGTCTTAGGGCGGGGAAAGTGGACCAGATTCACATCAAGACGGGTGTATGGTATGGTAATAAGTCTAAATTACCAAACCTTACCCAAATGGGAATGTCTGATCTGACTGATCATTGGCTGCGCTCTCTAAGCGAGTGCGTGATCTGGGAGGCCTCTTGATGCCGCCCAACGTCACCCTCACCGCGTCCTTATAAAGGTCCTCCGCTTCCACACGCTCTCCCACCTGCTCTTGCGACTTTCCCCTTAACTCACTCATCATCTTTCGACACTTAACCCTTTTTTCAAACCCCCTTCAAAAACTCATCCATCAAAATGACTGGCGGAAAATCCGGCGGCAAGGCTAGCGGCAGCAAGAACGCGCAGTCGTAAGTTGTTTATCCACGCGTTTTTCGACCTCAAAAATATTGACATCCACAAGCCGTTCCTCCAAGGCTGGCCTGGCCTTCCCCGTTGGCCGTGTCCACCGTCTGCTCCGCAAGGGCAACTACGCCCAGCGTGTTGGTGCCGGTGCTCCCGTTTACCTCGCTGCCGTTCTCGAGTACCTCGCTGCTGAAATCCTCGAGTTGGCCGGTAACGCCGCCCGTGACAACAAGAAGACCCGTATCATTCCCCGTCACCTCCAGCTCGCCATCCGCAACGATGAGGAGCTGAACAAGCTTCTGGGTCACGTCACCATTGCCCAGGGTGGTGTTCTGCCCAACATCCACCAGAGTACGTTACCCCGCACTTCTTGCCATCTTCAATTACTAATATGGTTTCCAGACCTTCTTCCTAAGAAGACCCCCAAGGCTGGTAAGGGTAGCCAGGAGCTGTAGAGCGGTGTCTCTGTTGTTTTCGCGGGTTCTTTGTTTTCTTTTCCGGCGCGGATTGGTTCTTTGACACGATAATGGGGTTATGGGACGGGCACGTTATGGCTCTGCGTTTTCTCTTTTTTTCATCAATTTCCTGGTTGTACATTATGTCTACGGACATGGAATGATACCGACGACCTTAGCTCGTTTGAGGGATTTCAACTTTCGGATACTAGCCCAGGGACAGACCCAAATCAATGAAAAGACTCTAGGTCCTTCAAGTGTTGACTTCGTTGTGCCTCGATTCTGTTTGCTTTCTTTGCTGTATTTTGGTTGTCGCGTCGACTTGTATAGATTCAAATCGTCTGTTTTCCTGCTTTATTGTACACAAGTATATCAACTGATTATCGGTATCGATTCGCGAATCTATCTGCATGAATTACGCGTAGTTCATGTTCTCGATTAAAACCCCAGTCTTCCATTTGATATTGTATTTCGCACTTCCGCTGTCCATTAGTGGGCTCCTGAGGATTGCGCATCTGCATTTGTAAAAATATTAGCGTTCCATGACAATTTTCGCTTGCCAGAGATGAAGTATCGACATACATGGCAGGATTCGAGCGGGCAGGTTGCGTTCCCATTTGTTTCCGCCGGGCGCAGTGGGTGCCCGGTAAGGATCCGGGTGCTTCCAGTTCTCCAAGAGCTTCTCCGTTTCGCGCAACAAGACCTGTTCAATTGTGTCAAAGATGGCGCAGTAAGAAAGGGATTGGATCCTATACCTGCTGTTGGCGGGGATCACGGACGTCCTTGTTCGCTTCGAAAAGGGATCGGATATAGACTGCTTGTCCGCGCCACACCTGCCGGTGGACAGCCCAGTCAAGGGCCAACTTCAAGGACCGCCTGTAGAGCGACCTGCAAATGTCAGTATATTCCTCTTGATTAGAAGGGACGGCTACCCACTGAACAGCGGAGGTGGACATGCTGAGATCTCAAGTCTTGTCCCGGGCCCAATTCCGGTCAGAAGAAAGGATAAACGAGAGAAGGTGGTTCGCTATGAGATTTAAGTCTGACAACAATTGCAGACACAGTGGTTCAGGGTTTCCAACGGGGTTGAGTGGGTTTGTCGTCAGGTTGACTATTCTGTGCTTCCTAATTCGTTCATGAAATGCTACAATGGTCCGTGTGGGCAGCCGTAGGATGTAAGAGGAATAGTCCTCTGCCGAAAGGGAGCCCGGTTTTACGTTACCCGATCTAATCCGAGCTTGACCTTCACCTTTTGACCTTGAACTTCTTCTCTGAGAAGCCTCTTTTCTCACTCTTTCCGGTCGATCTTCCCGGTAATTGTTTGTTTTTTTTTATTATTCAATCATGGCTTCTCGGCTCTCTCTTGCGCGCCTTTCGGGTTTGTCGGCTGTGGCCAGGACTACACCTCGGGCGTCTAGTCAGTTCCGCAACCTCAAGGGGTTGTCCACTTTGACGCGCAAAAAGGTGTCGCCTCGTACGGCCTCTGGTTTACTCCAGGTTTCATCGGGGTAAGGAAAAACGCACCTACATCATACCTGGTTGGAGCATGTTTAGCTCATCAAATTAAACAGCATCAATGTCTCGCTCAACATGGCTCCTCTGGGAGGCCACCAACTCAGAACCTATGGTAAGGTCGATTTTGTCGCGACTCTGTTCAATATTGTTAACCAATGTTTGTTGTAGCCGACTCCATCGTCAAGGTTCCCCAGATGGCCGAATCGATTACAGAGGGTACCCTGAAGCAGTTCTCAAAACGTATGGCGCTTGTTCTTCAAATCAGCCATTGTTCACCAGTGCTTATTATAATATAGAGGTTGGCGATTATGTCGAGCGTGATGAGGAAATCGCGACTATCGAAACGGACAAGGTACGTTGGCATACTGGGAGAATTGACAGGCATTAAGGGTTTGCTGAGCTAATTTCTTTTCTTCCGTGATCAGATTGATGTCTCGGTCAATGCCCCGGAGTCTGGTACCATCAAAGAATTCCTTGTGAGCGAGGAAGACACTGTCACCGTTGGACAGGACCTCGTTAAGCTGGAGCTCGGTGGTGCTCCCGAAGGAAAGAAGGACGAGGGTGCCGAAAAGCCCAAGGAGTCTGAGCCTAAGAAGGAGCCCTCTCCCGCTCCTGCTCCCACTGAGGCTGATAAGCCCAAGGAGACTCAGGCCTCAAAGCCTGCGCCTCCTCCGTCAGAGAAGCCCAAGGAGGCCCCCGCAAAGAAGGAGTCACCCAAGCCGCAAGGCGTCGCTGAAGCCAAGCCTGCCCTTGGGAGCCGCGAGGAACGCCGGGTATGTTTTCGCCATGTTTCGCCATACTGCGCACACCGACATTGCTAACATGGTACCTTCCATCTGCTCAGGTCAAGATGAACCGTATGCGTCTGAGAATCGCTGAGCGCCTGAAGCAGTCTCAGAACACTGCTGCGTCTCTCACCACCTTCAACGAAGTTGATATGTCGTCTCTGATGGAATTCCGGAAGCTGTACAAGGATGATGTGCTCAAGAAGACCGGTGTGAAGCTGGGCTTCATGAGCGCCTTCTCCCGTGCCTGCGTCCTTGCCATGAAGGACATTCCCGCTGTCAATGCCTCAATTGAGGGTCCCAATGGCGGCGACACCATTGTCTACCGTGACTACGTTGATATCAGCGTTGCGGTTGCAACTGAAAAGGGCCTTGTAACTCCTGTTGTCCGCAACACCGAGGGCAAGGACCTCGTTGGAATCGAGGAGGCTATTGCCGAGCTTGGCAAGAAGGTAAGTCTCCCAGAGCTGGTATTCTTATGTAGTTTTGCTAACGGATGATCAATCTGTAGGCTCGCGACAACAAGTTGACTATTGAGGACATGGCCGGTGGTACCTTCACCATCAGCAATGTAAATTTCCCTTCCAGATAGATCATGTCCAGACAAGGCTAACTTGAATAGGGTGGTGTCTTTGGTTCCCTGATGGGTACACCTATCATCAACCTTCCTCAGACTGGTAAGTTCCACCATCTCTTGTGTGTCTCTTGGGTCTAACACTCTCTTTGCAGCTGTCTTGGGTCTTCACGCCATTAAGGATAAGCCTGTCGCCATCAACGGCAAGGTCGAAATCCGCCCGGTATGTGACCCCCTCCCCTAGTAAATCACTTTTAATGGGATCTATCTCACTAACATTTGCCGGCAGATGATGTACCTCGCTCTCACCTACGATCACCGTCTTCTGGATGGTCGTGAGGCTGTTACTTTCCTGGTCAAGGTATGTCATTACTCTCCATCTTCAAATATGGTCAAAACACTAACTTTCTTACAGGTGAAGGAGTACATTGAAGACCCCCGGCGCATGCTGCTTGGCTAGATGATATTCACTGCCGACACTGCCCTTGTTGCCCTGCGTGTTCCCGTGTCTAGAGCGGCCTGTTGCGCCCTTTGTAAATTATTAGGTTTCCAAGATATAAATGCCATGTTAAGGACATGCCTTCTAGCAGGCTTAGTCTGGGTGTTGTTCTCACTCGTGGTTCAATAGATACAGTGTCTTCTACAGAGGGTCGAGTCTTCGATTTGACGTATTGGCCGTCAGGGCCTGGGGTTGAAGGAAATGAAATAAAGCAATTAAAACATGTAAAGTTCCCATTTGAGCGAAATATTGGGTTCCCTGACTTTTCTTGCTCGCCCTTTCGGGGCGGCTGCTGGACTTTGCGCGTCAGGATACAGTGTGCTATGCAGGTGCTGTCACATACACTCGCATCTCGGATCCTCTTCAGTAGATGAGTTTGCTTCAGGACTGGCAATATTCAATCACCCGCTGTGTTTCCTCATGGGTCAAACCGATCAGCTGGCCCTGCTCTACTTGCACAAGGAGGGGTACATCCAGGACGTCCATGAGATCCTCAAAGAACCCAGTCAAACGGTTGTGCAGTAATTGGACGTCGAAAATCCGGTCTAGCTCTTCTCGGCTTGCTGGGGCTGCGGTGCCGTAGGGGGTGGCATATGCTCGAGAAACATTCCACGGCTGACCTCCCAGTACGCGTTTAGCTCGTCATCGTTGGTTGTCCATGAACAAAGCCTACGGAGATGCTCCGGGAAGCGGTCCCTTTCTTCCAATATCGCATGCGCCATAAGATGGGCACCGAGGTCAAACCAGCGTTTCTTGGATACATTCTCGATTGAGGTATGGCAAAATTGCATAAATTCAACTGCAATGTGGGACAGGGGCGTGAAATTTGGGAGGGGGCGGCGATCCCTGGGGGCCTCGTAGCGGCAGTAAAGATTGACGATATGGAAGACCCGCAGTTTGAGGTCGAGGTCCCAGGGAAGGGCGGATTCGAATTGGTGGCCCTCGATAATCCAGCGGAAGGCTAGAGGAGTCAACACATGGTTTCGTGATACAACCAGAATGGACTTACTTTCAACCGATTCCACGAGCCATTCCACATCTGGGCAGATCTCGGGATTTCCAATCATGGCAATGAGTCTGCTGACGGCCAGGCAGACGAGGTAGTCCAATATCATCAGATCTACCTCCGCTCGGACATTGGGGGTTTGTTCCGCCATTTCAATATTAACCGGAAAAGAGTATCAATGATGCGGGTTTTCCAGCGCACTGGGTAAGTCCATGTTGCCGTAGGATAGGGGTGTTGTTCCCACGGCGATTGTGTACGAGGCATGGTCAACAACTGGGCAATCTGATAGCTAAGAGTTAGGTCTTACTAATCATCATAGCTCCCCCACTTGCCTAGGTGAGCACTCTCCCGTCTCTATGCTTGTTTATACAGTCTATGACGTTCGGATATGATGATATAGAGCTGAACACATTTAAAGGCGTATAAGGTGTACAACCGTCACGTGTGGAGTGTCGTCATTGCCGTACACATGATGATCCATGGGTATATATATGCATCAGTGATATCCTCTCCCCATCACATCACTCCATGATCCTATGCTTGGACTATTCAGAAAAAAGGCCCTGACAGTAGAATTAAGGCGCAAAACAACGTCTATCAATATGGCATGGTACTGTTCCGGTTCCACCAACACCGAGCTGATCGAGAATTTATTTAAAGCCGAGTTAATTCAGAATGAGCGTGTGAAAGAAGCCATGATAGGAGTAAGTAGATCCCTCATCCCCTTGAACATTATCTAACGGATCCAGGTTGATCGAGCTCATTATGCTCCATCTCGGCCATACTCGGACTCGCCCCAGCCCATCGGGCATGGAGCTACCATCTCAGCACCGCACATGCATGCTCATGCATGCCAGTATCTCATTGATTACCTCAAGCCTGGCTCTCGAGTGTTGGACATTGGATCCGGCTCAGGATATTTGACCCACGTCCTCGCCAACCTGGTGACCGACTCATCCGGCAATGAAGTCCAGGGACAGGTGATTGGAATCGATCATATCTCCCAGCTGACAGACCTGGCCCGCGATAATATGAACAAGTCCGAGCAAGGCCGTGAGCTGCAGGCATCCAAAAAAGTCGAGTTTATCACGGGTGACGGTCGTCTCGGATGGAAAGAAGGTGCACCATACGATGCAATCCACGTCGGGGCTGCGGCCGAGAAGCTTCATCCGACCCTGGTGGACCAGCTACGTGCCCCTGGGCGATTGTTCATTCCCTTGGAGTCGGAGGATGGCGGAAGCGCCAGGGATATTTTTGGCGACGGCCAGTTTATCTGGGTGGTAGATAAACGGGAGGATGGGTCCGTTCACAAAGAAAAGGTCTTCCAGGTCAGGTACGTGCCCCTGACAAATGCTCCAGTACGATGAAGGAAGGGACCAGCGGGTTAAGGATTGGCCTACATTCGGCTTTGCGTGGACTGTTTTTCTTGCTCTTACGATCATCCCTGCGTATATCACAGAGTGCGGGGCCATGGGGCCTCTGGACAAATCACCCATTAAGGGATTGCTAGCTCGCCGACAACAGATGATAATAACAGAAGTATTTCATTGCAACACTTATGTCCTCATAATGACGCCAAGCCTCAAATACATGCGGGTGGGTGTCCAAAGTCACTAAGCGGGAAACTCCGCAACACGCCATGTTCTACACAGAAGAAGAGAAAGAAGAAGACAAATGTTAAAGACTATTAGCGGAATCCGCCTGGAAAGTTGAACCCTTGACCGCCAAATTTGAACTGTGGTCCACCTCCCTGTTGGAAGAAGAACTGCTGACCACCACCGTGACCAAATGGATTGCCTTGGCCCTGGAACGGATTTCCACGCTGCGATTCAGGATCATTGGGATCGTCACCATTGTCGAACCGTGTCCGGAGTTCCGAATCAGATAGAACCTCATAAGCTTCGTTGATAGATGCCATCTTCTTCTCTGCTTCCTCCTTGGTGACACCCTGGGCGTGTGCTTTGTCTGGGTGGTGTTGTTTAGTGAGTTGGCGATAAGCTCGCTTGATCGTTCGATCATCCGCGTCCCGACTGACACCCAGGACCTTGTAATAATCCTTTTGCTTCGAACGCTTCAGGAGGGCGTGAGCCTTTTGATGGAGAGATTGAACCTCCTGAGAGCTGGGGTGGTGTTCCTTGGCTGAGTCAAGCGTGCGTATAGCATCTTCAAACCGGTCTTCGTCTAAAGCGGCCTGGGCTTTGTACAGAAGACCGTGGAGTGAGTGAGGAACAAGTTGTAGAGATTCAGAACAATAAGGGCCAGCCTTTTTAAGCATTCGCATCTGATATACACGTCAGTCAACTAGTCAAAATAAGCGGATGTGAAAAACATACCTCACGGAAAGCCTCGCAGGTCTTCTCGACGAGGAATATATAAAGGTTGTTTGGCGCCAGAGGGTGAATATGGCCAGCCTTCTTTGCCTCCTCAACGTCTGTCTTGGTGTCTGTAATCAATCCACTGGATTCGGCATCCCCGACCATGAGATTGACTGCGTTGCTGAACTTGCGCGCCTCTAGGACGGCATGCAATCTCTCCAACCGCTTGACAAGCTTCCGTTCACGTTTATAGAGGCGATTGCAGGCCTTAGAGTCGGGATCAGCATGAAGACATTTGCGGATCTGAGCAAGGCCACGGTCACTGTCCCCTAAAGAGTAAAACAGCATGGATGACATCTGCAAGTGAGACTCGATCAAGCTAGGTGAAATTTGCAATACGTGCGCCAGGTCGCTGATACCTTCTTCTGTCTCGCCTCGTTCAAAGTGGCAATGGGCTCGCGCCTGCCGTAGAGATAGCGCCGTGTTTGCTTTTAGAATGGCCACATTTGCCTCAGAGATGCAGCTCTCCCAGGCGCCCTGCTTTTCGGCACTGAGAGCCAACGTGGCCGCATCACGCGCAGCCTCCAACTCCTCGTAATCAGTAGATGACTTCTTTCCAGCCCGTTCGAGGTCCTGCAGGGCTTCTGCCCAGTGCGCGGACCGTGCCTTGAGGCGGGATCGTTGTAGGAGAGCGCCCTCAAAGTCTGGCTTGAGCTCCAGGACGCGATCAAAGTCATTTGATGCCTGAGAGTTCTTTCCAATTGATAGATACGCCGCGCCTCGCTGGAAGAGAGTGATATAGTTGGTAGGGTCACGCGAGACTGCGGCGTCGAAGTATGCCACGGCGTCTCGAGGCGAACCCTGTGCGAGGTGGGCTTTCGCAGAAGAGATCAGTTCAGAAAGAGGCGTATCCGGTGGGATTTGAAGGGCATATCCGGTGGAAAAACACGCCAGAAAGGCTGTGAGCAATTCCAAAGAAACGAGCATCTTGGAAGTATGCGGCGCAGTACCGGAGGTGTATGAGACGAAGTAAATTCGAGTAGAATTGTTGATTAATCAGTCTCACTAGGGGCGCAGGAAGTAGGTCATAGTCCGAAAGACAGAATCAAAATGGGCCAAAACGAAGAGAACAAAGAGGACTTTGGAGGGCGAAGTTGAATAGCATGTCGCATACTCGAATCCGTGGCCTTTACAGTGTAATGTTCCGTTACCGTCATGTGACATGGATTGTTTCACGAATTCCAAACCCTCCGAACTCCTCTGTCTATTGGCATCCACATTCCTTCAAAGTATGCTCGGCTTTCAGTCGATATGCCGCCCATGTCTTCTGCGGCCAGCTAGGCTTGGTTTGACACTGTCGCCTTTGCGCGCCATCAACACAGGTACCTGGTCTCCATGTGCTATCGCGATTCAATACAGCTAATGCGTGCCAAAGCATCGGAATCCGCCCCGTCACCAGCCCTCTTAACTAGAGCTCGTCTACTCACAGCCGAGCACACCAAACTTTCTGACCGATTGGGCGAGTCCTTTGATGCCAAAACTGCCAAGCGAGCTGGGGAGCTGGCACCGATTGCCAATGTCCTAAAAGAATGGGTCAATGCCAATGATGTATGTGCCGTCAATCAATCGAGCATCTGGCCCTCTCCCTAATACACATTGTCTAAAGTCTATAAGTGAGCTCAAATCTTTGCTGGACGATCCCAGTACGGATGCGGAGCTGCGGTCACTGGCAATTGAAGACCTCGAAAGCAGTCAAAATGTCCTACCAACGATTTCGGATCGACTGAAAAAGTCCCTGATTCCCCGGCATCCATTTGCAGATCTCCCATGTCTGCTTGAAATCCGTCCAGGCGCGGGCGGCGACGAGGCGGGCTTGTTTGCATATGAGATGTTACGGATGTACATCGCTTTCTGCACTCGAAGAGGCCTCCGCCCAACCATTCTGAAGCAGGAAACAGAGGTTGGGCCATCAGAAGACCGTCTAAGCGAAGCGGTGATAGAAATCGAAGCCGAAGGAGCATATGATCTCCTGCGAACGGAATCGGGGGTACACAGGGTTCAAAGAGTGCCCGCAACAGAGACAAAGGGTCGTACTCACACCAGCGCCGTTAGTGTGATGGTATTGCCAAGCTTCCCAGAAAATGGTAGCGAGATGGACAGTGCTCTGAACTTTGAAGATCCGACCAGCGACTACTATATTGACCCTCAAGAGGTTCGCGTTGAAAAGATGAGAGCTGGTGGTGCTGGCGGGCAGCATGTGAACAAAACGGAGTCCGCAATACGACTAACTCATATACCCACGAATACTGTGGTCTCTATGCAGGACGAACGGTCCCAGCAGGCCAATCGGAGGAAAGCATGGCAGGTGCTTCGGGCAAAGCTGGCTGAAGCCAGACAAGAAGCCCGAGAGCAGGAACTTGTGCAACTCAGACGAGGCATTCTGGGCGGAGTGGCTAAAATGGGCCGAGGTGACAAGATCCGAACATATAATTTCGGCCAGAGTCGTTGCACCGACCACCGCACTGGCATCACGATCCATAACCTGGACGGTGTCCTCGATGGTGGTGATGGGCTGGATACTGTGATGGAGAGTGTACGCACCTGGATGGCTGATCGCGAAGTCGAGGCCATGGTAGCCGAGGATCAGGCCAAAGAAACAAAAGTAGGCACATAACAGTGTCAAACCCGCATGTATTTTTTCTGTACAATAAAATAAACAGATACCATGTACGATATAGCAGGCAAGCAAGGAAACAATCTATTGAACAAGAACAATCTAGAGATACTTCCGCTCTGGGTCTGCGATATCCAGTAGATCCATAGCTTTCTCATACCTATCTAGCAGTTAGCCATAATCCTCAACTTGAGATATCAAAACTGACATGGTGAACACAATTCCTCCACTCATGATCAATCTCGCGAGTCGTGGAACAGCTCCTGACCAAAAAGTCAAAATACCCTCATCCTTGAAGATTCTAGCTGCACAGACAAAGCTGTTCTTGTAGTTCTTGCTGGCCTCAAGAGATTGCATTCTAAGGAGAATATTAGTATATACCAAGGGGCTTTTGTTATTTGGGTTGCCAACCTTGTCTTCACCGTGTCCAGGGGTTGCGTCACATAGCTGTATGCATGTTAGAGCTCAGAATCCTACTGCTTGGACACAAAATGACCTACACAGTGATCAAACCCGCGATTCCTCCGATAGCAAATGTACTGGCAGTACCCAGCTTCTCGCCCGGCGCAACATAGCCCTCTGCAAGTTGCTTCAATGTCGTATAAGCCGTGAACCGGGTAGCTGAATTAGCAGCCTGTCTTGCTGTGGTGGGGACGAAGCCCTGGAAGAAGCCTCGAACACCTCTCTCTTGGAAGATGATTTTGCTACCGTGCAAAAAACCGCGCATGCGAGGGTTGCCAGACTTGCGGTCATCAATCCTATAAGCCATGTATGATTAGAGCCAAGAACTTCGCCAAAGAGGAACATGGAGGCAGCTGACAGTTGAGTCTTGATGCTCTCAAAGGGGGTGACGGCTAGAAGAGACTCGGTGAATCCAGCACCAAAGCCAGCCACGACCGTCCTTGGTCCCGAAATCTTGCCGTTCTCATCCTGGAGAACGGACTTGATGGCATCGAAAGCGACGAATCCTATTGTGTGATCCCTTCGTCAGTCCATGTGCCAATGGCTCATCGATTGCGGAAAGAGAGGCGCACGAATACCCGCCTTAAGCGAGTTCCCAATGATCAGTGTTGTACATCCTGCGTACCACTGGCTTCCGAATGGCGGCCACGGGAGCTTCTTGCCGTGGGCAAGTTGGCGATTGAGTTGCGTCCGGGTCTTTGCGACTAGTGAAGAACCTTAGCGTGGAATTGTTGAAAGCTATAGAATGGCATACATTCAGCAGGATAGGTGATTGCTGGAGCACGCAAAAGTTAGCTAGCTACCTGGACTGGGGGATTATTGAGCTCTTTACCGATCTCCACGGCTCCAGCAGTGGACCCCGCAAGGATGGAGCGGAGGGCGCTGGGCTGTCCATTGGTGAGTTTCAGAGATCCAACAAGAATGTAATCGGAGAGCGAACCTTGGCCTTCTGATCTTTATTCGCTGTTGCCATTGTGGCTGAATGCTGGGTAAGATCGGAGAACTGGGTCCGTTGGACCTCGGAGTAATGATGATATACGGCCACCCTCACGTGCCCCATGCGCACTTCTACACTACGGTTACTGGGCATTAGATTGGAGGGACTTTGTCAATTCACTATATGCTTCATCTAGCTAGATCCATTCAGCAAACAGTGCTCCTCCAAACTTTTTTTTTTTGGTTTTCGTGTTTTTTTGCGTGGTTGTTTTTGCGAGATATCAGGGACACGAGGGCTAGTGTCAATTCTGGGGTCAGGCATCAACTCATTCTCTTGAAACCCTCTCGACACCCTGCGTTATCTGTGGAACCACAGCGCCATGGCCAATGACTTTCGAGTATAGCTGTTGGGTCAAGAAGTTGGCGACATGACAGACAAATGTAAATGTGGATAAAAGTTCCCAGTCGGTGGCTAAACAGGGGAGTGCCGACAAGGAAATGGGCCATGGAGATCTTCAAGGTAAAAGGGTGAAATCGTCACACATTGGGAGCGTGGTAAACAGAAAGAGACCGACTGAGGGAAAAGTCGCATGGGATCGATGTAGAGAAACCGCTTCTTCGAATCCTGTGGAACGCCACAGAGAATCAACCAATAGATCCAAACCATGAACGCCAATTGCCCTGCAAATCTGTGAAGAAAACAAACAATCACGTTGGGCATATGTACACCCCTTCATGGAACGAAGCAGGAGCGAAAAGCATGGTGGACGCCGGAAATGCACGAGTTTCATACCGAAGTTCCAATCCAACTCATGGCGAGATCCGTGAATCAGTGGAACCACGAACAACAGAAGAAGAAACATATGATACACGTGTCGCGCCAGAACCGTATCATTATGACCAGATAAGAAACTCAAATGCCGGGATAGTCCAGCAAGACCTCTGCAAAGATAAAAGGGGATAACAGGGGAAGAAAAAGTGAGGAAGAGAAATAGTGATACTGCAAAGAAAGAAGTGTCAAAAGCGGAACGACTGTGCACCGATAGAGTAACGAGGAGGTGAAAGAAGCTCGATCGCTGCAAAGCCGAGTCAAGAATTAAACCACAGGGTCAAGATGACCCAATGATTTTACACCGTGGCACGTCCTTAGGAAATTGGCGCTTGAGATTGACCACCCATTTGACCTTGAGCAAAAGCTATTCTGTTGGGGTCACTGCCGTGTTGCCCACGGCGCTGACCTTGGCCACGACCGCCACGATAAGAGCCTCGTCCTCGATTGTTGTTGTAGTATTGTCCGTTGTTCGGGTGGTTGCTTTGGCGACGGGGCTGACGGTCTCCGTTGCCCATGTTTACAGATCCAGCCCCAGTTTGAGGCGGGGGGTTGGAGATTGGGCGAGGAATGTTCTCAGGGGAGTCGTACACGTAGAGCTTCTTGTCGATGTTCTGAGGGATAGGCTGGATTTCTGTGCCTAATTCTTGTTCGATCTTGTACAGATTGAACCGATCTTCCCAGTTAATGAGGTTGATAGCAAGACCCAAGTGTCCGAAACGGCCCGAGCGACCAATACGGTGGAGGTAGGTTTCAGCATTCTTTGGGAAGTCAAAATTGATGACAACATTGACGGCCTGAATATCGATACCGCGAGTCAACAAGTCGGAGCAAACCAAATTGCGACACACGCCATTTCTGAAATCATGGAACACTCGGTTACGGTGCTGCTGAAGCATTCGAGCATGGGAGTAAAAGCATGAGTAACCAAGTTCAGTAATTTTCTTCGCAAGCAACTCAACCCGGTTGGTCGAGTTACAGAAGATGATTGACTGGTTGATCTGGAGTTTGGAGAAAAGGGTGTTCAGACAATGAACCTTTTGCTTCTCCTCAACGAATGCGTAGTACTGAGTGATACCGCGCAGAGTGAGTTCATCCATGAGATTGATCTCGTATGGGTTGCGCATGTGCTTGTCCTGTAGGAAATTAGTGGTTGAGCCAATAAAGATATGTGTCATGGAAAATTACCTTGAATGATTTGACAATGAGGGGGAAAGTGGCACTGAAGAGCATGGCCTGACGGTCTTTCGGGTGGAACGACAAGAGTTGCTCAATGACGGGGGTGAACTCGGGAGACAGCAATTTGTCGGCCTCATCCATCACAAAGGTCGGGCATTCGGACAAGTCGGCAACGCCTTTGCTGGCCAAGTCTAGTACTCGTCCGGGAGTTCCCACAAGAATGTGAACAGCATCATTCAACCGGATAATGTCATCCATCAAGCCAGTTCCACCGGTAGTGACCATGACGTTGATGCCCAGATGCTTTCCAAGAGTCTTGCAGACCTGTGATGTCTGAAGAGCGAGCTCTCGTGTGGGGACCAGGATCAAGGCTTGCGTCTTAGTGCTTTTAGGATTGATGCGCTCAAGAGTGGGGATGACAAAAGCAGCGGTCTTTCCAGTACCGTTCTTGGCTCGGGCCAGAATGTCTCTTCCCGTGAGGGCAACCGGTATCGTCTCTTCTTGGATGGGAGAGGGCTTTTCAAATCCAGCCTCAAAGATTCCCATCATGAGCTCGCGCTTGATATAAAAATCTTCAAATTCGAGGCCTTTTGTGGCGGTAACATCCTTTTTTCCCCAGTTAGTTTCATCTTCACCCCCGTGAAAATCACTGGTGACGAACCTCGGTTTGTGGTCGGGCATCTTTCGGGGGAAGATTCAGTGTGTCCTGTAGCCTCTGCTCGGTAGGAGCTTCTCTAAGCGGGCCATATTATTAGTATTTGTTTTGAAACGGACAAAACATGACCGACTTACCCTAGCTTGGTATTGCCGAGTTGTGCAGCAAGTGCGTCGGTCATTGTGATATGGGTATGAGGGAGGGGTAGGAGTTTCAGGAGAATGGAATTTCAATCAAGTCAACAAATCGGGGTTTCAAGGCCGAGGGAAGCGTGCAGATCTTGCGAGAGTTGACCGTATTGCAAGAGTGTTCGAGGCAGTCAAGCGTGGTGCTTGATTGATGGAGGGTGATCAAAGGTGTGGTCGGAGGTAGGGAGAGAGAAGTAGTCAATGACGGAAATTAGTGATATTTCCGGACGTGCTCTGAGGCCGATTGCGACTGAAAAAAAGTCGTATTGTAGGTGGACAGTAGATCGAATGGTCAATCAACGAAGCCTTTTGTGTGAAGCTGAGGGGCTTTCTAGTTATCGCAGTGAAGGGGGATCACAGATAGAAGGGTGGATAGAAGAGACCTGGTGAATTCGCAATAAGGTCTAGGGCTAGAGGTTTAGATGGTGATGGCGGGGAGCGAGGAGACTCTGGACGAAGTCGAACGAGGCTAAAACGGTCCCGCCGGTTCTTGAAGGTCACGTGAAATGACCCTCACTAGCACCATCTGTTCACATAAATTGAATCCAAGCTCAAGAGCTTGTTACTTTGGGAGTCTTATTTATAAATCTTCTCAATTCCCAATGCAGGGATGCATGTAACAGCGTATCATACAATATACAATGTTGATTAGTAGAAGAGAACGTTGACTAATATTCAACCCTCCACGTGACTACATAGCAAAGGAACAAGAGAGAAACGAAGCAGATGCCTATATGGGTTGAAAATCAGAAGATCATATGGTATTACTTTAGTCAAGGGTATTTCGCTGCAAAAAAAAAAAAAAATTTTTGGGAACTCAAAGGGAGAGCTGCAACAGAACCTGGAAGATTAGCGCCGGAATGATAAAGTAGTCTGGCCACGCTCTGGCTCTGCCAACTCTTTCACCCTAACATCAGGAGAGATAGTGATATCGGTTTTCGTGCCAGGCGTGATTAAAATGAACTGTCGCCCGATAGAGCGTCTGGCGGCAATCATCTGCGCAGAGGATTAGCGAGTTGTCTCTACCCGAGAGATTGTGGACTCACAAGCATGTCAATGGCCATTTTTCGGTTGATATGGTCCATGTACACATCGCTGTTGATAACATTAATAAGAAAGCCCAAGAAATATCTGGGTTTGAACGTACAATTCATCCAGGCAACGGATAGGGGAACCCATGGCTTCCCAGAGAGCCAGCAAAAGACACACTTGCGAAAACGACTTTTCACCCCCGGAGAGCGTCTTCGCACCCCGTCCAGTGCTGTCATCTTTGGTAATGTCGGGCTCAACCTGGAGAAGGGGTGGGGTTGGTCAATTTCACAGTCTGGACCTCGGAAGGTGATATCCTTACTTGTAGATCCAACCGTTTCTCACTATGATCAGCCAGAAGCCGACCCCGGAAGCTTCGCTCACTGAGTAAGTAGGTGAATTGAGCTTTGGCTCGAGACGAGATGTGAGATCGGAAGATTTCCCACCGCTTCTTACGGTTACCAAGAGTGTTTTTGAAGATCTGTAACAAGATGTTAGGGCAAGACCAAATTCTACAACCGTGGAAAGGACAATAGATACCTGAGCCAAAGTCGAGAGTTCCTGGACCTGTTTCGTAGCTCGTAAATAAGCTGCCTCGGTTCTCCCTGCTTCAGCAGCAATCTCTTCCCGAGAAGCCCCCAGTCTAGAGTTTTGATAGTTAGACTAGATCACCACAAAACAAGAGGCACAAGGGAAAAATACATACTCCGAACTGTAGCGCTCCAGGTCTCGGATCAACCGGTCAAGCTTTCGATCGAGGCTCTCCGCGGTTTCCCCTTCGTCCACAGAAACTCGAGATGAGACCAAGCTTGCCTTCTCGTTGTATTCGACAATGCGCGCTGCTACTTGCTCTCTTTTGCCGTGAATAGTCGCCCTTTCTTGCTTGTCCTTTTCAATGTTTGCAATGGCGGCGTTCTTATCACTGAGAAGTTTGCTTTTCTTTGAGTTGACAAGCGTGTGCTCGCTTTCCGCAACTCGCAATTTTTGTTGAAGGTTTCCAAGCTCAGAATCCTTGGAGGACAATTCCCGCCTGGTTTCCTTCAGTGTCTGCATAATGGCCGCCATGGCTGTCTCGCTGTCTTTGTAAGAACCTTCATTTAGTTGCTTCTCATCTTCCGCTTCCTTGAGAGCGGAGTGAAGTGCATCGATGCGTCCGTCTTCTGCATTTTCTTTATCAAGGGCATCCCTGAGTTCTTCAACATGGTCTTCCTTGCGTTGCATGGAAATTTGAAGTTCTTTCTCTCTCCTCCCATGCCTCAGATATGCCTGTTTGCAGGCCTCGGCACGCGAGCGAGCGGAAACCATTTCTTGTTGGAGGTCGTTCAGCTGGCGCTTAAGGTCATTAACAACATCGCGTTGTACACTAAAAATAAGAAAGCTGGTCAGTGGCAAGATCTCAAACGTCAAGGCCCTGTGGTTATAGGCTCGTACCTGATTTGTAAAGCCAGGTCTGATTTCATGCGCGGGTGAGCACTGTACATCGACACTGGAGCTTGACTTGGTTCACCGGCTCGGCTGTATGACAGATGGATTCCGCGGCGTCTATCTCTCGCATCAATGCAGTAACAGCGTTTCACGTTCCTTGGGCGTGCACCATCGAAGAGTACGGAGGATGCTTCTTCTAGCGTTTCTATTAACAACATTTGTTCAATGCCATGGTTGATGATCAGTTGTTTCCGAACTAATTGGTTGTCAATCTAAGTAACAGTCAGCAATGATACCTATCCTCGGTTGTACAACCTCAGCTTACCTGGAGGATTCTCAAAGCAGTGTCGAATTGAGGATCTGGTTCATGCGCCGAGGTATCCAAATGGCCGCCAGTGCCAATGAATATCGGAGAGTTACTATCATGGGTGGTGTTAGCCATTTAGCCCTCGCAAAATATTTCTGCGATATACAGATATACTTACCAGCCTACTCGTCGCATGATACTAGACAGAATGTTCATGTCTCTTTTTGAAGTCACGATGAAACTGCCAAGTGTACCACCGAACGAACTCTCCAAGATGGAGGACCACTTTGGCTGTAGCAAGGTGACGTGGTGACCGATTGGACCGACAGGCCGAGATTCGAAGGATTGTTCTTGCTGAATGGCCCTGAGCAAGGTTGACATCTTGGGATGAAATCCGGACTGCCTTGCTCCACCTTCTCGAGTGAGTGTTTGCAAGCGGTTCTCTGCTTGATCAAGTTCCAATTTTTTCTCCTCAATGGGTCCTTGAGTTGCTTCAAATTCCTTTCGGGACGTTTCGACGTCTTCCCGTAGACGGTTCACACTGGAACGATGCTCGTTGTATTCTTTTTGAGCAGCAGCGGCGTCATTTGCAGCTTGTTCGCACGCCTCTTGTTTTCGGGCATAACCCCCGCCGCTTGCATCGGCGAGACGCTGATTCTCTTCGTAAACTTTTTGCTGTGTTTCCTGGATTCTAGTCTCTGCTGATCTTAGGTATTCCCTGATCTGACGCTGTTCGGCCTGGAGAGAGGGTTAGAAAGTAGTCAAACCGGGTGAAGGCTCAGATCTTGCCTGTAGATCATGTCGTCTATTCATCTCCGCGTCCAATTTTTCCTTGATCTTTTCCTTTTCGCTTGTAGCTTCTTCCAATGCCGCAGCAGCTCGCCAAGAATGTTCAGCAGCGGTTTCACGCTCTGTCTCGACCGCTTGGAAGGCATCATCAAACCTAGCGAGTTCGGACTCCGCGTTGATAATCAATTCATCCGCCTTCGCAATTTCTTCGGTCAGTGAAGCGTGCATCTGAGGCTTGTTAGACAGCAGAGCTGGAAATGAGGAGAAATGGCACTGACTCGTTCTTGCTCCTCAACCTGAGCCCAGACCATTTGGCTTCGGAAGTTCCTAATACGAGCTCTCAGGGAATCGTGCTGGTCAGAGATCTGTAGCTTTTTCTTCGCTGCATCTTTGCGGGTTTCAAGCACGCGGATGTCTTGTGCCGTAGTTCTGAGTTTCTCCTCAATCTGGTCCACAGATTCCTCGATCAAACGATAATCCTGGTCGAGTTGTTCGAGCTGCACACCTTTAACAAAAAACTTGTATTTCTCAGCCGGACTTGAGGTGCTGAGGAATTGGCGAGCCATGTCCTGAGAGAGCACGTTCATAGGATTGTCGATCTGCAAGGAGAAATAGTCTGTGATGGCGTCCAACTCGGCTTTTTTGGTGGAAATTATGCGCCCATTCTCCGCCTTGATCTTGAATCCACTGGAACCACTTCTAGAAAAGTGACGTTCGACGATGATAGATTTTCCATAATCATCCGACATGTAGGCACCATCGCCTTGGTTCTTGATACGAACGATGATTGTGCCGTTCTCTTTGCCCTCTTTGATGAAGTTTTTGAGGCTTTGCCCTCGATTTGTGGCAGAAGCTTTGCCACCAAGACACAGAGTAATGGCAGTAAGAATAGCACTCTTGCCGCTGCCATTCTTTCCCACGATGAAATTGATCAGAGGGCCCAATTCCACGTTGAAGTGGTCATGGCACATGAAGTTGTAACATTCGACGCGCTCCAAGATCCCATGTTCAGCAGGCACGTTCGCCTCATCGATAAGGTGGGCATATTTGTCTTGAATTATTTGTGTCTGGCGGAGTTCTAGCTCGTCCTCATCATCGAGAAGCGCGTCATCGTTGACGGAGAGATATAAGTCTCGGAGGGTCTCATCGTCTTCGGGGTCTGGCGGGTCAGATGTTCGTGGCCGTTTTCTCTGTTAATGATGTTAATATCTTATCATCGATTTTAGCTCGAAAATCATACCGTGTGAGGAGAATTCATGGTGGATTGATCGGATGCATCGTCGGAGTCGGCAGACGTCTGCAGGCGCTTGAGGGATGGCATTTGAAAAACTGAGAATGTCGGCAGATTCAGCAGCTAGCGCATGGTCAAAAAAGTCAACGTCAGTCGGGTTGGCTGTAGACACAAAGAGGTACTGATAGTCGCGTCGCGCAATTCGCGTCAAATGTGGCCCTTACTAAGCAAATTGATAGGCGGGGGGACCTCACAGAGGGGCCCGACAAGTGCGATAAGAGTGAAATATCAATTTTACTCTAATTAGGTGTAAAGTACATCTGGACAAGATGATAATTTATACTATTGGGAAGGTTTAGACCACTTTCAGTGTTATTTCATTATTCTGTGGGTGATCACCAAGTCTGAGCATATATCTTATCATTATGGTCAGCCGAGACAGCTGAATGTGTACTGTACGTCGATGAAGAACTGGAGTAGTGATCTACGCCGAGGTAGGCTCTTCCGCAACGTAGTGCAGATATGCTCCCAACAGCTTGGTTCCCTCAATGTAGTTTCTCTTGTCAAGCTTTTCGTTGACAGAGTGAGCGGCATCAGTCGAGCTTCCCATAGGGAGAAGCAAGACATTCTTGCCAGTGGCTTGCTCAAAGGTCAAGGTGACAGGAATGCTATCAACGGTTAGAGACAATGTCAAAATTTGATAGTAGGAGAATCTTACCTTCCACCCTCGCGAGTCATATCAGGCTCAACGCCAAAGACCTGCTGGACAGCCTTGCCAGCGGCAGAGAAGTTCCAGTGCTTCGGGCTGGCGACCCACCACTTACCATCATGCTGCAGCCACACATCCAAGGTGTTCTTGCTGTTCAGCTTGGCAAACTCGGCCTTGACATGATCAAAGACGAGCTTGTTCACGTCGGCACTCTCCATGTTTGGAACAGTGCGAATGGAAAATTTACCAATGACCTTGGCGGGAATGACCGTCTTGGCACCTGGGGCAGAGTAAGCACCTTCGATGCCGTGAATAGACAGAGAGGGGTATCTCCATCTGGCCATGAGAGTGCGCTCCTTGGTCGGGTGGATGCCAGTCTCGCTGCCCAATGACTCGTGGAGGTTATCCATAGTGTAGCTGATGTTTCCATATAGGGTCTTCTCATCCTCGGAAAGAGGAGCCACAAGGTCCATGAGACCCGGAATCAGGATGTTGCCTTGAGCATCAACAAGCTTAGACAGAACGTTAACCAGATCGGTCATGGGCTCGTGGGCAGAGCCGCCAAAGACACCACTGTGCAGGTCCTGCGCAGGACCCGACACGCTGACAGAGTAGTAGTTGCAGCCTCGCAGACCGTAGGTCAAGCAGGGCTTCTCGGTACCGAGCCAGTAGTTATCAGAAATGCAAACAGCATCCGCGTCCTTGAAGAACCTCTTGCTCTCGGCTTGGATGAAGTCATCTAGGCCCTCGGATCCGTACTCCTCCATACCTTCAAAGCAGCAGAGCAAGTTGACGGGGAAGTCGATGCCAGCCTTTCGGTGGGCATCAATCACGTTGAGCCATCCAAGAACGGGGCCCTTGTCATCTGTGGCACCACGACCGTACATCCGATCTTTCTCGTCGATGGTCAAATCGAACGGCTCAGTGGCCCAGCCGTCTTCCTTGAGAGCCGGCTGCACATCGTAGTGTCCGTAGACCAGAATGGTGCGCTTGCTCTTATCGTTACCATACCTCGCAATCACCACTGGGGGGAGCTCGAGGTGCTCCTTGCCGGGCTGCTTGCCCAATGGACGCTGGTGGACCTCGGCTCCAAGAGCTTCAAGCTCATCGGCAAGAAATTGGGCCATCTTTTGCGAAGAGCATATCAGAATACGATACTATATTTGGGGGATCCAGCCCTACTTACCCGGAAGACATCCTTTCGGTTCTCATCTTGCGCGGAGACCGAGGGGATAGCAACTGCTTTTCGCAGACCTTGACAAGAATCAGCTTATTGGGGACCTTTCAAGAATTGGCGGGTGACGGGTCAAGGTAACGTACGATCGATGAAGGAGTTAGACGAGTCGTCCACCCTGAAGAAATGTCAGTGTTTGAAGAGGTGGGCTAGAGAGCTTGACTTACTGCTTGAAAAAAGGCTCCAACTGCGGCGCCATTTTGGAATCACTGATGTACCCGTAGTAGAAGCGACGAGAGGAAAGGCTAACAGAGGGAGAGAAGCGAGAGAAAAGCCCGATTTTTGCGAATGGAACGCGACGGAGGGGAAAGAGGGGCATGTCCGTCTTTGCCCTGAGGTAACCGGGGAGAGTCCAATGTCTAGAGTGACTTCTTATCACGTAATTTTTTCGCCCTATCACAGTCTGGGCGATTCAAAGGAGCTACTTTTGACAGTTCCACTTTGTCCAAGCGAAGAGGTGGTATATTTACGTTTCTGATTTAGATATCTTTTATGTTATTATTTGACTGAAATCTGGTTATATCCATGTGGGACGGTATGAGGCATAATAAAATAGTATGAAATACAACGATGCTACATAGCTCGAATAGTAGAATACATGGGGTTTCTTTACAAAGTCCAGGGTCCCCATTCCTGTCTATGGGAACCGACATCTCTCAAGACTTACAGCGAGTGGGACATACAGATAGAAAGTTGTCACTGCCGCTGGCACACTATGCATCTCGTCCCCAGGCCTCCCGCCTCAACTGTCGGTCCTCCCGTGCCATGCGACGCTTAGGACCCCATCGCGATTGCACGGCCTCCAAAATCCGGGCTTGGATCTCCCTCTTCTCTGGACTAGCCTGGCAGACCATGGCAATGAAAACGGGCGAGCATTCAAACCGTTTGGCAAGCTTGTTTCGGCTCCAAGTCATGGGATCATTCAACCGGAGATTGCGGATTTCTTCAATATCTGAAGGGGTGAGGTGATATTTCCTCTCTGGCATGGATTTGTAGACGCTAGGGAGGTCTTCAGCGTTGGTTGTCACGGTAGTAGGGTTCGACGATCTGCGAACATCATCGGCAGGCAGAAACTTGGATGGCGTGTGATAGACGGACGGAGCGCTTGATGGCGGGTTATGGATAATGTGATCTCGACCCTGGTGAGACGGGCCGAAGGAGGCATCGGGCTTCACACGTAGACGTTGCTTTGTTCGCCGGTATGAAGATTGGTTCCGTCGGAATACTAGCGCCAGCGAATCGGACAAGGAGGGTAGAAGAAATGGAAGTGTGAGGAACGGCCGCTTCGTTGCGGCAATGGAGGTCGCCATGGTCCCAAACAAGAGCCAATTGGTCAGGAACTAGAAGAGAGAGTACAATAATTAGTCAAGCACACAAGTGTACAATGGATATTTAAGATATTGACATACAAGGTGAGAAGGAGGGCGAGCTGGAGGTAGATGGACCAGGGTGGACGTGTTGGCATCTCAAGTCCAAGCCCGAACTTTTTCCTCCTGGTCTCGTGACCCCCCTTGACCTGGACAATACCACAAGAAAAATACAGCGTATTTAAATTACTCAATACGAACATACGTCAATGTATTCCCGACCGTTGGGGAATTGATCACCTGGTCTACATCCCAGATGTCATCTTCTATTCTATAGTCTCACTAACTCTAACCCACACCAGACTTTCTTGGTCATGGAGGTTTGACGGTAATTATCGCCATGTCGGACTCTACGGACTCTACGGACTTGCGCCAGTTCTCGCAATACCCTCAGTCAGATCAGAATGTGTCGGACTCAAAGAGTGGACGGGCCCCGAAGCCTGCCGCTTTAACCTGGAGCCAAATGAAGGACAAACAACCCGGCCTGGGGTCTACCACGTCCGGGACGAGTAAGGACATAGGGGGCTGCATATCGCCTGTGAGCTCATCTGAAGTCCTGCGAACACCAAACCAAGACACGAGATTCATAAGGCACCCTTCCTCTCCTGAAAGCTCGTCTCAACTACCACCCCGCTTGCATTCTCCCGCCTCTCAGATATTTGAACGAAGCGTACAGGAAGATATAGTATCAGCACAAGCATCACCATCGATACCCGCGCATATTCGCACAGAGAACTATATCCCTCCTGTCCTTGAAGCTTCCTCGGCTGCCATCACAGATGACCACCTTGATCCAGACTCGGTCGAGATCGTGACCCATAGCCTCCACCAGCCCGCGGGTGTCCCATCTGCAGAGCAATCAATGTCGTCCTCATCCATTGATGCCCATCATCTGTCTGATATGGAAGATATCTCCTCAAGCTATGGAGCACTAGACACTGCCGATGTGCGTCGGTTGAGCTTTATCTCCTTTGCAGATGTTGTCAATGCCGAGCACGCAGAAACAAACGAAGTCCATACCAGTGTTCCAATCCGCGAGCGAGGGATTAATCGATCACCGTCCCCATTGCGGTCTCCCTCTTCTTCGCATGGATTCGGTACTTCCCCGCCAACAAGCATTGCGACCTCTTTTACAGGGTTTGACATGCCCCCTACTCGGTTGCCTACTGTCAATTCTGCCCAGAGCCCGGTCTCTTCCAGTTTTGGTGGTGATCTCAATGTTGAGACGATGCGACAGGCCTTGAGAAGAACCGGCAGTGGTGATCTGGGTGGCGTGACAAGCCAGGCTGTGAGTACTATAGGGATCGATGATGTCTCGGACCGCACGTTCTAGCGCATCGATCTCTCGTACATATTCACTCTTTTTCCACCTTGTGATCTTTGGCGTTTGATTGGGCAGTTAAGAACAATGGAGCTGGAGCAGCATCTTGAATGGGATGCAATTTCAAGGATTCGTAGGATCTCGATTTTCCTTCCTGAGAATTCGTATATTGAAATGATAATGCTGTCTATTTTTCTACGTATCATATTAAATAACTCAATACACGGACCTCAGGACCTTTAAAGACTGCATATCCTCATTGATTGACACCGACGGCTCCTGTTGGGGGTGGGAATTTCCCCATGGTGCATGGAACAACCGGAGAATAAATGATCTCATTCTTAATTGTTCTAATAGTTGGGAAGTAAGACATGCGATATTACTTGTCTTTTTTCACTTTCGGACATTTTGCACTGCATCTAGAGCCCGCTGTACCCTAGCGCGTAGATCTGGCACCTCCTCTAGCCCGACACTTACTCTCACCAAATCAGGATCCACGTTGAAAGATCTTGCCTATTTGCATGTTAGACATTATTAGCAAGCATTTGAGGCGGTACATACCCAGTCCAATTCACCGTAATGAGCAAGCAGAACATATGGAGAGCTGGAAAATTAGCAAGATTCTTTCAAGGAGGCTCAAGTCCACTCACCTCAATGTGAAATTGGTACCGAGGCTGGGACCCTTCAACACCTCCAAAGTATCAAAGAAAGCAACTGCTTCATCCGTTGTGTGAAATGTGACAGAGAATAGTCCACCATAGCCACCGTTGGGGTTGCGGAGGCCATCGTAAAAGGGTTTTGTGGGACTGTATTTGGGGTAATACACATTTTTCACTATAATTTGGTCAGTATCATTGTTAATATAATATCGGTTACGACTTGGCGTACCTAACGGAGATTCCTTCAGCATAGCCGTGATATTCTCAGAGGTGCAATTGATCTTGTCGATACGGGACATAAAGTCACGGCTATTTCTCTCGAGGAAGACGGCATCTTCTGCCCAGTAGATGTCTTCAAAGTCCCGGTCATAAATTTTCTTTAGGGCTGCATAGTACTGCCCATGGGGATTGAGCACTGCACTTCCTCCCATCACATTGCTGTCTCCGCTAAAGATCTTTGTCAAACTGCTGACGACAATGTCTGCAAGGTGGAGAACATTGATATTGATGAAGTTGCTGATAGTCTCGTCAACCACCACGGCGAAATCGTACTGGTCTGCCAGCGCACGGATGCGTTTCAAGTCTGGTGTTTTGAGAAGAGGATTGCCTGGTGCCTCAGTGAAAAGCCCGAGGAAACGTTCACCGGCCTTCAATCGAGATTCCAAATCATCCAGGTCTTCTGAGGAGCCGTGGCCATAGAAAACGCAGCCTGGTCCCCACTTTTGGAGGATTTTTAATGTATCCGTGTAAGGAAAACCGAAGCAGATTGACGGCAATTCGCCTCGAGTGGCCAGCAAGGTCTGATGAGCGTTGAAAATGGCGCTCATGCCTGAAGGATAGAGGAGGACATCGTCCTCGGAGATGCCAGCGACACGCCCTTCTGATGAAGTGGTCTCTAGAGCTTCGGGTAGCTCGACATCGGCCGTCAAGACACCTGCGATGCGTTTGCGAACAGCTAGCTTGGCCTGGTTGGCGAGAGAGGTGCTGAGGTTTCGACCAAACCGCTCCTCGATGAACTGAGCGTAGTCCCGACCATCTTCGTTTCCCCTGGGGGCGAGTCACCAATAGAGCCCTTTCTCGCTCCATTCTTGGCTTGGTATCTTCGGGGACCCTTGCAAGGACGTTGCGAAATCGACTCTGCCGTCGCAGAGCCCTTGTCTTCCACCAAGAATCCATCCTCAAGGGCACCAAGGCAGAACTCGCCCCGTCGGCTCGAAATACCATTGCCAGAGTGTTGCCATACCTGCTTGGCGATGGAGGCGTACTCTTTTGGATATATGACACACGACAAGGTAGACGTTACCGCAGTGGATCCGGCTTCGGTGTGCGGGGATGGGATGAAATTGATAATGCGGACTTTGTGCGCCTGTTCAGCAGGGATTTTGCCGAGCAAAAAGGTATGGCAAATACGCGCTGTCTTAATTGACGCAAAGAGGGTCGCAGTCTCGAGGTTCAGATCACCGACACGACGGACGATTTCCTGGGCGAGCTTTTGAATAATAGGGTGAACGAAGAACCGGGGATAGCCACATTTCATCTTGGTCGTGACCCAATCTTCTCCTTCTTCGTAGCCGACGTTTGCTCTCCATGTTGGTAGTGATACGCTGACGGCCTTGTAAATATGAGTTAGACCTGAAGTAGAAACAATTCAAAGGCCCATGGAGGGGTCTATCGCGGGGTTCGAAACATACATGGTCAGTGTTGGGAGGCACAGTTCCTCCCAAAGCTTGCAACATTTTCGAAGTTCAATCAAGCTTTTCAAGAAAATCTGGATATGTAAAAAATAAGGAGAGAAAAGGCAATGGAGAGATTGACTCAAATGATGTACTCAACTGCGACTTCGGCGATGTGTACCTAATGAGTCAGCACTGACGATACCAATACCAGATTACCGTACCCGTTATCTTAAAAAAAATCATTCGACAGTTTACAAACTGCTTATTTTCTACTCGGCTCTCCAACAAGATGTCGGCACACACAGTCAAACGACGGAAGCTCAGCCCTTCCCCAGAGAATGCCGCTTCTTCGTCTCATGCCAATTCCTCGACCGACGCGAAACGGACGTCGCCGAAAGTGACTGACAAAATGGATCAACCCAAACGACAGGCAACCCGAGGGAAAGATGAGCGCTCTGCAGAGCTTGCAATGGCCAGCGGCTTCTACAAATCCAGCTTCTTCAAGCTGCAGATGGATGAGCTGCTCACGGGATTGAGACCCAACTACACTAAGCAAGTCTCCAAGCTCCAAGCAACCCTTCACCAGATCAAAACCACCATTGAAAACATACCCGAGAAAGCTGCGCGATCCGTGACCGATGCCGAGAAGGAGCTGCGTGCCTCTGGCGTATTGATTCCATGGCCCGAGCCGCGGCCGAACAAGGATGTCAAATATACCATGTCGTATGCGAAGCCAGCCAACGTCAACGTGGTGGGTAGTTTCGCTTTGAAGACTGGCGCCCGCACTTTGGAATCGCGCCCCGTTGATTTGGCTGTGACCATGCCAAGCTCACTCTTCCAAGACAAGGACTATGTCAATTTCCGATACTTCCATAAGAGGGCCTACTACATTGCGTCCGTGGCTGCTGGTATCCAAGAGACTGTGGCGGCTCTTGGGTTTGATGTCAAATTTGCTCCTCAGGACGGAGACAGCCTTCGTCCCCTTCTCTTGTTGGAACCACGTCAAACTGAATCGGCTCAAAAATCCATCCGAATCCTGCTCGCAATCGATCCTACGCTATTCCCAATCATGCGAACACTCCCAATGAAGAACAACATCCGACAGGGTTCTGCTAACAGCTCTGAACCTGGCGAGCCGACTTCGTTCTACAATGCTAGCCTCCGTTCAGATGCCACTGTCTCTCTCTATCACAAGTCTCTCTACGCGGCTTCAAAGAAGTGCGACTCTTTCAGTGATGCATGCATTCTTGGTCGCACTTGGCTGCAGCAACGAGGCTTCCATACTCCTTTCCAGAATGGAGGTTTTGGAGGCTTTGAATGGACGGCGCTTTTGTCTCTGTTGTTTGAAGCAGGTGGTCCCTCGGGACAACCGGTCCTCTTGCCTTCATATAGTTGCTACCAGATTTTTAAAGCCACCATTCAATTTTTGGCTGGCAGAGACTTGACTACTCCTCTGTTCTTTGGCCAAGAGGTCCTAGTACCTTCTGGGGTCCCGGTTGTTTTCGATGGCCGCAGAGGCTTGAACATTCTTTACAAGATGACTCCTTGGTCTTATGCGACACTACGCCATGAGGCCGCCACAACCTTGAAAATGCTCAACGAGAGCCGAGAAGACAACTTTGACAAAGTCTTCATTCTCAAGGTCGATGAACCGGCTCTAAGGTTTGACCGCTTAATCTCGTTCCCTGAGTCGTTCAATGGGGAGACCCTCCGAGCTCTCCAGGAACAGACAGCTCTGTGGCAGGTCCTTTCTAGGGCTCTAGGTGACAGGGTCAAACTTGTTTCCCTCACGAGCCACTCCATTGATTCGTGGCCAGTTAAATCCAAGCCGAACAAAAGATCGAACCAGGGCGTGTCTGTGGGACTTTTGCTTAATGCAGAAAATGTCGGACGTATCGTTGACCACGGTCCGCCCGCAGAGGAGAAAGAGGAGTCAGCCTCATTCCGATCCTTCTGGGGTGAAAAATCAGAGCTACGTCGATTCAGAGACGGCAGTATCTTGGAGAGTCTTGTGTGGACTGATCAATCAGAAGAGTCTATCATCTACCAGATTCTGGAGTATATCCTCCAACGGCATTTCAAAATTACAACAGAAGATTTCGGGCTCATGGGCGATGAATATGATCAGCAACTCAAGAAGTCCGGTGATGATATTTTGGCATACTCTAGCCCTGCTTTCCAGTCAATCAATGACGCATTCAAGGACCTGGAGAGATATATTCGTGACATGGAGGAAGTGCCATTGACCATTCGTCATCTGGCTCCGGCCAGTCCCCTCCTTCGATACACTGCACTGAGACCTAACGGAGCCGCCGACGTTGTTCTTCAGTTTGAAAGCTCTTCTCGCTGGCCAGACGATTTTGCGGCAATCCAAATGACCAAGGTTGCATTCCTCCTTAAGATTGGTGACTCTTTGGAATCCTCCGGCGCTGCTTCTTCCTGTCGCGTTGGCTTGGAGAACGAATCGAGCAAGGTGGTCAATAATGCATACCTGGATATCCCTCACACTTCGGGAGTCTTGTTCCGCTTGAGGATACACCATGACCGAGAACAGATATTACTTGAGCGCAATCTTAAGGATCGGACTCTCAGCCCCCGGGAACGGGAAGAGGCTGCTCATGCCCTGTTCGCTTACAAGAAGTCGTTTGTTCAGACCCCACGTTTGACCCAGGCACTGCGAAGTCTATGTACCCGCTTCCCTCTGCTGTCGCCTACCATCCGTCTCACCAAACAGTGGTTCAATTCTCACTTGTTCAATGCCCAGATCAGCGAAGAGTTGATTGAGTTGCTGACGATTCGGGCATTTACTCAGCCTAACCCCTGGGAATGCCCATCGAGCGTCATGACTGGATTTTTGAGGACTCTCCACTCTCTGTCCCGGTGGGACTGGCAACAGGAACCGTTCATCGTTGACCTGGGAGGAGAGCTGAGCCCAGAAGTGACTGAAAATATTCGCACTCGTTTCACTGCGTGGCGTAACATCGACCCTGCAATGAACAGCCTGGCGCTGTTTGTGGCTTCAGATGTCGACCCCGAAGGTGTGACATGGACACAATATGAGATGCCCTCTAAGGTTGTGGCTGCTCGGATGTCCAGCCTGGCCAAGGCTGCTGTGAATCTTCTGCGAACCCAACCTCTTGATATGGAGGTCTCTGATCTGTTTGATACCTCTCTTGCTCCCTACGATTTCGTGATCCATCTCCGCCCAAAGCTGTTTGGTGACCGTTCTTCAGTGGCCAAGTTCAAGAACTTGGCGGAACCCCGCTCTGGAATGATGGCAACCGTGAAGTCATTTGTTCGAGATGTGCAGGCCTGTTACAGCCAAAGCATCCTGCTTTTCCACGGAGACGAGCGCTGTGCTGTCATTGCTGGAATTTGGAACCCCCAAACTTTGAAGCCGCGGAATTGGCACTTGAAAACGGCATTCTCAACAGCCCCAGCAGTGGACTCGAATACTCAGGTTTTGATTAATCAACCTGCCATTTTGAACGAAATTGCTCGGTTGGGTCATGGTCTCATTGAAAACATTGAGATTCATGGCACTGCAGAGGAATAGACTTGTTATTTAATCAAAATTGACAATATTTGCATATATGATCTGCCTTTCTGTAGCATTATGAGCAGTTTTAATCGACCATGAAGCCTAAGATATCTGTCTGTTCGGCTGGCTCCTATGTACTTGTATTATGCGGCCTGAGGTGTCAATAATTGATAACCTATCTACCCTCACGATGTTGTCTTCTTTCACCTCTCACTTCGTAATGGCGTCTAGAACTCGGGGTCGAGGCATCCATGCTTCATTGCAGCCTTGGAGCAACTCTAGTTTTCATTATCAAGTCCGATCTCAATTGCAGCCCGTCTGTGTGCGGCCCAGTCAACTCTTCTCAACCTCGGCTTCAAGTCAACAATCTCGCCGACCCTCCCCATCATCACCTTCGTCCTCCGTCTCATCTACCACTATAGTCACAGCCCCTTATAAAATTGAGGTCAATGCTCCTAGCAGCACCTTTCCCGCCGAGATCGTCACCCCTGCTCCCATCTCTCCATCCGCTGGACTTCCGGACAAGCTGAAACGCTTTGTTGAAATCGGCCGCACATACCTCACCTTCTACAAGACAGGCTTGAAGAATGTGTACCGGAACTACCGCATCTCAATTCCCCTCCGGAAAGAGCTGGGTCTCTCAGTATATCTTCCCGTGTCTCCTCCACGGACAGTCTCACACAATAACGCCAATGCCCCTTCTATAAGAAAAGAATCACGACTAGGACGGGCGCAATTCCAGCTTGTCTGCCGCTCAGCTCGTGATGTCCGGCGCATGATCCCCTTCACAATGATCTTGATTGTCTGCGGGGAATTCACGCCGCTGATTGTCCCAATCTTCGGGTCCGCCATTACTCCAGCTACATGCCGAGTCCCCTCGCAGGTAGAGAAGGAACGCGTTAGCGCAACCAAGAGAAAAATCGCTGCGTTGGACGTTCATGTGACTGCCTCCAAGGACAACTCTTTGAGCCTGCTTCGATCTAGTAGTGATGAGCAATTGCATCTTCTCGCTAAGCAATTTGCCGACCCAGCTTGGGCGGCGAGCGCTGACCCTGCCTCTGTGCTGCGTGCCGCTGCTGTTTTTGGCCTGGTCAAGCGTCATGACCGAGCTGCCGCGACACTTCTGGCTGGTATGATCTATCGGCCCCGGCTCGCGCGGCATGTTGAGTACCTGGCCATTGATGACGGGATGATTCGTGCTGGCGGCGGCGTTCGAGCTATGAATGCGGCCGAGGTTCGGATCGCGGTTGAAGAGCGTGGTGGAGTTGATGTCTCGGCCTGTGCCAAAGACCGCAGCCAGGCGGAGAATGTCGAAAGGCGCTGGCTGGAGCAGTGGCTGGCTATTCGTGGAGGCAGCCCAAAGTCCAAGAAGCAGTAGCTCTGGGGTTGCGGATTTTGAGGACCCCTCTGTCTGTACAGTATAATTGCTTCTAGAGGATCCTTTGTACTAATTTCAACCATTTTAAATCTCACATAATATGTCGGGAAATCGTGCTGCTATCAAGGTCTACCAAGAGTTCCTCATAGAGCATGATTATCTGAATTAATATATACCATTGGAAGCTACTCGGCATTGGAATTTCGAGACGCGGAGTGGCTGATTGTTTAAGTAAATTTCGTAATATCAAATTGCCAACATTTGCTAACATTCAGAGAAATCAACAAGACATGATGCGTATGAAAACAGTATAACACCAACTTGGCTTGAAAGACAACACTTGTGGCAATTTCGACCAAGTCAATGGGGGTATCAAGAAACCAGCTCTCCAAAAAAAAAAAAAAAAAAAAAAAAGGAATTCATGTTACGAAAATAAAGCCAGAATTTAGACAGACACTGCTTTATAAGTTTCAAGCACCCGCAACTGCCGACGCAGAAGCCCCAGCCTGCGCCTGCGCCTGACCACGGACTTGCTTGGCCCACCGCAGACCACAACTGTTGCAAAGATCACGATTTCCACTAGGACCGCGGCGCCACTCTGGAGTAACCTTGGTCCTGCACATGGCGCACGTCTTTTCTACGGAGGCAGCGCTCTGCTTGCGCTTGCGCTTCTTGCGTCGGGCCAGCAGACGTTGCAGTTCATCTGCCAGAGTGCGGTTCTGCTTCTCTAGTTCACGCAGCTCGATTTGCCAGCTTGATCCGCGGGTGGGGTTGAGTTCTGTGAAGAAGGTTGCTGGGTCGGCAGAGGATGAGATGCTGCTGTTCCCAGTTGGCAGACCGTTGAGTCCAATGAGGTTTGAGAGGTCGGGCTTTCGTTGGCCAAGAGCTCCGTATTGGCGGGGCGGTAGAGGGTCATCAACGGTGAGGGTTGTGTTTCGTGCGGTGCCGGGGAGCGCAGCAAGGTTTTCGTCCCCGGCAGCTGTTATAGCGGTGGAGGATGGAGGGAAAGATCGAGCAAATCGAATCTGGGCGACAAGGAAGGACGGTTTGACTCCTTTTCTGGCATCACCAGCGTATATAGTAGTATGCGCCGAGAGGACGTGTCCTTTCTTGTGCTGCATCTGGTGCCTGAAAGACGGGAGATCCTCGGTGTTCTTGTTGCTGCCCGCGACGGCGGTCATGCCCGCCCCCTGGCCACGAGACGCCGCATCCAGAGCTTGTGTGATTGTGGCAGGACCACCAGACTCGGGCTCCATGATCTCCTGTAAGCCCTTTCCAATAAAATCATCGGGCGAGCGGCCGAGAACCGGCTTCACTTTAGTAGTGATGAATAGAATGACACCGGACAAAGAAATCTTGGCCCAGATGTCGTTTTCAGCCAGCGCGGCAGACGAGCCCAGTCGGGCAATTTGATCCAGTGCGTAGACCGGTCGAGGACGGCCGGTCAGGACAAGATGTCTCCGGCCATGACTCCGGTCAATGTGCCATGCACCATGACTCTCGAACCACATGTATCCCCGGTACTTTTGTCTGATACGATATACCACACTCACTGGAGCAGCTGTCGTGCTCGCCCTCAAGTCACGCATCACGGGACCAATATCGCTAGGATGGCAGATCGTAGACAAGGTCTTGCCAACCAGCTCGACCGGGTCATACTCGAGAATCTTTTGGCAAGACGGCGATAAATACAGGAATTCACCGTTGAACGAAACCACATGGATCACATCATCGGTATTCTCAACCAAAATGCGATCCAAGTAGTGACGGCTGACTTCATTGCCAGATGCACTCACTGCATTGAGGATGGCAGTCACTTCATCATGACCAAATTGCGCCACGAGGTCTGGCCTAGTTGTGTACGCGTCTGGAGGTGGGACCACATACTGAGGCAGTTGATCCCGTTGATAGTTAATGCTATAAGTGCCATCTACGTAGTCGTCAGTAGAGGCACTCTCCATAAAGCAATCCAGGCATACCAGGGTTTCTCCTCGTAACGGCATCGGGCTTTTCAACCAGGTCGACTTGGAACCCGACGTAATACCGATACTCCTCCGAGTCCCACTGGATAGGGATCATAGTGATGAGATTCATAAACGGCTGTCCGCCCTTGCGATAGTTAATTATACTTGCTTGGATCTCACTGCGATCATCAATGGTTGACCGCAGCCGGTAGACCGTCTGTCCATCAACAAAAGTCCGCTTCGCACCAGGGGAGACCTTGCCATCAGGCCCTTGAAGGAATCGACAGTTCCGACCAACAATCTCCTCCTTGTTATAGCCTGTCAATCTTTCAAAGGCCTCTGAGACATATATAATGGGCTGATCTTCGCGTAAGATATCACACATCACAAAAGCACAGGATAGATCCACTGCGCCAATGTTGATTCTAGGATTCGGGCGCATTGCCACACGACCCTGGATGGGTTTAGTAAATATCGCTATCACGACGCATTTACAAAACGTACCAAAGCACCCAGTACATCAAATCCACTACTCGAGTAGATACCGGTATGCTCGGTCTTGCCAATCTCGGGCTTTTCCAGCCCCGGCGCGATAACACCTGGAGGCGCAGTCTCCGCGTCAGTCATACCCTGTGCCAGAGCCAACGGCTCGAGTACCGGGCGCACAACTCACCTTTAGCGGGGACGGGTTTCTTGGGCTGGATCGCGACCGGTTGTGAGGCACGGTACGGGCTCGCAGGCTGCAGCCGGCGCTCCTGGGGTGGGGGCCGATGAGGACGCGGCTGCATCTGTAACTGCGACCGGTCACTCATCTGGCCTGAAAAATCCGGGTCGTCAAAATTGGCCGTGGCATCGGTGCTAGTATCGTGGGGTTCCTTGCGTGCTAGCGGGGCCGCCTGCGGGTGCGGCTGTGGAAGCTGAGAATGGGTCTGGGGGTAGTAGGAGACCGGCATTGATTGTGGGAAGGACTGGTAGGCGGGCTGGAACTGTGACTGTTCCAACTGCGTCAGGCCCATGGAGGTTGCCGGGTAGGTTGTCGGGATACTGTAGGTATAGGCGCTGTTGGGATCCAGGCTTGTGGGCATTGAGACCGGGTTGGGCATCGAGTCGTAGGTGAGCATGACATTAGACATACGTCCTTCCAGGTCCTGGGGTGGCCGCTCGAAGCTCTGCACGGGTAGATTGGCGTCCTGGGGTAACATGGCGCTAAAGGCATAATTGCCGACATGGGTGGGAAAGGCCATGTAGGAAGGATCCAGGGGCTGTGAACCCCCGGAGTCCTGAGATTCATCAGGACCATAGTCAAGGTTGAAGTCCATAGAGTTGGCCATAACGTCCGTGGGGTTGAATGCAACGCCCGGACTGAGTTCCAGAGCCCCGGGTTAGCTAGGGACCAAAGTCTGGGGGACCTCCACTGTTGGTCTTTGGTCTCAGTCTCTGTGGTCTCTGAGGTCTTTGAGATCTCTATATCTTCGAGGTCTTGGTTAGTAGTTGTAGTCCTCTCTGAGAGAAGAGAAAAGGGTGTCTCTCCTCTTCTCAAAAGTGCCCTGTCACTTTGTGTGGACCCCGGAGAAGTACTGAGCGCCAATAAGCAACCAACAAACCCAGAGATGAGAATTGTTGTGGATTCTAGAACTCAACAAAAGGCGTAAGTTAATGTTTCGGTATTTCTGTGTTCATCTCTCTGGGTTGAGTTGAGTTGTGTCTGTGCCTAGAGGAAGGAAAAGGTGGGAAAGTGTCAAGAGGCAAAATCGCAGTTGATCTATCACAAATGCCAACTTAACTGTCGACACGAGTATCTCCAGCAGTCAAAGATCGTAGTGGTACAAGATCAGACGCTATTGAGTGAAACCTGAAGCATCTACTTGCGGTACTCTTATCTTAGCCCCTTTTCCTCTCTTCTTTTACCTTCTTCCTCTCTTCTCTCCTTGTTTTGATCTCCAATGTCCCCCCACGTTTCCCCATAGCGTGGCCATGGACAAGATCTCAATCACCATCTGTGGAGATGGCGGATGCGGTACGTTGCAGCAACCTTCTTCTTCTCCTGGGAATATCCCGATACCGTGATTCGGTGCCGCCTCTCCGGGTCTGGTGCGCGATCGAGATCTGATCAGATCGGGAATCAGGCAAATCGTCCATCACCCTGCGGCTGGTCCACAGTCAATGGATTCATGAGTGAGTCTCGCTGCCCCTGCAGGAAGCAATCTCTGATAGCTCATCTTTAGATATGACCCAACAATTGGTACGGCAGCCCCCCGATGCAGCGAGTTCACGTCTGATCGATTGCAGAGGACTCGTACTCCGTTACCCGCAATGTCGATGGTCTCCCCTACTTCCTCTCTATCACTGATACAGCGGGCCAAGAGGAATACCGCGGCCTATGGACGGCCTCTACGCTGAAATCCGATGCCTTCCTCCTGGTCTACGATATCACCAATCCCTCAAGTCTCGAAACGCTGGACTATTTCATGGACATGATTAATATGGAGGCGGAGCAGCGCGTGGAGGACAACGAGCGATTGCGCAAAGAACTCGGGCCCCAGGCTGCAAGGGCACAAATCGGCATGCCACCGCCGGTCAAGATTCTCGCCGGCAACAAATGCGATCTGAAAGATGATCGCGCGGTGACCTCACGCGACGGGCTCGAGTATGCGCGCAAACACGGATGCGGATTCATGGAGACCAGCGCGCGCGAAATGGTCAACATCGAAGAGACATTTTCCCGTAGGTGCATCATGACAGTCAACAAGAAAAAGGCTAACGGTGGTAGATCTGGTCCGTCGCGTTGTCGAAGCTCGTCGAGTTCATTGCCAACAAGATACACCACGTCCTCCCCAATGTACTGAGCCGGCGCACACGACAGCCTTACCGCGGACCAGTGTAGATGCCACGGTCGATGGTCGAACCCGAAGTCGCGTCTGGCGATTCATCAAACGTCGGAAGACAACGGAACCATACGAACAGGTCCAGGAACAGAATGCAATGGCTAGGACAGAAAAACAAACAAGGAAGCATTGTCTCTGTTGCTTCCGTTAGGATCATTGTCTCTATATCTATCTGTATATCCCTGTATATTAGCAGTCCTGAGAGTTCAAGGTACCATATACATATATCGTCTCCCCGGGAGCATCGACATGTTGCACATGGAAGTTATATCGAGAGCAACGGGAGCCCACCTTCGGCGCGAATGGACTCGGAACGTGTCTCCGGGGGGACCAGGGACATTTAGTTCTCCACGGATCGAATGGCCCGAGACCATATGGCAACGATCAGGCACTATTTTGACCAGAGCCAATGAGGGTATCCGCTGTATATTTCCGGATTCATGCATTGCCTGAAGTGGTAAGGCCTTCCGCCAAGCTTTGTGGATAATGAAGTAATGCATCGCGCAGAATTCGAAGCCGGAATGTGAGCCGAGAAGAGTACAAGTATTAATCCTGGTCTAGGCTTGATGATGCAACATTAAACATGAAAGACCAAGATTCTGTACGAGCAGATCCGGGGGATTAAGATCAGGTTAGAGTGGTTAACGTCATGGACTCGAGTGGCGCATGATTACTTAGATTATGCTTCATTGGTAATCAGGTGATGAATCACGATTTCGGACTACAGTACTTGGTGCTTAGGTTGTTACCTAGATAGCTGCTTATTACTCAGGTTGGTGTAAGAGCTTTGAAATTCCTTACATTTCTACTCCACGGAAGATTCCCTCGGCAGGGTCTTGCCGAGTCGCCGTGCATAGAATTATACACGTTATTATGCAGTTGAGCGCTAAACATTAGACCTATAGACATATTATTTTCACTTGGGGCATTCAGGTATACTTTCTAAATAACGTTCTATGCTTTCTATAATAACCACTAATTGTCCCGATGATCGTATTCCGGAAGTGTAGTCCATTCGGATATACGTCAGAAAGACTCCGAAGGCCGAACAGGAAGCTCCGTCTCCGTTGACTAGCGAACTCTGACCAAATGCCGAGTCTTCCAGACTTCTCCACTTCGAGTAAATCGTTAAAGAGAAAAAGGGAAAAAAAAAAAAAAAAAAAAGATTAAAAAAAAACCAGGAAAAAAGAAGTGGAGTACACGTTATGATTCGATCCGATCTTATGCTTCGACATGTACAATAATCCATGACTCTTGTAATCAAAATTAGTTGTAAATCCGCAGCAACCCCCCTCTTTTTCAAGTCCTTATATATGCACTGCTCCCCTTTTCTGACCCAAAGATCATCTGCATCAGTCTACTCTATAACTTAATTATCTTCAAGAGTCTGGTTTCCATCCTCGACATTATTATATCATTGACCGTGATTGACGTCGATCAGTCCTGGTACTCGCCGGATCTGGAAGTATAGCTCGAAAAGCTCAAAACCCCCCCCAAAAATCCGGGTCATTATATCTTTGTCCTCGACATCTTTCCCTATATACATTATGGCAGCGCGCCAATCAACACCAGCCTCGGAGCATTCGCATTCTGATGGTGGAATTCGCAAAAGAGTATGCAAGGCCTGCGATCGGTGTCGTCTGAAGAAATCCAAGGTATGGAGCACATAGAAGACGAGCAATCGTCCATAAACTGACCCGGACAGTGTGACGGATCTAGCCCTTGTTCGCGATGCCGAGCTGATAACGCCATCTGCGTCTTCGGGGAACGAAAGAAGGCGCATGATAAGGTGTACCCCAAGGGGTGAGCTGATAGAAGCTGTATACTTCCGTTCAAATCAATACTAACTACGATCTCCTCTAGATATGTTGAAATGCTCGAGCAGCAACAAGCCTGGCTAGTCAACGGTCTCCAGGAACTATATCGACGCAACCTCGACGGCGAAGGCTGGCCCGGCGAGCAGCTGAAGCTCGAACCCAACGGCCACCCACTTACACACGACCTGCTGATGCGTCTCGGCGCCCTCGATGGCAGCAAAGGCGAGCGTTTTGAAGAGCACCCCGAAGCCCTGCAGCAGGATCTATGGCGCACCAACACAGGCATGCAGCGACAAGAATCATCCGACGGAGGCTCTGACAGTCCACAGTCCCCCGCCCGCTCGCGCTTCTCATCCGATGCCTTCTCGCAGCACACCATGCCGCCAACACCGCCCACATATAGCCCATCAGCACGCGCACCCATCAAGACTGAGCCACAGATGCCCAACACTCCACAGTTTGCGCAGCCGATGCCTATGGGGGTTGTCAATCCCTTGGCTCTGCAGGATCAACAGTGGCCTGGCAATGGGTTCAACCCGTTCGATGATATGGATCTGATGCCCGCCGATTACTCTCATTTGCCTTTCGACGACCAGCAGCTGTCTTCACCCATGTTCAACCGCCAGGTGCCTATGAACTGCATGTCACAAGGGTCATTTCTAGATTCCAAGAACGACTACGATGATTTCAATCAGTTCTTGAATCCGAACCCTACGGAAATAACCTCTCTCTGAGGGATCTGAGGTTCTCGACTTTAATGCCGTATGACGACGCATGTATACCGTACATGTTTCATTCTCTCTTCTCTCTGGGGCTATTGCCCCCCGATTTCAGGCGCAATTGGGTTTATGTACAGTGAATGGGTTTGGGGGCGTTTCAAAAAGGCGGGGGGGTGTCATACCCTACATGTTTTAATTCCAATCTAATGAAGTTCTGTCACACCGTCTCATCATTTCTTTTCTAGAAGCAATTCAAGGACCGGAGTTGGGTGCCGAGCCTATACTACATGCTCCACAATACGCCCTGTCTCCTCATCGATTAGTGTTGACTAATCCCAGTCAGCACCGGGTATAATTCGGGTTTAAGAGATTACTGATTATGAATCGGAGCTGACTCAGCGGAACCCACTTGAGGCATTTGACATTTGAGCCATTTCTTTCTTACATGTTGAGAAAGTCGCCGAAATGCCGAACTTCCCGATTCACGGAGTTTCATATTCCGATCTCTTTTATTTTTTTCTTTTATTTTTTGGATTCATAATATGGAGTGCATGCCAAGTGTGCAGTAGACACTTGTCCGACTAGTATAATCCTTCGTATTCGGTTTCGTACATGTAATTCTTATGACCCCCTGAAACGGCCGAAACCTGTTTCGCCCGTTGGTCCACCGAGAAAAATGCCTGCCTAAACCAATGCCCCAATATTGATGGTTTGGCAAAAGTTGGCACTTGGCACTCCGGGGTAGAAACCCTTCGGGCACCGGAACCCCGTTTTGTCCGACCGGATGCTGACTGTCCCTAGTCCCGGGCAGCCAAGTCTGAGCCCGAACTTAACTTATACAAAGTACGAGTATACCTGGATCTATAAGCACGTGAACTGCACATGATCTAAACAATGATATCCAACATGGGTCGGGTAATTGGAGCTCAAGCTCCTGTTTAGCCTAATCCCTGAATCCATCAACATTTATGCTAAACGGAGATTGATCCCGCAGATTGCGGGGTTCCAAACGTCATGTCGACCCCGAGAATAATAACCTTCCTCTTCCACTAACTTGGAATGTCAACCATGTCTGTCCCTGAGCAAGCCGCATTTACCTTCCTGCCTTTGGGCGCCATCATCCAGGAGTTCCGTGTCGGTGACAAGAATATCGTCCTAGGCTTCCCAACACAGGTCGACTATGTCAAGCACAACACCCCGCATTTCGGTGCCACGATTGGCCGTGTCGCCAATCGTATCAAGGATGGCCTTATCCAGAACCTGAATGGTCGGGAGTACCAGCTGACAAAGAACAACGGTCCCAATGCGCTGCATGGCGGTGAACAGGGTTGGGGAAAGCGTGTCTTTGACGGCCCCTACACCGTCAAGCGCCACGGCCATGATGCCCTACTGTTCAAGTATCTTTGCCGGGATGGTGAGGAGGGGTACCCGGGCACTGTTGAGGTGCGCGTATGGTACACCGCCAGCAAGGAAGATGATGGCGCCGCCAAGACCGTGCTGACGGCAGAGTACGAGGTGGAATTCATTGGTGATGAGTGTGACGAGACCGTTGTCAACCTCACCAACCACAGGTAAGTTCTCACGCTACCCCAAAGCATATATCAGCAACATCCACTCACAAGCATTCAGCTACTTCAACATCGGTTCTGGTCCCGACATATCGGGCACCACCGCCCAACTCGCCACAGCCGACTACCTACCTTTGGACGACACCGGCATCCCATCAGGCGGAATTGCCAAGTTCTCACGCGATGTGACCAAGCCCTTCGAGCTGACCGCCACAGGCGCTCACATCGACGACGTCTTCATCATGGAGAAGGATGCCTCCAAGATCCCGCTGGACACACGTGGCCTGCCACTGCGCCGCCTGGCGCAGTTCAGCAACGCAAGCACAGGCCTCCATCTCGAGGTTCACAGCACGGAGCCAGCATTCCAATTCTACACTGGCAAGTATATCAAGGTGCCCGAGATCAATGGCGCCCCAGCTCATCATGAGGGTGCTGGTTTCTGTGTTGAGCCTAGTCGGTTCGTCAATGCCATCAATGAGCCCGAGTGGCGGTCTATGGTTCTGCTTCGGCAGGGTCAGATCTTTGGATGCAAGAATGTGTACAAGTCGTGGAAGGCTTAGACCTTCTAGTGTGGAGATTCGCGGCAAACGGCAAACGGCAAACATGGAAAATATAGCAAACAGGGACCAAAACGTATCAGATCTGGCGGAAGTAAATTTCCAATCAATCCCGAGTTTTGAGTTCCGTGACATCTGCCCGATCCGATATTCGGCCCGTGACACTATCAGGTTTTTAACGTCTGAACAAAACAATTAAAACCAAATTAAAATTGGAGATAAAAATATAAAATATATAAACGAAAGAATCGAAAATAGCCATCCCTAGTCTCAACGCGTATCATATTAAAACCCTTGAAACAGAAACCAGATAACTAAATTTCTAAGAAAGTCCGAAAGCCAAAGCGTTCGAGAATCCTCGAAAATGCGCCCAAATGAGAAAGCTCGGCAACGGATCCACCAAGTCCCACAGTGATTCCGTTCGATGCCATTTCCCGAGTGCTGATTCCTCCGGAGAACGGCACCCAGAACCGAGTTTGCTTCCGGATATAACACGGATATACATAACACGGATGTTTCTTCACCTGGATGTTACCCAATTAGGCCTGGATCGAAGGATCTGCTCACTAGTCAGGTTGACTATCTTGTTTGTGGGTTTGCAGGCTTAGACTATGGGCTTATAGGGGTATAGTGCCGAGCATGGATCCGATAATGCGGTTTGATGGCGTCGAACGGTTCTGAATGTATATGCTTGAAGATTGTAAGGGTCTATCAGATTTCCTAGTGATGATTATCGGATTTGTGGATTGATGATCAACTGTTTTCCTAGTTGGGCTGTTTTATGCTACATTCTATGCAATTTCGCGAAGATTATGGAGTCGATGATCTCCATGAACTTTGGAGAACTGGTCCATGATTACCATAAAACACAAAGGGCAGTGGGAGATTTGAAATTACCTGTCTAGACCCGCACTTCCTCTACTGAGAGTTCTAGTGAAGGGCTAAAGAGGCATGTCGGCTAGGATGGAGTCTGTGGCTGATCGACAGGACGGCCAGACGGCCAGACGATCATGAGGGGAAGCTATGAAGCTAGCTGGTTCCTAATGCAACCATATGCCAAAGCTAGCAAGATATGCCCCCTAATTAGCCGGAAGCAAAGCAGTTCAATGTCCCCAACGTCCAATGTACATGTATACTTCCACGTGACATCGGCCGGAATCGGAGAATCCGGAGGATTTCCGGGCCGACGCACCCCGCGCGGGGAATTTCCATACTCGATAACATTCACAGACCTCTAGGGCTCTAATTGATCTACACCCCTAGACTCTCACAGAATCGCCAGCGAATTTACAATGGCCTTGACTCACGGTGATCTGCGGCATCTACTGCCCGGTAACTACAAGGGCCTCATTACATCCTGGCTGGAAGAGGACTGTCCCAGTCTCGACTATGGCGGCTTCGTGGTTGGAGAGTCAGAAGGTGAAGCACGCCTACTGGGCAAGAGCAAGGTAAGCAGCCCCATGTACTTATAGCCCAATACCACTTAATGTTACCAACAAGCTAACCACGAAACAGGGCATCGTCGCCGGCGTACCATTCTTCGACGAAGTCTTCACCCAACTAGGCTGCACGTACGTCTAATACTCCGACCCCACACTATACCCCCACAAAACAGCAAACTAACAACCCCAGAATCGAATGGCACATCAGAGAAGGCGAAACAATAACCCCAATCCAGCACTGCGCAACAGTCCGCGGGCCGATCCGCAAGATCCTCCTCGGCGAACGCGTAGCCCTAAACATCCTAGCGCGCTGTTCGGGAATCGCCAGCAAAAGCGCCTCAATGCTCTCCGCACTCCGCGCCCAAGGCTGGCAAGGAACCCTAGCTGGAACGCGCAAGACAACACCCGGTTTCCGGCTCGTGGAGAAATACGGCATGCTAGCCGGCGGCGCGGACCCGCACCGACACGATTTGAGTTCGATGACTATGCTGAAGGATAACCATGTATGGGCGTGTGCGAATAACCGGGCTGCTGCCGATGGGGGAGTAGCAGATCCGTCATCTATTGAGTCGATTGCGGCTGCGATCCCGCGGGCTGTGGCGGCTGCTAAGGCTACTGGCGGGTTTTCGACCAAGATTGAGGTTGAGTGCCGGAGTGTTGAGGAGGCGAATGCTGCTATTGGGGCTGGGGCGGATGTGATTATGTTGGATAACTTTACTGCGGAGGGAGTGCGGGAGGCTGCTGCTTTGTTGAAAAGGGAGTGGGCGGCTAAGAGAGCATTCTTGATTGAGGTTAGTGGAGGGTTGACTGAGGAGAATGCGCCGTCGTATGTCTGTCCTGATGTGGATATCTTGTCTACGAGTTCTATTCACCAGGGGACAGGGATTGTGGATTTCTCGCTGAAGGTGTCGTTGCGGTAGAGGTGGCGTGTATCATACAATGCTTGATTTAAAATTATCACCTGGATAAAAGATATGTACTTCTATAGAGTACATAACAAGAAACGAAAACATAATAGGATGTTGCAAACTCCCATAAAACAGAAACGCCTTCCTCTCATGACCCTCGTGAATGATCATTGCAAGCATATGCGATAAGTGTAATGTGGATGTGGAATAGGTGAAACAAACTCCGACGAGGGGGGTATATAGTACAGGGGTGAACCGCAGCGCCAGGTAACAAATCAGACCTCGATGTCTACCGTGATGCCCTCTCCTTCACTGGAGCTAGGCGCTTCATCCGAGGTAGGGGGCCGACGATTGCCACCAGCAGGAACAGGTCCTGAAGGACCACGCCGTGTGCGTTCCCGGCTGAGCTGGTCTCGAAGCTTTTGGTTCTCGGCATCACGCTCCTCGAGTCGCTTGCGAGCGCCACTGCGGTCCAGGAGACGACCTTCACGTTCGGATTTCAGTCGCTTCTCCAATTCATGAAGACGGTGAACCCATTTCTCATCACTAGTATCCCATCCGCCTTGCGAGCTGCGCGTGCGATGGACCATTGCTCCAGCATTGTTGGTCAACGTGCTACTGGACGAGGAGTGAGAGGGCTGTGGAAGACCCGTAGCACTGCGAGTAAGAGTCCTCTCTGGACGAGGTCTGTCACTGGCTGAGGAGTTTTGACGAGCCAAAGTGCGTTCCGCATCTGCTGTTGACGCTAGGGATGGGGACTGGGGTCCTGATCCCATCACTGCAGACGCAGCGGCAGATGCATGTCCGCGTGAATTGGTTTGAATCAGGTTGAGTTCGGCTTTCAGGAGTCGGTTCTCACCACGCAGCTTGGAGATCTCTGGCGAGGAGCCCGACTGGCCACGGCTGGTTCGCATATTTTTGACTGCCTCTTCAATACGCTCGAGCTTGCGGATCCGTCCATTATACGACTGCTCCAGAGTGTGGTAGCGCTTGGTCATCTCGTGGTCAACGGACTTGATACGGCTCTTGAATCCAGCAATCACAGCCTCGACGGTCTTCATCGCAAGCAACAAGTTGCGGCTGAAGCCAGGCCAGAAAAGGATGTTACCAATGACCTCTTGGCTGGGAAGATTGCCATTGATAAGACTGTTGGAGTGCGCCCAGTCTGGCCCGCAAAGCCCAGACATTCTCTTCCAGATAGTGAGGAACATGGTATTGCGCTCGTTAAGTTGGTCCTTGAATTGCTGCTCCAACGATGCATATCGCTTGCGGTCCTGAGTACGAGCATTCTCCAGATCTGTGATGCGGGAGTTGTTCTGTGTAATGGTGCGCGAAGCTTGTTGGTGAGATTTGAGCGATGATTCAAAGGACTGCTTGTCTGCCCGACGTGCTTGGCGTTCGCGTTCCAGAAGTTCCGAAAGTTTGCGAGACTCAAGTCCATGGCTTTCGAGCAGAGCGTCGCGGTTGCGAAGCAGTGTCTCCTTCTCATCTAACTGCGAGCGTATGCTCTCCAGCTCAAGTGCAGTTGACTCGAGCTCCTTTTGCAGCTTCATGATGTTGGTGATCAAGCTGGATCGGCTGCCGCTAAGATCACCCAGAGTTTCTCTCAAGTTGTTCTCAAGGTCCATCAGACGTTCTCGCCAGGTAGAAGTTTCAATCTCCTGCGCGGACAGACTCTTTTTCAATCGCCGGACTTCCTCCTTGGCAGCAGAGGCTTCGCGGTTCAGCTCATTCATGATGCGCTGAACATCTTGCTTCTCCTTACTTCCGACCACCTCTCGCTGGTGTCTTTCATCGGCCAGTCGTTGCTCGAGCTCCCTGCTCTTCTCCCTCTCACTCATTAAGCTCATGTGATAGTTCTTGAGCTCCGACTCGAGGTCGCCAATGCGGATCTTGTCGCCATCTTGCTCTTCCCGGAGGAAAGCAATCTCATTCTGACTCGACTCGATTTGCACCGTCAGTCGTTGGACCTTGGTGTTGGCCTCGAAGAGACTCTTCTCCACAGATTCCATCTCGCGGTTGGTTTCCTCGAGCTCTTGCTGCACGGACTTGTATGCCGCCAAGTTGTTCTGCGCATCTTCCTCGAGACGGATGATACCCTCGCTGGCAGAACGCATTTCCGCTTGCAAGACCTTGAGACTTTCATCCTGGTTTCTTAGGTCCTCATTCATGCGCTGGCACTCCATGATCTTTTGATCAAGCTCGTCTCCGAGATTATCTAACTCATCCTGCGCCTCAGCTCGCAGGTCCTGGAAGGCAGCATCCCGCTCATCTGCGATTTGCATGGCGTGGTCTCGTTCCTGGGTGAGGCCTAGAATCTCTTCCTCGGCTTGATCTACATCTGCCTGATATGCCTTGTCAAGAGCCTCCAGTTCTCCGGAATATTCCTCGACCTGGGCTCGCAGGGCTTGGTTATCGAGTTTGAGGGTTGAGACTTGGTCCCGCAGATGTCCGTTCCGGGCTTCGAGCTCATCACGGTCTAGGTCGCTGCGAGACAAGCCTCCGTCGCTAGCCTGAGACGATGGTCGGATATGGGCGCGTGAGGCGGAGCGATCAAAGATACTGTCGCCGGCCACTGATCGGCCAGTGTCGCGACGCTGACCCATTTTCAACTCCTCAATCTCCTGGTAGAGACGTTCCTTCTCGCGGTTGCGAGATGTGAGCATTGAAGTTTGAGCGCTGACCTCCTTTCTCAGCTCCGCGTTCTCCTGTTTCAAGAGGCCAAGCTCCACAATAAGTGTGCTGCTGGTAGCCGGAACGCGGTTGCCATCTCTGTCAGAGAAGTATGAGACCTCACTTTGATGCTGACCAGACTTGGCAGTCGAGTACATCTCACTCCGCAGACGGATCGACTCATCACGAAGTCTCCGATTCTCATCCTCAGCCTGCTCACGCGCGGAGGTTTCTGCGTCGAGCATGTCCTTCCACATGTCCTGGACAGCTGATTAGCCTGGAAATTATCGATTATTTGCATATGACTTACTCGCTCTTCCCTCGCACCGGCATCAGACTCGCCAGTGCGGTTCTCGCTGAGTGACTTGACCATCTCAGCCAATCGTCGCTTCTCACTTTCTCTCGCAATGCTTTCTGACCTCATGCGCTCAATCTCGAGCTCAAAAGTTTCAACACGCTCACGCAGGAAGACAATCTCCCCATCTTGCGCTGAATCACGATCGCCGTCCTCTGACCCATCGGGGTCATGGTTGACCATAGATTCCTTGTCTGACTGCTGCTCCTTGACTTGCTTTTCCAAGTCCCGGATCTTGCGCTTCAAGCTTTGGTTATCCTTTTGAAGTTTGACCTTGTCCGACTTAAGCTCAACATTCTCCCCGATCATCTCTTTAATACCTTCCTCGGAGCGTCTGTTCAGCGCCTCATTGAGGAAATGGACTCGCATTTTCAGGTCAAAGTTATCCTTTGAGAGTCTGTCAATGGTGCTGCTCTGCTCCTTGAGAGTCAAAGTCCGGCCACTTTTGCCAAATGCCGGGGTTGAAGCACCAGGTCTCTTCTCAGGAGACGGCTGGAAGTCTTCCCGGAACCGCTGCGCAAAGCTAGTAGGAATTTGAATACCTTTGACGCGCTCTGCAATTGCTGTATCCGTAGGAGGATTGCTGTCTTGTGGTTTCGCCTTTGGCGTCACCGGTGCAGACACATCATCGTAGTTGGCTTGTTGCGGGGAGCCAGCTCGAGATCGTGGCGAGCTCTCCTCCTCCAATGTATGAAGGCCTTTATCTGTTGGACCACTTGTATTGCGCTTCTCGACGGAGTTCTCTTCACTATATCCAGAAACACCCGATGCCATGCTTCCAAGGCTAGTAGTCCTTGCCATATGAGCCCGACTTGGAGCGTGGAGGCCACCCCAGTTTTCGGGGACTGCACCTCCAGTTTGAAGAGCATAGTCTGCGCCCAATGTAGCATCGCTGTTTGTTGTTTCCGTGTTGTTACTCGCGACCGAGGAGTGAGAAAGGCGATGGGCTGATTGGCGGCTAGTCAGATATTTGGGCCGACTGGCCCTGCGACTACTACCGCTCTGGTCACTAAACAATCGCGACGCGCCGGGCGACAAGCTTCGGTCAGTGTTTCTAAGCTTGGAGGGTGTGAGTTGCGATTCGTTTCCAGCCATAGAGAATTCCGATCTGAAGGGGCGCTCGTCTTGAGAGAACTGGCTGTTGTCCGGCGCATTTTCGGACAATGTAGACTGGTTACGGCGGAGGGCTGCTGCGGCGGAGGGCGACGAGGTGCGTGAATCAACCATACTATCGCCATGTTGTTCCTGCTCCTGCTCCTGCTCTTGTCCGGGTTCCTTAGGGCCAGTAGGTGCCGACTCGTCGTCTATCTTTGGTTCGTCCTTTCCGACATTCTCCTGATCCTGCGTGTGGTGTGCTTGGGTCGGTTCACGGAACGAGAGCTGTGAAGAATCGTTCTGCGAGATGTCGTGATCTTTCGGGACACCAACCAGGTACGTGTCATCCGCGCCAGCTGTAGGGCCTTTCGCGGCGACATCAATTGTCGAGGGCTCTGGGAGAAAACTCGACTCGATGTCCATCAGCTTGCGGCGCATTTCGTGCTCCTCAATGAGAGTCTGATTGTTGGCGCGTTCGTGGTCGCCATTCTCGCTGGATAAAGGGAATAGACTGCTCTGGTCGTGGTCAATCATAGAAGGAGTAAAGCTGTGGTCATCAAGGTCTAGTTGCGCCGAGGTCATGGTAAATTCAGGGTCCTCGATCTCGCTTTCCGTAGCTGTTGGCGCGTCGTGCGCTGTTACCGAGGGGGGTGTCCCCCTGCTTCCTCTGCCATGAAGTATTGGGAACTGAGATCATCCAAGTACTGTGCTGGCGTCTGGAATGCCGACACATAAGACGGGGAATTGATCGGAGTTGAAACGGTGACGGTGTCTAGGCGTGTTTGGGTCTCCACACCCTGCGACTCGCTACCCGCTTCGATCGGCGAATGAGCGTTCATCTTCGGGATGTATCAACACAGGCACAGGCACAAGCACAGGTTCAGGTTCAGGTTCAGGTTCAGAGTCATGGATGTGATGGATGTGATAGATGAGAATTACAGAGCTGAGCAGATTTGTATATCATCTGGAAGGAGCGACTGCTCACTTGATGTGTAGGATCATGTGCTGCTACGTATAGCTGGTATAGTTGACCACTTAGCTGTCTACTGTACTCTATTTTACGTGCAACATGTAGACGATTCATAGCATTCTAAACAATCATGGTATCCATAACATCACATAACCGTCCCAAGCATTAAACAGAATAATCAGTAATCCACGCCCCAAGTATCACCAAGGAGCACTATAGCCACAGAAGAAAAGTATACAGAAATTGGTAGTGTCAAATACCAGAAAAGACGGTAGATCGCTTTTGAGGTATTCATCAGGAACAGTTTCAAGCTGAGAAGGTATGTACAAGTCGGAGGTTCGTTCGGAGGGTCGGGGGAAACGGAGGAGAGTCAATTATGCGACTAAAGTTTGCTCCACGGTCGCCTCCTCGGCTGGAGTATTGTTTTCGCTGCTAGAAGCGTAGATCTTCTCCTTTGAATTGATAGCGTTGCGTAGGGAATCGATATAAGTGCGGAATTTGACAATCTCCCGCAACAGATAGGATGATTTCCGTTCCCAGTTGGCCATGGCTTTGGCAGCGTTGGGGTGGCGTGGAGAGAACGCCAGGTTCATAGCAGAACGTAGTTCATTGTGTCTGGAAAGGTCGTCTTCGACGTTCTTCACATAAGACTGCAGAGACTTGAGCTGTTCCTCCTCATTGAAGTTGGAGGCAACCATGCTTTGTTGCGGCGGACTCCAGTCACTAATGTTGACCCGGTCTGCGGGAAGTCTGGGCCGCACGCCCTGTTGATCAATGGAGCTTCGGATGGAGCTCTGAATACTCGGCCGTGCACCCGACGAAGGCGGCGGGGATCGACTTTCACCACCAACCAGGGCGCTGTTGATGACAGCGTCACTCCATCCATATTCGATATTGCTGACACCCCCAACAAGGGGTTGCTTAGACAATCGAGCACTCCAGTAGTTGGCAGTGGAGACGAATTCTCGTACAATCTCGGGGGTTCCAGCCTGGAAGAGATGAACCGCTCCGGTAGGCAAACTCAGTGCCCAGACATGAGGACGAGACTTGGAGTAACCAGGCGATGGCAGAGCGCTGGCGATAGTCTGGCGCAGCATGAACTTCCAAAGCTCCTCTGCATTTTCCGTCCAGTTACCACCACCGACCACAACGCCACCGCGCTGTTTGGCCTTCGCCCGCATCGACTTGGTGGTGTTGGTGAATGAGAAAAGACGCATCCAGCCTTGTTGGATGACCGCAAAGCAGTCATTCCAGTTGCGGTCCTTGGCTCTCTTATCCACCGCATCCAGATGATGCTTGTGCTTGAGGCTTCCTTCTTTGGCCCACGGGGCACCGGCAAGGGCCAAGGTCTCGTCCGCAAGCAGAGGAGTGGCTGGCTCCTCGTAGCTGTATACAGAAGTAGCTGAGTCCTCGCGGATGATGGCTTGGCTCAGAGCATTGGCGAAACCAATAGATTGCTGGTATTCGCCGCGGGGGAAGTCCGAGCCAAAGGAATCCACTGAAGCTGAAGTGAACTTGCCCAGAGAATATTTACTCCAGGTGCTGGACCCAGTTGGACTCCAAACGGAAGATTGATCGTCCAGGCTGGTTCGACTGGAGCCCATCATTGAAGGAGGATACAACCTGCCAGCACGCGAGCGAGGCTTAGATGACCATCGTGCAGCTCCGTGGCGCGAATCAGCAGAGCGGCCGCGGGGGTAGATGTCGGAGCCACTCTTGCTGATTGTGCTGGGACTTCTGCGAAGCGTGCTGGAAGAGGGACCCAAGAAATTGTTGGACGCCATACGTGAGACCTCTCTCTCAGGCTGAGCACCGAAAAGAGGGAGTCTTTGTTTTTGAATGGAGGTGTAGAAATCCTTGAGAACAATCTCAACTTGTTGCTCCCAAGCTCTCACGGTTCCATTGAATGGCGTGTTGACCAATGGCCCCGCATCAACGTTAGCTTCGCTGTCTTTGTCCAATGAGCTACGATTGGCATCGGCTGGGAAAGTTGCAGAGCGTGCCGATGTAGGAGCAGAAACAGAATCTGGGCGTTGGTTTTGAGTTTTGGAGCGAATTGGACGCAGGGTTTCGAATCCCTCGGGGGCGGCGTCCATTGCCACTCGATGAATAGTGGGCATGGTGTTGCGGACGAACTGGGACTTGGTCATCTTCGAATCGATGTCAGCCAAGTGTAGGTCAGTATTGAGCAATAGAATGGAGTAGCAAATGGTGTGAACAACGTCAGTAGCCTTAAAGCCATGACTCGGGTTGCAATCACACCATCGAGTCGAGAACGCATCTAGTACTCGGTCGACTTGTTGGGTTTCTCCCTTAAGCACCAAACGCTCACAAAGAGCCCGAAGGGCTGCAACAATATTGAGGTTGGACCAATTGAAAAGTCGCATGTACGCTTCTCGTATCATTGCTCGATCAGGATCGCCCAGCCAAGCAGCGGCTGGCTCACTGCCCACAACCTCGTCCTGGCTATCAAAGAGTTTTTGGGCCTGTTCTCGATCGGCCGCCGTGGGCCCATCTTCGATCGCCTCACCTGGCCCGTCTGTGCTGTCTGCAGTGTCGGGTGCCGCCTTGGGTTCTTCTTGCTCAATAAGTGGAGTGTTGGCAGCTGTTTGATACTGCGATGCCTCTGAAACAGACTCCACGGGAGATTCACAGGGCTTCTCATCAGGAAGTACCAGTTTGGTCACATTGATGCGAGGAGCCTCTGTAGTAGATTTGACGCTGCGCGAGAAATCTTCCACCACGGGGGACAAAGCTGAAGAAGCACTATTATTCTGAGGCTTGTCTGGAAGAACCTGGTCGGTAGACACTTCAGCCTTCGACGATTGAACACGAGTATCTGCGGGCGCCAAGTTCTCTTGACCACGAGAGGGAGCAGAAGGCTGAAGAGAAGTCCTGGTTTTGGGGGCACCAGGAGCCGATACGCTTTCCCGTTTCTTCTGTGCCTGCAAGAATGATGGCTCTTGTACCTGAGCATCCCAGTCCGGATTTTCTTTGTTGTCTGGTACGTGGTCGAGATACGGATTCATGACCTGCCGCAGACTGCTCACGGGGCTTGGCTGTGGTTTCATGGTATCCATATTGTTAGGCGCAAGATGCTGAGGAAGCACAATGGGCGGAGGAACGTGCTCAGCCACCGACTTCTTTCTTCTACGGAAGAACGAGGACTTTTTGTTCACAACCTGAGGAGGCCCAGTGCGAATAGAAGACGGAGACGCACCCGCAGAGCTCTTGGGGGCTTGTAGGTTTCGTGCCTTCAGGTTGGCAGTCGCCCCATTGTTGTCCTTGGGCTCGGGGTCCTGGAGGTATGATAGATCGTTGGCGTTATAGCTGGGCGAATCTGCAGGTCCAGGAGCCTGGTTCTTGGATCCGAACACACGTCTGAAGAAGCCTGGGCGTTCTTTTGCGTTGATACTGTTGCCGTTGGATGTGATGGTTGTGGTTGTTACTATCGGGTCTGCTGGAGGGAAAGCTGGTTTGTTATAGGAAATAGTCGGGCTAGGAGCGGGAGGATTCAACGAATCCGAGACGGCTGGAGGGGGTTCAAGATCCGTATCCACAGTTTGGAATTCATTATCCCGAACTCTCAGGGTCCCCGTGCCGATGTTGTCAGGGCGAGTCTTTCGAACCTGGGGTGCAGCCGATTTCGGGCTGGTTCGCCGCGATGCCACTGGTGTTCTCGAAGAAGCAGCAGTTGGTGTCTTGCTATAGTCGGGAACTTTTCGCGGTCCAGCTGGGACACTCGGAGTGGGCGCAGCATCATTATCGTCGTACAACATCGGATCCTGCCCAACATTAGGTTCCGCATACGGAACATACGCTCGTTTTGGTCCGCAGTCGAAACTGTTTGAGCGTCGGACCAAACCCTGATCAGTCCGTGCTCTCGGAATTGTAAACGAGTAATCTACCGTGGACGACGAGCTCCCCTTGCTACCTTGACGGGTGTTGTTTGTTCGTGGCATGGTTCCAGCACCCACACGTGAGCTCATTGCGTCCCCGCCGCGAGAGCTTCCCATCCTCCTCGGTGCGGTTTGATGGTTGGAACTGCTGTTGCTTCGTCGGGCCTTGGTGGCTGTGATAGTTGCATACCGGCCACTGCCATCGTCGTATCCATAGTCTGGTTCCGATGACAATGACGATGAGAAGGTGTGGCCCCGGTATCTGCCATGCGAATTCGACTCCTGCGAGTAATGGCTGTGCTGGTCGGATTCAAAGGCGGAATTAAACAGGCGGTAGTCATCTAGAACGGACGAGCTGGGGGCGAATTGGTCCAACGAAAGGAGCATGTTATCGACGATAGAGGTTCGAGCTGCATGTTTCGGAGACAAAGACAGGTCATGGGGGTCTCGTTCGTCTCCGGATTCGCTGACTCTTGCGGTATTCTCCGTGGGGGCGTCGGGAAAGGCATCGCGGATGGAAGGTCGGGCTTGATATCCGCGCTTAGAGGGTTTGTATCTTGCGGTCTGAGAGGGAGGGGTGCGAGGAGGGGAATTGGCAGCTTGTGCTTCCCGTTGCTGGGACATTATCGCGCTAGGCAATGTTAATACTTTCTCTAGGGGTGTCGATTTTGATTTGCGCGAGGGGGGACTAGCACAGGTGTAATCGCCCTTGACGTGGGATAGGAAGTAGAAGATCAAGGGACTGCCAGCGCATACTGCAACGTACCTAATATGCCCAAGGCCAGACAGGTAGGCCAAAAACAAATTGGGAGTTGGAGCCCGATAGCCGTCTGGACCAGTATCCCTCCGATTTGGGAATGAATGTTCAGTTCATTGCAAGCAAGGGTCTAAACCCGCAAAGAGTGGAAATGCCGTTGGCCTTTGCAGGAGAGAAACCGGGGGCGGGACGAACTCCTGAGACTTGGCCGAATTAAAGTTACCGAACAATTAATCTCGAGGGTTATGACTGAACTTGTAAAAGACACGAGTTCATGTATGATTCAAGAGACCACTTCGAAACAGGGGAAATTACTTGGGGATCTCTGACCTGCCAACGCACACTATACATGCAGATTCAGGGGTTTCAGGTTCATTGCTTATATATGGAGCCTTTTGAGTTCTGCTTATCACCATGAAGCTTCCAAATTGTCTTTGACTCTGTACGGACTCCGTCTAGGTGGAGCAGTGGGGGAATGGATCCAATATCGGCAATTTCAAGGGAACTGGTGTATGTGTGTGTGTGTGTGTGTTCGGAGGTTTCAGATGTGATATATCATCGCCGGAAGAATCAACCCAGAATCAGAACCAAACTGGGTTTATGCGACAGCCAACTCTAAGTCACGAAATAGGTCAATCTGAGAATGTCAAGGCAAAAGCCATTGACTATTCTCTAGCCCCTTGCAGAGTGGATACTGAAGAGGCAACTCCGTACATGTACAGTAGTACGCTTTTCCGATACGAGTGGAATGATGGAACGACCACTGGTCCGGAAGTACGAAAGAGGTGTGTGATATAGTCCAGCTTCGTGCAGCTGCAGAATTGCTGTCAGGCACGCAAGTTGTAGACTGATTTGCCAAACATGATGTTATTCGAGACAATGATATACACTCCTCACGTGATCCCGATGACATAACGGGCCACCTGCATGGATACACACGTACAACTGCTACATTGCACCGATTCCCGGGGAGCTCTTTGAACAACCGGGTCTTCGATCATGAACCCTCACATCTCCCTGCCCCGCCAACATGCCGGCTCTGCCAACTTCGGCTCAACGCCTGCAAACCGCGGGTCGAGTGTACGCATGCCGCGCTTCTTCAAAAGGTAGGGACCAGATGAGACGAGACGAGACAAGTGAAAGGGAACAGTGGCTGATATGCAACGGGAGGGACAGGCTCTTCAAGTTCCCTCAAATGGACTTTGAGATGGCCATTTGGGAGATGACATCCTTGTTGATTGCGCCCAAGAAAGTCTTCAAATCGATATATTACCATGTAAGTGGGATTGACGAGTCCGTTCTCTGGTACTGTGCTAACTATGGGCTATCAATTATAGAAACGTGAGTGCTACTTCAACCGGCGCCCCGGTACCCGTGGACATGACCCGGAGTCACCAACCACCCTGATCAACATTAACCTCTCGATTAGAAACCAAAAACACATGGCATCGCCCTGATCCGTCATTCACCTACCTCCTATCATTCTTCCTTCTCCTCACAGCCTTTGCCTGGGGCCTTGCTTACACCCCCCTCCTTCGGCGCAATTGTACGCCTAACGCTCCTCTTCGTGTTCGTGCACTTCATCGGCTCGTCGCTCTTGATCTCAACAGTTGGATACTTTGTGATTGGCAAGCTCTTTGGTCCCAATGGTGCAGCGGCCTCTCTAGCTGGCCTGCGGGGCTCTCGTGGCCGGAGAAGAGGTGCCGCACAGGGTCTGTTCATGCAGCCAGGAGAGAAGGACCAATTGGAGTTTGGATATTGTTTTGATGTGAGACCGCTTACCACTTACTCGATGGACTGTTCTGACCTCTGCTAGGTGTCCAACCGTGCCTTCTTTCCCCTCTACCTTCATCTATATGTGGTGCAGTTCCTCCTCCTGCCCCTGCTCACCCGCAGCCCGAGCAATTTCCTGGCGACTTTCCTTGGCAACTCGCTCTATCTCTCCGCCCTCATTTACTACACTTACATCACCTTTTTGGGATACAATGCTCTTCCCTTCTTGCACAACACCGAGCTACTCCTTTTGCCTATTCTCATCTTCGCTATCATGTGGCTGGTCAGTTTGATTGCCGGTTGGGGCATCGTTATGCAAGGCCGCAGCGTTGAGGGATTGTTCTGGGGCGTGTGAAAAGGAAGTTCGAAAGTTTGGAAGCTTAGCGCAATAGACTCTGCTTTCCGGATATGATCTCTTCTCCATGAAGAGTCTGGGGTGATAAAAGCCCCGTGTATGAACCTTCCTGTCAAGGTTTTCTTTCCTTTCCTTCTGGCTCATACATTATCAAAAAAGAGCTACTTATGCTGTGTCTATCTAATGCTGGAGGCGTCGGTGTACATGATTTCCATTTCAGGGCCAGGCATTTTTGTTACTCGTGTCTAATTAATAGATGAGTATATCAACGTTTTGTTTGAATGCACCTGGTGGTCTAAATATTCAACATTTGAACCCACATCCTACCTGGGCATGCATTTCATAATCACATAACCATTCAACATTGGAAGAAACACCGCTCATCCCTCATTTCTTCTTACCACCAAGCTTCTTAGATCCCTTTCCCATGGCAATTTGACGCAACTTCGCCTCCCGCTCCTGGTTAATAAGCTCCCGCTCCTTGGCCTGCTCATCCTTCTCTTCCTGCTCAGCCAGCTTGCGCAGACGCTCCTGCTCACGCTTCTCACGCACAATAGCCAGACGCGCAAGATCAGCCTTGGCCTCATCAGTCTTACCCTCAGCATGCAGCTTCTGGTAACGCTCACGCGCCTGCTGGGCCTGCAGAGCCTCACGCTCCCGGCGCGACAGCTGCGAGATATCCTTAACCTTAGCGGGCTTCTTAGGCTCCGCGGTGGGTGCATCGGCGGTCTTGGACGTCATGGAGCGGGACTTGGCGGTGTGATTGGGGTTGGCGGGGAGGTCGTCGTCGGATTCTTCCGAGTCAGAGGGAGGCAGGTCACCGGGCTGTGCAGCTTGCTGGCCACGTTTTTTCATGGCTGCTAGCTTCTTGGCTTTGGCGGCTGCGCGGCGCTCTTCACGGGTTCCTGCGCCTGTGGATGCTTCGGGCTTGGTCTCGTCCTCGCTCTCTTCTGAGGAGCTCTCCTCCTCCGAGGATTCTTCTTCGCTGGATGATTTGATACCGTCCTCTGGTTCCTGTGGTGGGGAGATCCGGGTCAGATGGGCGGTCCTTGTGCTGTGGTGAGTTGGGCTTTTGGTCCACGTACCCGCCAGAGACCAACTTGGTTGCCATCCTTGTCTAGGGGGTTGAGATCTCTGCTGAAATGCTTGCCTCCTATCGTTTGATCAGCGTCATTGCACCCTCTTTGCTTGTCACACGATCATACCTCCACGAGAGGGCTTGGAGAACTTTCCTCCACGACCACCGCGCGCCATTTTGTAGTTGTAGGTTCGGGGAGGGTATCTCTTGACTTCAAAGGAGCAATGCGTATCTAAGAAAGAAGTGAGGTTAGAATAGGGTTTTCACAAGGGCTTCAGGCTCACAGAGGGGTAAAGCGGGGTGACTCTAGAAGACACAATGCGCCAGAGAGCAGGGACCAAATACCAGAGACTCGAAGACCCAAAAAATAAAACTTACAGTACCTGAATGTGCAAATGTATCGAGTGTTGAAGGAAGATCAGGCAAAAAGTGGAAACGAGTCACCTCGCAGGCATTAATCACATGTGGGGGGAACTTTTTTGGCAAACCACAACGCTTCGATTTCGAAGTTAGGGCTTCGATCATTATTCATTAACTATTCATTAGCTATGTATGCCATGCTATATGTATATGATATGCTATTTACACCTGATCCCTTGCTTATACTCGCGCTAATCCAGTGCCTACCTTGGTCACTCGGGCCCCAGACAGGGTGATTCCACCCGCGATGATCGCACTCCCCATGAACATCTGAGCGTAGAGATAATTGCCATCGTCACGCTCAACCAGCGCACCCGCAATAGGCGATCCAATGAGAGCAGCCACAGCTACCACGCTGAGCACCATGCCCATACGCACGCCGATCTTCTTGAGATCAGTTGTGAGGGTGCTGAGAGTCGCGGGGAACAATGACTGAATGCCAGCTGCGAAGAGACCATAAAACACAGCAAATGTCCACAACCCTCCCATGCCTTTGACAGCCGCCCAGCAATAGCCCACCAGGGCCGTGGCGAAACTGAAGGGAATCAACAGGTTGAGAGGTCCGGTGAACTGATCAGCGAGCAAATTGGGGACAAGTCGACCGGCCAGACCGACTCCGTTCATGACCAACAGCAGATCGATCGATCTGTCAGTGGAAACGCCGATAATGTTGCGACTGAAACTGCCGATATAGAAGAAACCGATGTACAAGCCCCAGAAATTCAAGAACATGCCAATAGCAAACAACAGGTACGGCATCTCCGTGAAAGCAGCCCATTCAACAAGCGGGCCACTCTTCCGTGGTGGAAGACGCTGCTTCAGGAAAAGCACACAAGGAATCAATGTGGCCAATGAAATAAAGCCCAGCGTCCGCACTGTCCATCCATACCCGACTCGCGGCAGCATACGCATGATAACAGCCGGGAAGACTAGCCCACCTGTCGCCGAACCCGAAGCCACAATACCAATAGCAATGCCGCGATTCTTCACAAAATAAGTCGAAATAAGAGCCAAGGTCGGACAAAACATAAGTCCACATCCAATACCCTGACCAAGACCCTGAGCCAGGAATAGCTGCCAGTACTTCGTACACAGGGAAGTCATAAAGATACAAAAGACTTCAAGTGTAGCACCAACCGCAAGTGTAACCTTGAAATACCCAGCGTCGGTGGCGCGGCCAGAGAAGGTCCCAATAAAGAACAGCAGGAAGATCTGAATGCTTCCCACCCAGGAGATATCCGAGGGCGGGTGACCCAGCGTCTGGGTATAGTATGTCTGGAATACTCCAAAGCTATTGATATAGCCCCAGGTATTGAAGATGACAAAATGCGCCAGCGCAACCTGCGACCAGGCCTGGAAACCACCGTCTGGGGGTGGACCGAGAGATTTGCCGGATTCCCGTGTGCGCACAGCTGATAGCGTGCGGGCTATGGCGCTTGCTGCCGTAGGAACGCGGTCGAGGTCATCGTGTGGTCCTTGGGGTTCGTCGTAGCCGATTGCTGATTCTTCATCTGAGGATGCGCTGCGTAGTCGAGGAGTGTGATCTATGCTGGAGGATTTTTCGAGGTCTGTTTGGTGTTTTATTTCGGAGGCCATGCTTAACGGTCTCCTTCCTGTGTCTGTTGATTGTGGCAGTGTGTTGGCCATGGCGGTTTAGAGTATGGCACGGTTGACCATGCCGAGGTGCAGATTGCAGACTGCAGACTTGAATTCTTGACCAAGACCCTATTTGAATGAGATATTTGAGGACAAATCCAAGTTGAATGAGTCAAAGTGAAGATCGGGGAGAAAAAACTTGCCCGACTTATAGCGGGATTGGTTCCGACTCCACGGCTCGCAGAGATGGCCGAATGCGCCCTTCCGATGGCACGGGTCCACTTCCGTGGCATGAGACATAAGATATTAGTTGCATATGCTCAATCATGGTGAATTGGGCACAGGTCTATGTGAGTATGGAGGTGTGTAGGTGCAAGTTACATGTAAGTGTGATTTAAAAGGATGTCTGGGAAGTATAAAATATTTACTTTTCCGGAGCTCTACAGTACCTCGGGTGTCCTCCATTTCCCCTAGAACTAACTTATAGAACTAACTACATGTACGATGGTATTGAATATCCCATGGAGTTGCAGATTACATTGTACCTGGTACTGTACTGCATATGGAGACCCCACAGATATTGTATACTTGTATACTCCAGACTGATATGGCGCAATTCTCCGGGGTCCCCGCAAAACCGGCTGTCTCGATAAGCTTAAAATTCGGACACTTTCTAACATGTACATATTCGCATCTATGGGATTACAAACAAGCCACTCCAGAAATAAAAAAGTAAGGGGTGACTGGTGAGCGCACAATGAAAAGGAAAGAAAAAAAAAGAAAAAACAAAAGGCAGACCATCTTCAAGATCGTTTGCGATGAATCCGGCATGTCGATGTGGAAGGCCGAGGCCGGTGATAGTGAAAGGTCGTTTATCTGGTGATTCGTCTCAATGGTCTTGGTTGGCGCTACTAAAGAGCATTTGGATCGATCCAATGACATCGGCCGGCTCTAACAAGTGCCAGCTGGCATCGGTTTGCTTCGAACTGGCGCCAACTGTGACTGAGTACACATGATCGCGAGGCAGTTCAAACTTCTTCAAAGCTCGGAACATATCTAAGATGAGGTTAGCCAAGCGGTTTCAGCAGTTAAGTATGTTGTCAAGACTTACCTTCGTCAGTGAAGTCATCACCCAGACACAAGATGAACTCCGGTGCTTTCCCTGGTCCGGTGCCGTATTCATTGACCAGACGAGTTGCGATGAAGCCCTTGTTGACAAATGTGGGCCGCACTTCCAGATTGGCCTTGCCTGCCATGACCTCCACATCCCACCGTTTGGCAACGGTGTTCTCCAATTCCTTGCGACATTCACGAGCTTGGAAGGCACCGTACTCCGGATCAGCCCGACGATAATGCCAGGTCAATGCCACCCGCTTCCGTTCAATGAATGAACCCTGCGTGCGTTCGGTATAATGCTGGAATACCTCGACGACTTCCTTCTGCCAGCCCATGTCACTCCTCTCGGCCAAGTTTTCCCAATCATCCGACCGAGGCTGTCGGATGAAACAACCGTGCTCAGCACTCAGTCCGAGCTCCGGGATATGGCCCATCCACTCATCCAGGAAGGCTTGGTCTCGTCCACTGATAATCCACACGGCGTTTCGCGGGTCGGCGGACAAGCTTTTGAGAGTACGAAGCACCCGATCTGAGGGAATGGCCGCCTGTGGGTCCTTGACAATTGGTGTCAATGTGCCATCATAGTCGAACATGAAGAGACGCTTTCGAGCCTTGCGGTACTGTCTTATCATTTTTGCGCGATCGAGCGCGGGTGTAGCAACAGACTGGTCGAAAGAGGAAAGGTTGGTCAGCAGACGGTTGAGATACTGCCTTGACCACATCGCAACAGTGTTGGTGAGCACATGCTTGTAGAGCTTTACGTGCTGGTCCTTGCGCTGATCTGGGGGCATGTTCAATGCTTGGTCAATAGCTTTGGCCACGCCACCAAGATCCCACGGGTTGATGTGGATAGCGTTAGGCAGTGTACCTGCGGTACCAGAGAATTCCGAAAGAATCAGGGGGCTGTGGTTGGTTTGCTGGCAGACGATATATTCCAAACTGGTTGTGTTCATGCCGTCTCGTACCGTGGTGATCAATCCGACATCAGCCACGCGCAAGAGAGCGAAATACTCGCGCGGAGACAGGTACTGTGGGTAGTACTGGACGGGCGAGAAGCTCAGCGAGCCAAATCTGCCATTAATGGTCGAAACCAAGTTGGAAATTTGGCCAGCAATCTTGTTGTCGGGGTCCTCCTTCTCCTCTTCCACGCTAGTGGGACTTGTCACTTGAATGAGAACGACTTTATTGCGCCACTCGGGGTAGCGCTCCAAGAAGATTTCGAAGGCTTGCAGTTTTTGCGCTACACCACGAACGCTGTCCAGCCGATCACGACCGACAATAATTTTCTTCCCCGCATAGAGCTTGCGAATTCCCTGCACTGCCTTCTCAATATCCGGAGCTCCGAAGGCCGCTTTTTGAATCGCACGTGCGTCAATACCAATAGGGAAGACATCTACCGCGACATGAGCACCGTAGGCATCGACACCGGCAGAATTAGACTCGAAGCCTAGAACCCGTGTGCAGCATGAGGTAAAGTGTCGAGAGTAGGAGAATGTTTGGAATCCAATCATGTTGGCACCAAGCACTCCTTCCAATATCTCTTTGCGCTTCGCCAGGCATCGTACAAACTCGCTGCTAGGGAAAGGCGAGTGGAGATAGAAGCCCAATTTGATGTTCGGAATGCGTTGCCGCAACATACTGGGCAGAAGGAACAAATGATAGTCATGGACCCAGACCACATCTCCCTCCTGGTACTCTTGCACGATTCGATCCGTGAACAACTGGTTTAAACGGACATAATCGACCCACCAGCGTCGCTCAGATCGACCATCTGTTGGGCCGTGCTGCTTGTAGTGGAGAAGAGGATAGAGTTCGCGTTCTGCGTAACGGCGCCACCTCCCCTGGTCTTTCAATAGGATTGTCTCTTCGGGTTCCTCGGGGGCGTCCGATAGCCACACAGGCACCACCCTGCCATGACGACCTGAGCTCAACTTCTCTTCGAGCTGCTCTCGTTCCTTTGGGCTGATCTTCATTCCTTCCACAAGTGGGTGAGCAGGTGGCTTTTGGGTTGCATCTACAGGCACCGGAGCAGTAGCCTTGTTCAGTGTTTGATTGACAATAGAGTTGTTTGGGGTTGCAGGCAACTTGGCTCCAGCATTGGCGTGAATCTGCTGCAATGGCGACTTCAGATCCACAATTGGCTCGACCTCTCCCGTCCAGCCTACCAGGGTATGGGACCAAGATGTCTCGTCCGAAGCAAGATGTGCGAATGAGTCAAAAAGTGCCGAGGTGCCGGATCGCGGCTTGAGCTCCTGTTGTGCCGTTAGTTAGCGTGACCCTATGTAGAATCGTCTTCCTCACGTACCCAATCCGATCCTGACCGAAAGCCGATCTTGTATGGTATACAAAAGGCGGCGCTGATAAGGCGGCCACTCAGACGAAGGCCTGGATGTTGTACACGCGGGTCCATCTCGGGCGATGTGGGGGCATCAGATGTCAAGCTCAGGCGGCGTAGCAAGTCCATGCCAGACGATGCTTTCCTAGCAGTCTGCACTGGTTTGGATATGTCGGTAAGGTCGATGTCCACAGGTGAGTCCCCAGGGACGTTGTTAAAGTATGAAGGCGTCGCATCCCTTTCCACGGCGGGGGTCGCACTGGTCGCTTTGGTATACGCCTGCTCGCTAAGGGCCTTTAATCCCGGACCAACAAGCACAGGGTTCGGCTGGCCCTGGGGCACTTCGGCGGGGCTCTCGGGTTGAGACATGATAACCGCGGAGTATATCGAAGATCAAGATCTGGTGAGACTACCTAAGTAGCAATGGGACGAGATTCCTGCAATCACATGCGTCAATGATGTGGAAACCTTGAGGTGGGCAAGTTGGTGAATGAGAGGGAGGTACCTCGGAGGGGAGTCGATAAGGAAGATCGACACGAAACAATCTATCGTAAAGCCATGGACGATTTGGAGGGGTACAAGTCAACAGTTCATCAATATAGGGCAAATTGAAGAGTGAGAAGAGGTAAGAGTGCTGGTAGTCCTTGGAACCCTAAAGGAGGGGCAAGCGGTGAGATCTTATCAAGGGACCAACTGGGAAACCGGTCAAGTGAGGTGAAGGTAAAGAGAGAAGTTGTCAACTTGAGATCTTGGGGGGTTTGGCGGGTTTGTGGATATTTCCTCAATGCTACGTCATGATGCCCTTGGTCGATCTACTTTTTCCTTGGTATACTCTTATTTCTTAGCTATACATGTATTGCAATCAGGATGTGTCGTAGATGGTGAGACACCACTGACAGTTATGAGGTCAAATAGTATAGAATAAATGTGAATTCCAAAACTCCTCTATAATTACTCTACAAATTGTGAAAAAAGCAGTTATTCGCCCGGTTCTTTCTCCAATCAAGTCACATGGCTCTTTCTGCCTGAGGCTGCAATTCTATACAAAGTTCCGCGTCGAGAATGTTACCTGCATGCATCCTCGGCATGGTGACATCCACTCCGGTGTCTCTGATCTCGACATGCCTCGGTGAAGCTTCTATGCAGCGATATTTCCGACCTCTTCTCTCCTTCCGTCCATTCCACAGCTCTGTTGCGGCAGCCAAGACACCCGATCTCTTCGCTAACAGCCTCCGCAAGACCCTAGAGGCTCATCGATCCGCCAATCGGGCTCGGCTCGTCCGAAAAATATACCCGAAAGAAGATCCCCCGGGACTGTGGCGCCCTGAGATCCCAGTCGAGAGTCGCGCGGGCTACCAACCGCCGACGGAGCCAGCTCTACCAAATTCAGAATACTCACCTGATACCCCCAAACCGACATCTAAGAAAAACCAAAGCAAGCGCAAAGATAATATTGAGGCGCGGTCTCGTCAACCATCCCTTGATCGAGCTGGAGGAGATGCGATTCAACCGGCAGGGAATGGGCGGCCGGAACAATCTCCATGGCTGAAAGGTCTGGCTCTGCCTCGTGCCAATGGCGAGACAAGCCTGGACATGGAGATCCGCGCATTGGACCAGTACCTTATGCCCACTTCTCAAGAGACAGACCAAATCGAAAAGCTCAGGGCAGAGGTAGCCTCACTTCTTGAGGCGGTAGTTCCGCACGCACCCAGAATAATTGGATCGCACTGCACCGGTCTTGTCCTGGCGCACTCAGATCTCGATTTCATCTTACCATATGAGGACCTTCCACGTTCACCAGATCGCGATCGAAAACCCAGTCCTACCCGGCCTCAGATTCAAGATGCCCATATCCGCCTCCTCCGTCAAGTCGAGAGAGCCTTGCAACATACTGATGCGTTCAATGGCCAGGTTCAATTATCTGACAAGCGCAACCCTGCGTTATCAGCTCGGCACCGGCCAACGGGACTTTTGCTCCAATTCTACTGTGGTGAGGGTGTCCCTGCCATTACGGAGTATCTGCAGGATTACCAGGCCGAGTATCCCGGCCTCCGGCCTCTGTATGCCACAACGCGTACATTGCTAGAGGCGCGCGGCCTGTTCGGCTCACCTCAGGCGAGCATTGGACCAGATGGGCTAGCCATGCTCATCGTGGCCTTCCTCAAGATGAACCACGGCCGTTTCACAGGGCCCAATCGCCTCGGTGACCAATTCCTTGCCCTCTTGCATTTCTATGGCACTGAAGTTGACCTTCAGTCCGTCGGCATCGCAGTGGATCCTCCTGGACTCTTCGACGCGAGCTCATTACTAGCTACCTCAGATGTTGATGAACTCGCCCACCAGCGCGGCCAACGTTCTCTCATCAATACCAAGCGTACCGCCGCAGCAAAGGGGAACCATCTTGTTGCACACCGGCTGTGCATCCAAGATCCGACCCATTATATGAACGATCTGGGCCGTTCATGCACTCGCACATCTGAGTTGCAGGGCGCTTTCGTGACTGCGCATCAACAGCTTCGTCAAGCATGCGACAATTGGACGAGTAACGGCAAGAACAGGAATTTGAGTATTCTTACGACTGCCCTGCATGCCAACTTTGATACCCTGGAGAACGTTCGCAATCAGCTCGTGTACCTGGGTAACCATTCCTAGATAACACGGCGAGCGACGAAGCAGTAGAAAAAATAATCCATACAGCCTAATAATAGTTCAACACCTTTCCCCTCTTATATTTTTCCGATAGTAGGGATTGAAAATTATTTCTTTTAATATACTCCATGCGCAGGAGCATGCAACAAAGACAGCCGCCAGCCGAAAAGCTAAGAACAAAAGTCTAAAAAGACCGAGTGAAAATGCATCAATCGCTATAACGGCGCTCGAGACTTTGAACAAAGCAAATATTAACAAACAGTTGGAAAAAACAGAAAGACGCCGACAAGTGCAAAGCAATACAAGCAGAGAGATTAATTGCTATATATCGGTTAGTATTTGTTCATGTGCCAACCTAGGCTGGAGGTCGAGGAGTCAACTTACTAGATCTCCAATGGAGAGATCTGATCCAAAGCATAGAGCCAGTTTCCACCCTGCTCTTCTTTCTCGAGCCTATCAACATGTTAGTAAATAATACACACATTGAAACCAAGGAGTCAACATACCAATCATACGGCCAGGCGATGAGATGGCCCTGGACCTTGTTGAGGAGATCCTCTGCGCGTCCCTTATCCAGGAACTCGTCTCCGCCAAGGGGATCACGCTTAGAGCCAATAGTGGTAGCCCTCCGTCTACGTCTGCGAGACTGGCTGGTCGAGTTCAGATTCACAGCTTCGGAGTAATCGACTTGGACCGATGTCGCGCGAGGCTTCTCAATATCGTCGCCTGCGACGACACTGTCATCGCCGGATCCGTTTTGCGCGGTAGTCAACAGATTTGGGTCTGAAGCCACCTTCAAAGGGGCCTTTTCGTCAATGGAAGACAGCGTCTCTTGCTTAGCCAACTGCTCGGAATGGGGGCGGTTGGCATCTGAGGGTCGAGCGCTGAGCTTCTCGTCGATTGTCTGAGGGGATTTCGGATCCGTTGGCGGAGTGTCGATCTTATTGGGACTGATGAAAGATAATGGAGAGGTGATTGAGATGGGTGAGCTGACTGAACCAGCTCCAGGAGGTCCGCTTTGCTTTTGCTGGGCTGGCTGGGCGGGTTTGTTGCCCTGTTGGCTCTGCATTTCTGCAAAGCGCTCGCCATATGCGGCGTACTCCTTGTACTCCTTCCAATTCTTGACCTCGCTGTCCGGCATGCAGCGGAACACAGATCGGTAGATTTTTGTGTTCTTTTCAGCGACGGCTTGCCATGTGTCCAGGTAGAAACAATCGATGACTGGGTCCCTCATGCAGTCCTTATCAATGAAGATACGCTTGAGGTCTGGGACGGAAGGATGTGGGTGTTTGAATGTCTCGTGGTCTTCTCCCTTAGACATAATCAAGCCGACACCGTTGGTTTCAGACTCGCGACTTGATGTTCCAGAGCCGCCATGGTTCTGTGCCGAGGCATCTCCATTTGCTTCAAATCCGCGCATGATATCGCTCGAAGACCCAGGCCGTAGATCTTTGCGGGTCGAGGCTGAGCGGGACGGCTTTTGTGAAGAGTATGGCCGCTCAATCGTACCCTTGCCTTCTGAAGCAATTGGCGAGAGCAAGGCCTCGGATTTATTAGCCACCATCTGCGAATCACGGCCAACTCCCAATCCAGCTGAAGTGGCAGCTTTCAAATGGTCAGCGCCGTCACCATTTACGTCCTTCCTATGATCAGGGTTATCAGTGACTCGCGGGTCAGCAGTGAGCTTTCGGTTCGATTTGAGGTTAGGGTTGCTACCCTGTTCCCAATCGACGTCATGGTTGAAGCTATACATGTTCTCTGAGCGAGAAAGGAACTCGTCTTGGACACGATGGCGACGCTCGATCATCTCCCTCTCATCTTGACGTTCGATGACCGATGACCCAGAGTTTCTACGCTCGCGGTTGTCAGCTGGGCGGCCATTACCCTCGGCGACTTGGATCTTGCGCAGCTCTTCTTCTGTAGCGAAGTCGTGCTCCATGAGTTCGTCGACATCAATTCCAAGATGCTCTCTCATCAGGCGCATGCGCAGTGTATGCGGGAATCGACCAACAAGGTATGGCTTGCCATTCATGCTTGACATGATCATATCAGTGTCTCGCACGATAGACGCAACCTCGGAATCACGCGATCCCAACATGGATCGTTCGTTGATATTTGCTGATCCAATAATAGCAGCACGATCATCCACAACCATGCACTTGGCGTGAATGTAAAGCTGCTCGGTCACCAGCTGCTTCTGCGGTCCGATCTTGCCCCAGGCTCGCAGACTGAAGAATTGAATATAGTCCTCGGGTTCAATTCCAAGAGCGCGGAGGCGGCCGAAGATGGAGGTTTCTCCACGGCAGATACTGCGGTATTGACATTGCATGATGAGACGCACACTAGTACCACCTTCGCTATCGACTGTGTTCTGGAAGCCGGGCATCAACGGAATGACAATGACCGCGCGCCATGCTTCCTCGTTCTTGGCAGCTCGGACGATACGTTCAACCAGGGCATCTCCAATGAGGTTCTCGATCTTCCTGCCATCAATCTCGCAAGTACTGATGAAGAACTGGTTTTCGATGTAGACGAAATGTTCAGATTCCTCGATCATCTTGACGTAGGCATTCATAATACTGTGTTCGGTGACATCTGGGGTTCCGGTCGACCACATGCTGCTGGAACGGAGAATCTGTACTTCACATGTTCCGTCCAGACCCAGGGCTTCTAAATCAGCGGGGTTGAAGTCGGGCGGTGGCAAGAGGAAGGGAGTCGGTCGAGTGGGCTTGCGCTGGCGAAGGATATAATTCCAGCGTTGCACGAAGTGACGAGTAAGATCCCGAGCAGGCTGGCCGACGACATGCATGGAGATATCGTGCCAAGGCATACGCGGCACAACGTTGCGATCATACATCTCCTCATATGGCTTATCAAGATCATAGAAGTCCTGAATTCTGGGGTTGGAGTAGTCCTTTCCAGGCCAAAGCTGACAATGGTCTGCATCCTTAGGACCATCCGTGGTTTCGAAGCCAGTGGGCTTGTCATCGGTCAGCTGATGCTGCGGAGTATCCCAACGACCAAAGCATAGATCAATACCTCCAACAAATGCCAGAGTGTGATCAATAAGACAAAGCTTTTCGTGGTGGGCCCAGAAGAAGGTGTTTTGACGGAACTGATTTGGTGAACGCTGGACGAAGATATTGGGGTGGAGGTCAAGGAGAGAGAACTTGGAATACTCCGAGTCAATGGGAATGGCAGAATTAATATTGCGATACATGATCACAAAGACTTTGACGCCCTCACGAGCTTTCTGCTGCAGGAGACGGTCCAGCCGCCATTTCTGACTGATGGCGGCAGGGCGACGCAGGTACAGCTCTGGACTCAGCCACCAGTCGTGGATGTAAATGACATCCTTCGCCTGGTTGATTGCTCGCGAAACAACCCACATGTGGTCCCGAGCATCAACTAGCCATTGTGCAAAACACTTTTGTCGCACAGGCGCAAAACTGTCGAACCGGTTGGGCTGCATCCAGGGGGTGTTGTCAGCCATGAAACGGATCGAGTCTTCAAACTGCTGGAGTTGACGCTCGTTTCGAGCCAGCAGTTTCAGCTTACGTTCCGAGTTCTCAAGTCGGAGGGTGTGGTGCTGAGGGTGTCTTGCAGACTGCTTCGCGGACTTGGCAAGATCCTTTGGATTTTGGTTGCGAAGGCTGATCTTTTGTGTCTGGATCTTGAAATGAGCATCCACCAAGAAAACATCGTAAATATTCATCTCCTCTGGGGAATCCACGCAGACGACGTAGCTGTGTCTGACCAAGAACCACTTGGGCCAATGCCGCTTCTTGATCAGAGAGGGAGTCAGGGCTTTCCGGAAATCAAGACCCTTTGAGGACTGAATGATCAAGAACCCTTCTTTGCCGTGATAACTACCTTCTGCGGCCAGACGAACACCAAGAGCAGAAAGTTCCAAGAATTTGCACAGACGGTTACTGTCAGCTCTGAAGATCAAAAACCTGATCATCTTTTGCAAATAGAGCTCGAGCTTCTTTCGCTGCTTTTCTGGGTATGTTTCTTTTTTCCCGGTCACTCCTTCGTGGGTAGAGGGAGGTCCTGCAGCTGACTCGCCTTCCTGGTTGGTAACGCTGGACTTTCTGCGGATGATTGCTCCAGAGACTCGACGCTGGCTTGGTTGTTGGCTCTGTTTCCTCCTCATCGGCCTCTCTGTTCCACTCATTCCCTCAGCACCAGTCTCGTAACCACCTTCCTCATCTTCATCCTCAAATTCGCTTTCAAGACCACGCACACCACGCATGTAGGGGAAGGCGCTCCTGGGGAAACGAGGGAGACTCGGGCTGTTCTCGCTCGTCCGTAGCTGGATGTATTTTTGTGTGCCCAGGTGGAGCTTGTACTTGAGATGCAGATTGGCAAAGTCTCTCAGGGTGCGGAAGATGATCCACTTCATCCGCGTCATACCACTGCCATATTCCATCTCAATTCGAAAGACCAAATGGCGATCACCCGAGCTGGAGTCAACGCGGCTGTCCGTAACACGAACCTTGAGCTGCTCCAGGAGGATAGGGATTCGCTTGCTGCCATGTTCGTCACGTTGGAACGCACTGGCCAAAATCAATGCAGCGGGCACAGCCGAAGCGAGTTCAGCAAGAAGCTCGGCGGACTTTTTGCTGTCCACAGTATTGTCTGGCTTTCGTCGCTGGCCAATAAGCTTGAGACCGGCTTTGATCTGCTTCCATCGCTGAGCACTGGCGCTAGTACCACGTTCATTCCGATGGCGTCTCCAACTGGCTGCTAAGCTCTCTTCATTTCCAGGCCCGGCGAACCCAGTCAATCGTCTCAGATTACTGGGCCGCTGTTCGTCCTGGGTGCCATCTGGTTGCCGCCCGGTGTAGCTCAGGCCCCGATTGGCAGCCCAAGGGCGGCTTGTACGACGGTTGAGCCTCTCACGGCCTTCATCTTCCGAGACACCCTCACGCTGCTGGGGTGTGAAGTCCGTAGTGCTGGCTCTTCGGGGGAATAGATTGGTCCGATAGTTTTCAAAGGGCGCAAAGGAAGAAGCGAAATGGAAAGATGGTCGGCGTGTGGTTTTAGGTGTTGTAGGTGCGGTGTGAGATTCCTCCTGTTGTTGCTTGCGACGCCTGGGCAATTTCTTCTTTTCCCGGCGCTCGCGTTGCTCACCTCCGCTCTCTTCTGCGTCGGCATCAATCTCACTCCCCTCCTCTGCCAGAGGCTCTGGGAAACGGAATTCTCCCCTTTCTGAGCCCGGGGTCGCAACGTCGGGTTGGACTGGTCGGAAGTCCGCACTGGCACTGCTCGGGGATCGTGAATGTGAAGTAAAGGCAGGTGCAGCGGCCAATGATTTGAGCTTGCCGAACAAAGATTGTTTCCCTTTTGGACCCTCCTCCTCGTCACCGTGTAGAGACGCGGGCCGCGATTGCGGCCGGGACTGAGCTTCGGTATCGGTGTCTCGGAATTGCACGCTCTGGGCACGGGATGGAGGGGAGACTCCAGGAATAGATGATTGGCGTTGATGGCGAGGCCATGGTTGCTGCTCGTCGGTCGACCGGTTTGGCGGTCGAGTACTCAGGGATGATCTGCCCCTCGGAGAGCCATGCTTTAGTGAAGACGGACGATTTTCGGTGTCCTTCAGTATCCTTCCAGCTTCCTTCATCTGATAGGAGTCCAGGCCTGCATTCTCGTCTGTGGTCGGCGCCCGTTTAAGGGAGGCTGGTTTCTTCGTATCGGTAGGGGAAGGGAAGGGCGACGCTAATTTTGGACCGTTTGAGATGGAAAGGGGCTCGGGTTTCTTCGAGTCGGTTTTGAGAGAGCCAACTTCAGGCTCTTTGTGAACTGAAGAGGCCGACATATTGTCAGGGTGGTGCTAATGCAAGGTGATTAACAGTTGCGGTTTATGTGGCGAGTCAGGAACCACTTTACATACGTGTGGATCAATCGAGACCCTGTCACAGTGCAAAAGTTCTTCGCGTCATGCTAGGATTGAAAAGCGCAAAAAAAAATATATTAAAAAAAAGACAAGTGAAGATGGACACGCGAGTGTTGACATTAAAGGAGCGTTGGAGATGATTTAGTTCGGTGGAGTTCCGCCCCAGTTGATGCGCTCCGACTGGAGAAAGGCCCGCTGAACAGCCACAGAGCGGGCGGTCAGACTGAAAAAGGGGTTGGGCCAACTACAGTATATTGTAGTATAGAAGTATGAAGTACGACAGTGTTTAGATGTAGATTCATTGATTAACAGGGCTTTGCAATATCAAAGTGTTCTAAAGGTATATATATATATATATGTCTCAGTAGCGTAGCAGTACATCCTTAACCCAATTAAGTACATTTGCAAAGATTAGAAATTCAATAATTAGATGCTAAGCTGCAGAGCATAGATTTATGCACTGAGATATAAGTCTAGATCAACAATAAACTATACGTTGAATGTGCCTAGGGACAATATGTGTAAGGCCCTCGGCTTTTCTTAGTATACCCGAGTCGCCGTTAAACAACCATCTACTCTCCCCGCCATTTCACCCCTCAACCACTCACCTTGCTTCTCATATCCTACTGTCCAATTCCAATATACAGTCTGTCCCGTCCCAATGACCGACCCATTGAAGTCCTTTGACGACTCGGGCCGGCCGAAGCCGGCCAACATCTCCAAGAAAGTCTACGCAATTGCCGGCATTTCAGTAACAGTCTTTGGATTGGAAGAGCTCCATCCAGAGGCATCCGAAGTAGCATGCTTATGGCTCCTTCACCCCAGACTGGCTACTCAAGAACGAATGACCGGCATCGCCAACTCAACCATCACCGACTGGAATACAAGAAATATAGATACGCCTTCGGCTAAGGGATTGATTGCTGTTTCTTTTGACCAGCGGAACCACGGAACTCGTATGGTTGATCCTCTTGCCAATGAGGCATGGAGACAAGGCAATCCTCGCCATGCGCAAGATATGTTCTCTATTTTCCGTGAGTGAAAGTAATCGAGGGTTGTATTGGTACGATTTCTAATGTTTGAAACAGAGGGCACTGCCAGAGATACATCGCTGCTGATGGACTACCTCGCAGCCTACACTTTCCCCAGTGGTGAGCACAAGATCACCGAGAACCTAGTTCTGGGTGTCTCATTGGGCGGACACGCAGCGTGGAGCTGCTTGCTGCATGAGCCTCGCGTTAGTGCCGGTGTAGTTATCATTGGTTGCCCGGACTATATCAACCTCATGGCAGACCGCGCACGACTGTCGAAGCTTCCATCATGGACAGAGAGCAACCCTCCAGGTGCGAAGGTTCTTGGCTCGGAGGCTTTGCCAACATCATTCCTTGATACGGTCAAGCAATACGATCCTGCTAGTATGATGCTGAAGCATGTGGACTGCGGGCCCTCAGCTGGGCCATTGCGCGAAGGAACCTTGCCTCAGCCATCGGAAAGCGAGCAGCAGACACTGCGGCCACTCTTGACCAAGTGCTTGGCTGGTAAGCGCATTTTGAATCTGTCTGGCGGCGTAGACAAGCTTGTGCCTTATCATCGCGGAGAGCTGTTCCTCAATTGGTTCAAGCAGGGGATCTCGTCCGATGGGTGGTTTGGTGACGGTGCTGTGTCTTTTGAAGACATCATTGACCAGACGGCGGGTCATGAGGTGACTGAGAAGATGGTCGACGAGGCTGTTCGGTTTATCAGTGAGACACTGGCAGATTCGGATAAGGCCGGCCGACGAGGTTCGGTGCGGGAGTCGAAGATCTAAGATGTACATATGTGACGAGTTGAACGTGTAGAACGACACAGTTATATGCCATATGATTTGACCATAACAAAGTCGAACATCAATCGCAGCCGACATACCTTACCACGACCGATGATTCTACGAAGACGTAGCCCATACCTAATCGGGACACAACATTGGAAGCACATGCCCAGGACTAAGCAGCTTTGACCATCCAATCTACATGAGCAAGTCTCAGTAACACTGACACGTCGCCCTCAGATAGCGAGCGCATGAACAAGTTGAAAAAATCCTCCTTATGGTATTTGTTTAACACAATGTGAAATCGTAAGGGCATTCGGAGGCCATGCTATGCTGATTTGCATACACAAAAAACCCTTTTTCTTTTCGATCGCCAGTACCGATACTTTCGATCCCGACAGTCTCATTTTGAGTTTCCGATCGTCCTCCGTGCGAACGAACTTGATTCACGCAAGACCGAACACAGGGCTGATGTTGCCCCTATTCACCCGCCTTTTCCAGAAACACCAACTTGAATCAACGCTTATGCGACGAGCTCAACAACACCACCGGCGGCCTTAATCTTCTCCTCGGCGTCACGGCTGACATAGCGGGCACGGACGACGACGGGGATCTGGGGGAGACGGCCCTTGCCGAGGACCTTGGAGTAGCCGAGGGGAAGGAGGTCGATGACGGGGGCGACGTCGGTCTTCTTGCCGCTCAGGTAGGCATCACGCTGCTCGGTGGGGACGAGGGACCAGAGCTGTGAAAAAAGAGACCATTGGTCAGCGATATTATCCAGATAAAAATTGGTGCCGTATTCCATCGTGTCAATTGGCCCTTTTTGTTCGTTCGGAATTCGCTGTCGGTTCCATTTCTCCATACACCCGGGACCAATCCACACGAATTTTTTCTTTTCACGGCTCGATTCGGATATTCAAACGTACCTTGTCAACGTTGACAGTGGGCTTCCAGAACTGCTGGTTGGTCTTGTGGAAGTACCGCATACCAACCTTACCGAAGTAACCAGGGTGGAACTTGTCAATGTTGGTACGGTGGTGGTGCTGACCACCGGCCATACCACGACCACCGGGGGACTTGCGGTGCTTGCCGATACGACCGTAACCGGCCGAGACGTGGCCGCGGCTGTGTGAAGAAATCAAAGGTTAGTGACATGTTGGATATGCGATGTCGAGATGATCTTTTTGACGTCGCGATCTGCGGGAAAAAGAGTTCGATTCAGACGGCACAGGAAAGGGTGTCGACTCACTGCTTCCGGGTCTTCGAGAAACGGGTAGGCATCTTGTCGGCGGTGGTGTTTCGACAAGACCGTGTGTATTGGGCGTTGAAGGGGGAGGGTCGTTCCGTCTTGGATGTTGAAATCCAGGCTTGGGCAAGCTAGAGTGTGCGCTAGCAAATTCGCTTGTCCCGTGATAGGGTCAAGCCCTGACCCTAGCTTTGTCATGACCACGTGAGCTGCTGATAGTACACCGCCTACTATTTGTTTATTCTGCCGGGTTTATTTAGGGCTGTTTAGTCCAAAATTGACATCATAGGTTGGACTAACTTACATTAGCCTGAGTTACATGTAGTCAACACTGCTTTCCATGTATGCAACCTGTTGGTCTATTTTCGCCTTTAATTTTTACTTTTGCTCTGTGCTACGCCTCTTTTCGGCGAAAAACTTGAAAAGTCTTTGTACGGTCATCTGAGCCGCCCGCCTGGGCGGTGCTGGCACCAGACTCCCTCGAATCCAACCAGGCAATTTTCCCTGGATGCGAGGCGAATCATATCGGCGGTCGATCATGACAATTGCAGCATAATCATTGACATGTCGAATAGCTCGCCCAATACATTGGTTCACTGCTCGCATGCAAGAATTCTCATAAAAGTCTCTTCCGGCCGCTTTGCCTGCTGCTTTCCTTTCAGACTCGGAACCAGAGGCCTGCTTGTAGGCCTTTTCCTCGAGGTACTGGATCTTAGCCTGCCAGACAGCGCTGCGAATGTTAGGGAATGGTAGGCCAATGATAAAGACGCCTCGCCCCAGCTTATCAGAAAAGTTGATGCCTTCTGACAACTTTCCACCTACGATAGAAAGAAGCAATGCCCCAGATCCCGATTCAACTGCATCGGTATACTCCTGTAGCAATGCGTCTGTTGGTGTCACTGCTTCACGGGACTCGTAGAGAACCTTCTTCTTTCGTTCCAGTAGATCGAGGGTGGATTGACCGTTACCGTTGGGTATTGGTTTCTTCCAGATATTCACAACCTGGCTTAGGTAGTCATAACTGGGGAAAAAAGCAACAACGCCATCTGGGATGATTTGGCAAAGGGCTGCTAAGGTGCGTCCAAGGTCGACAATCTAGCGAAAATTTTAATAAAGCACAATAACGTGTCTGGGCTGTGGATATCTTACCATTTTTTCGGAATTTCGTTTCTCATAGGTGAAATCGAATTCAGACCCCAAAAGCCCTTGCGTCAAGGACTGCGCCACTAGGTTGGTTTGTGGAATAACATGGCCATAGCTGAAAGTACCAAGTCGCTCCGGAGGCAGATATGAGAACAAATGGTTTACATAGTCTGACATCTATACACAGAGTTAGGGCATGGTATTGTAAATGAGAAGAAAACTTACAGGGGACATGGTACCGCCAGCCAATATGACGGCCCTGGCATCTTCAGCAATCTCTCGGAAGTGGTTGGTAGGGTCCAGAAGCATGTATTTCAGCATGGTATCGTCTTGACTTTTTTGATAGAAGAGGCGTCCCTCTTCTGAAGGGTTCATCAATGTAAGAAGAAAGCTTTGAATATGGAACAAGACCGGCATAGTGGTCTTGTCTTTGGAGCGGCCAGGTTGTGCCTCTTGTGTCGATTCAACGTACCCATCCACTTTCCGGGCGAGTTTGCTTTCTTGAAGATACCGAGTTAGCTTGTAAGGGTTGATCTGATCAACTCCTTTGCCAGCCATGAGATCTGACGCCTGCACTGATCCTTCTGATTGCCCCTTTTGTTGGGAGATTGACCGTAGATGATTTGCAATGGAGCTCACCAGCCGAATGACTTGGGCAACATAGTTCCGATTCTTTCCTATTAGCCGATTCTTGAACTTGCGAGCATATGCCGTCAGCTGCGTGATGGCAGTTTGCAGTTGATTCAGTGTGACTGATACCGAATGGATACCGGCGATTGCATCCATCAGGTTGTGGGCTTCATCAATTATGACAACGTGACCCTTGACGGACAGATTGAGAGCTTCACGGGCAGATCTTTGCAGCAGCAGTGGATATGGGAGTGTTATAATCTGGAATTTGTTAGCTTTGCAAATGTCGTAATTGCATGCTGTAGAACTGACCTCGCTATGTTTGATAACCGGACGGGATGCATAGTAGGGACATATTCCAAGCTCTTTACCGACCAAGCCGATGTCTTCAATATCCTTGATTGTCGCCAGAGTATGGTCCCGAAATTGAAGAGCTAGAGCCTCATCGTCTTTAGATGGAAGGAATGCGCACTTCTTATCAGCCGCAACACCGGACTGTTGTAGATCTAAACACATTTCGTTGATTGCGGTATTGTTCTCCAAAGCCCGAACTTTGGGGTTGATGCAAAGATTCTTCCTAGAACCTAGCGAGAGATGTTTCACACGCTCTTCGAGTGCGAAGAGGTCATCTTTGCTCTCTGGATCAAGGTCGCTAGGTATACTGGACGGGAACGTGACTCGCCGCAATTCGCCGGCAAATTGACTCAGTTGAGAGTGCGTTCTTGAGCAATAGAAGATTTTCACCTCGTCATCCGCATCGTCGCCTTCTTCTTTCTTCTGGGAAGAGAACTGCCCTTTGAACCGTTCTAATAAAGCCAACGTGCTCGCAGACAGACCATCGTTGCCAGAATCAGGCTTTTTCTGCTCTGTGTCGCTGTCATAGTCATCGAGAACAAATTGTCCTTCGTCGGCAGTCTCAGACGCTGGCGCTGGTTCGTCAAGTCGCTATCCAGGTTAGTATATGGCCTTTCCCAAAGCAGGGATATTCATACCTGCTTTTTTCTAGGCCGCTCGGCGCTGTCCTGGGCCTGCTTTAGGCGTTCTTCCTCCTGGCGAACCTTGGCGAGTCGAGCCTCAAATTCCTGTCGCTTCTCGGTGATGGCCCGGCGGGATTCCCGCTTGGCAAATTCGATCATCCACTCTGGCTCACCATCATCGCCTCAAACATGTCAGCTTGTAAGCTTATCTCACTGATAAGAATAGACATACATGTTGCATCGTCGACCGTCTCTTGAAACGCCTCGCGCTTGTGGTCCCGTAGCCATGTCAAAGAGCCACAGATTAAGCTTAGGGATTTTCCCTAATTGGGAGAGGCTTAGCATTGATGTCACACGGTTGAGATCCCTGTCTGTGGCTGATGCACTTACAGTACCTGCACGGCACGTTAGATTGGAAACAAACAGCTAGTGGCCGCGCTTACCAGTAGGGGATTCAAAGATGGCGATCTTGCTCTCTTCCAAACAGCCATACAGAGCCTGCATAAATTGCTGTTGGATCTCGTATGGCGTATAAGGATGGTGGAAATCGCGCATAGTGGAGGACATGACGTGAAAGTACTAAGTTTCGGTATAGTCCCCGAGCAGGAGGGTTTGAAGGGATAAAAATGGAACACCGCGGTGGAGTTCATAAGGCTCCAGTCAAAAAGGAGACAATAACTTGCGGGTCCCGGGGCTACTGCACGACAGAGAAGCCAATAGATGGAAGTCGAGAAGTGCCCTTTGCCATCGCCATTGTCTTAGACCTGTCAAATATGAGGCTAAGGGGGGACTAATAGATCTCCCTATTATTAAACGCGGATGTTTGACCTGGCGGGGGTGGGGAAGGAGTAAAGAAGAGATGTTTGTGTATGGCTGTCCGCAAAGTGGGCTGGTTCAGTTACCCTCTCTTGGCGCACTTTTTTCATTTAGATGCCCCCCTCTCTCTCTCTCCTTTCCCCTCATATGTGTTCGATGTGCGTCTATTGCTAAGATACGCGTCTTACACTCGGTCTTTGCTAGCTGCTCTCCATATCATAGGCCTCCCCCCTCATTTCCATAATGAACAGACCGCCACAGGGCCGTGGTCAGCCACGCGTGGGTGCGACATGGTATCCAGGGGGCCAGGATGACTTCTACATGCCAGAGGTCATATCCCCCTCTCCTCAGCGGTAAGTCAATCTACTCTCTGCCATATATCTACAAGATGCCGAAAGTACGAGTATTGATTCACCCCGGCAGAGTCATGGCCGACGTGCCGGAGCACATGCAGGACAACATTGCTCAGATGGAACATAACGCCCGAGACCCCCGCCGTGGTCAGCAGTCACCCGCGCAGTACCAACGCGCCCAGGCTCACTTCCCCGAGCGAACCTCGTCCGCTGCCCAAGGGCCACCACAACACAATCAGGTCCACGACCCCAGTTCCTACGCGCAATCTGCGACCTATGACAGCATGGATCACCCCAATTTCTCGCCGTTTCCCGTGCTGCGAAATCCACCACCAAATGTCCCTCCCACCGATGAACAGCGAGAAGCCAGTTTAGAACGCGCGCGGATGGCGGTGCTTTCGACCACAGACCCGGAGATGCAACTGGCGTGGGCTCTGGACGCGCTGGCGTTCGTCGAGGTGGCCGCACAGAATGAAGCCCGCCTCTGTTTAACCCAGCCGCCGCGCCCGCAGACTCCACAGATTGAACGGCAGTTGCGGGTCGACGCAATGAACATTGTCGGCTTCTTAGCCGAACAGCGGCATCCCAAGGCGGAATTCATCAAGGGCATGTGGCTTGAGTTCGCTAAATTTGGTTATCCTCAGGATCGCAAGGAGGCATTCCGATGCTATTCGCGCGCCGCTGAGAAGGGGTATGCGCGTGCCGAATACCGGATCGGAATGCAGTTCGAGAGCTCGGGGGAGCCGGAGAAGGCGATTAGGCACTATCAGCGGGGTGTTGCACAGGCAGATTCTGCCTCATATTATGTGAGTATTTCGGAAACAGTGTTTTGAGCCGAGGCTTACATTCTGCAGCGCCTCGGAATGATGATTCTCCTGGGACAACATGGCCAGATCCAGGATTTCAACACTGGGTTGGAGTACATTCGATTGGCAGCTCAGTCCTGCGATCAGAACGCACCTCAGGGTGCATACGTGAGTTTTCTAGATCACTTCGGCCTGAATTATGCTGATATCGGACAAAGGTATACGGTATGCTTTTGGCTCGCGAGCTTCCTCAAGTGAGCGTCCCAGAAAGTTTCCTTCCTCTCGATCTCAATTTGGCACGTGTCAATATTGAAAAAGCTGCATATCACGGGTTCGCTAAAGCCCAAGTCAAAATGGGTGCTGCATATGAGTTGTGTCAGTTAAGTTGCGACTTCAACCCGGCGCTGTCGTTGCATTATAACGCACTGGCAGCTCGTCAGGGCGAACCCGAAGCTGAGATGGCGATCAGTAAATGGTTCCTATGTGGGCATGAGGGTGTCTTTGAGAAGAACGATGAATTGGCATTCACGTATGCGCAACGTGCCGCCCAGAGTGGCCTTCCCACTGCCGAATTCGCCCTTGGTTACTTCTATGAGGTTGGTATATTTGTGCCAGTTGATATTAAAGAAGCCCGGTCTTGGTACGCCAAGGCCGCCGCCAGCGGCAACAAGGATGCTTCGGGTCGGATTGAGAGTATCTCGCGCTCTAAGACGCTCTCCAGAAAGGACCACGAGAAGGTTGCCATCTCACGCATTAAGTCCACGCGATATACCGCTCACCAGCGAGGCGGGTCTTTGGATACGACGCCCGAGAATATACAAATGCCGGATCCTTCGCGAATGACCTTGTCTGACGGCCCACCGTCTGCTGCTCCTTACCCTGATCGTCCCCAGACCTCTCGTCCCCGGCCTCCGGGCCAGGGTTACCAATTGCAAGATACCCGCCCAAGCTCTGCCTTTGGCGTCAACCCGAACCTCCGGACCAATGGCCCGCCTGGCTATGGCGGTCCTTCTCCTGGTGGACCGGGATCTCGTACCCCGTCCTATGGACAGGGACCCTCCGGACCCATGAACTATCGCCAACCTGGCCCTGGCACACCCATGAGCGCGCCCGCCGGACCAGCAAGCCCCCAGGCTGCCAACATGATCAGTCCCAGCGGAACCCCGCGTCTCGATGTTGGTTACTCTGCACCAATGCCACCCCCAGGTGACCGCAGACGCCCGCCGCCACAACTCAACCAGGCCCCTCCGGACCGCAAGCCCATTAGAACTCCTGTCTCTGCCCACTCGGCTCAGTCTGGGCTGCCTTCGCCTAGAACTGCGGCCTCACCACGCCCACCGGGATCTCCTTCGTTCCCTCCCCGCATGGAATCGCGGCAGCCATCTCGAGGATCGGGCACCTCCACGCCCCAACCGCCACCCTCTATCGCATCATCGACCTCCTCAGCACCTCCCAAGTCTTCCGCTGGTAGCGCTGCTGGAAGTGCTGCTGGAAAGCCTGCCAAGTCCAGTGGCCAGCTGCCAGGCAAGGGACCCAAGACCTTTGAAGAAATGGGTGTCCCTAGTGCCAAAAATGACAGTGATTGCGTGAGTAAAGTAAAACCACTGGCAAGTGAACCAGAACTGACTTTTCTAGATTGTGATGTGATACCCCGGTCCGTTTCTGTCTTTCTTTGCGATGAATTCAGTGCGCTGTATTGCAGACGAGGTGTTCAATTTCATGTTTTGCATTTCTTTCCTTACACATAATCCCGGGATCCCAAAAGTTTCGTCGTCCGGGGGCGAATGGTCTCACCTTTTGAGAAAACTGCATTTTCACCCAGGATTTATGACTTTGGGGTATCTTTTTGTACATATGGTTATCTGGTCTTTTTTTTTTTTTTTTTTTTTTTTTTTTTGTGGAAATTTTTTGGGAATTAGATATCAGGAGTAACTATGAACTATTGTTGTTCCAATGTTTTCACTCTAATCCCACGTGAGGTCCAGATCCTTAAGATAGTTGTACCCGTCCTCAACTCAGTCTCTTACAAACCTTTCATCTTTCTGTCTTGCTATCTGTACGCCATGGCTCCTCGTAAAGTAAAGACTGGTGCCACTGCTGGAGAGGATGGTGAGATCCCAATTGGCTGCTTCAGGTCAAGGCTGATCACTCGAAGATGTCTCTATCGTCCGTGAATACCTTCGTGAGTATGCTTGGAGACTGTTGTTTGCTCAATGGCTTACCTCTTGTACAGGCCAACAGAAGTACCACTCTAACCATCTAGGGTATCCTCGAAGTAACTAACCCTGTCTGGTACAGCCGTCCTTATTCGGTTTGCTCCCCAGTATTCGAGACGCCAGAGGACACATTGTTGACAAGTTTAGGCCATCGATATATCTGCGAACCTCCACAACAAGGTTACCAAAAGTTAGTCTGGCATCACGAGCTAGTCGGCCTGTCTAATATATATCAGCCCATGCTACGAAGATTCTCCGGGATTTGCACGAAAAGAAGCAGATCGAAGGACGAACTTCTGGTAAGTCATGTTTATTTATATGAAGGACCTGCTAATTCTATGGCATCTACACAGGCAAACAGACAGTCTACCATGCACTGCAAGATCCCTCGGACACAGCCACCCCCGAAGCAGCAGCCGCGCTAAGCCGCGATATTGCAAACCTTCAAAGCCAACTCGAAGCATTCAAAGCCAATGAGAAGAAGGCCCGAGCCGCTCTGACAGCCCTGAAGGCCAAACCTCGGGTGTCTGATCTTCGCCAGGATATCACCCGCCTGGAAAGCGAACAAGAGGCGATCCAGGCCCGCTTGGCAAGCCGCCACGAGGATGATACAATTTCAATCTCGCCGGCTGAAAGAGCAAAGCTTGAAACCGAGAGGAAACAATGGCAGCGCCAGGTCGGCATTCGCCGTCGCATCTGTTGCGAGCTGTGGGGACGATGCTCTGAGGTTCTTCCGGAGAACGTGACTGCCCTGGAGCTGTGGGTAAGCTATGACACGACCAGGCGCTTCAAATGTTAGATCAGAATGTTGACAAATGCCAGGAATCTTTGGGGCTTGAAGGAACGCTCCAATAAGAGGTGCTGACGATGATCGTGTGGTGATCCTTCCAGTCCCCACTCGGTCACATCATTTGACATTTGCGGCTTTCAGTCTGAGCGGAGACTTGCTTGAGCGTGTATTTCCGGTGTGAACATTTGATTCGACAATATGCAGCAATCTGGAATGGAGGCAACGGTGGGAGGCAAAGGGAAATCAGATGGGCCTTGTCATGGGAACCGAGGAAAGCTTAAGCGAAAGGTGAGATTGTATAAGATAATGATGTTATTTCAGATACCTACGTCCGTAGTTATTTAGCTAGTTTGTGCGACTATTTACTCTGTACTGTTCTATCTATACCTCACTTTTGTACTCGGAGGTTGCTTTCGACACTCCGCCCACCGCCCGCCGAGCCTATCTCTTTCCCCTCTCCAATCTCCAAACCCCTCCCACTTCTCCATGCAGGTGTCTTCTCGCCCTCCTTCATCTCGTCAACACAGTCAAGCAGAGATGAGAGGTCGTGCGCCTCTTCCAGTTTCATCTGGGGCGGCGCCCCAGAACGGTCATACCCGCAGTCACTCGGGACTCGACGTTGCCCGCAGTCCTCCGAACCAGAGCAACAAGAGTAAGTGAACAAATTTCACTGAATCTCAGATACTCCCATTGTCTGGGCGGAGAGCAACAGGCTAATTATGTGCGTCAATTGCCTTTGCAGACACCAAACATGTTCCATGCAAATTCTTCCGTCAGGGTGCCTGCCAGGCAGGCCCCGCTTGTCCGTTCTTACACTCCACTGATGCAGGAATTGACTACGCCCCGTGCAAATACTTTACAAAGGTATGGAATTGATAGGAGCACTTACTTGCGGTTCGCATTTTGGGGGTATCGGAAGTTAACGGGCTGTGATTTGGTTTTAGGGAAACTGCAAGTTCGGCGCCAAATGCGCACTGGCGCATATCCTCCCCGATGGACGACGAGTCAACCGACCGACGGGAGGCATGGGTGGCCACCTCAATTTGGGTGGTCGAGTGAACCCACAGGCATACGTTAACCAGGACTCAGCCCTCACCAACTCCGTTCTCTCTCAGCAGCGCATGAACGGTCACGAGCAGCCTCGATATGCCCCGCAGCTCCCCCCGCAGGAGGAGTACGCATCGCTGCAACAGGCCCCCTACGATGCGATTCCGACGATTGACACGGGCCTTGCCTCCGATGCCGGATCTAAGTATGGGTCCCCGGCCGAAGATGTTCGTTTTCCGATGTCGCCCAACAACAACCACCTTACCGCTCTCGATGCGGGGCTCCCGGCTTCATTCGACAGCCAGGGTATCTCGCATGCTGCTCGTTACGGACCGGTGGCTGCTTCGATGCCATCGCAATTCGGATTGGAATCGCCTCCGGCTCAGAGACCGGCCCAAACCGACGCTTTCCGCAACCTGCGTGACATCTACGGCTCTAGCTTCCAGAGGAAGCCTTCTTCGAACATTGGATCGTCGCCTCCAGCCCCCGAAGACACCATTGGCCCCCGGTTCATGCACTCTGCCCGCCCTGTCAAGCCGCGCATGCTTTCCGCTAGCGTTCCCCGACCCACCGCCCTCGAGGACTGGGACGAAAACTTCCCGATGGAGGAGGACTATTTGCCAGTTAACTTGCACGACGATGTTCTCACCCCACAGGAGAAGCTGCGCCGACTCTCTCGGACTGACAACGACTTGAGCTCTAGTCACCGTGACATCAGCGGCCTCGGCATGACCAGTACCAGCTTTTCCAAGACTGGCTCTCCTTTGGCATCGAGTCCGTCTCGTTTTGGGGCATTGTTTGCCAAGCAGCGCCAGCGAAAAGAAGAGGAGTCTCATGGCTCTTCTTTCCATATTGGATCTCCTCTACGTGAATCGTCATTAAACCCAATCACCAGCCCTAGCCTTGGTCCTATTGGCAGCAGCCGTGCTTCCCATGATGGCTCGCCGTTTGTTTCAAGCCCTGGACGTCAGTCCTCGATGTCGATGATCTCTGAGCAGCTTGGTGGCATGTCCCTTCATCCTGGTCCCACTCGCCACACAGCAGTACCCCCTGCTCGCCTTGACCGAACCATATCCTCCCCGGTCACGAACAGCAAGATCGAAGAAGAGGAGCAGAGCGATCTGGTCTTCTCCATGGAGGAAGAAGAGGGTAACAAGCGGAGTGGTGCCCCGTGAGCCGACAATGAAGAGATAACCACCGCCTAACCCGCCCTATTTGTTCAATGTCCAAACAATCATCACGAAGATACGCCCCATGAGACGTCCACACCTGTGGACGATGTTGATACACATCAAAAGACCAAAAAAAGGGAAACTGGAGTTCATTGGACGCATAAGGGAGCATCAGAAGAGAACCAAAAAAAGGGTATCCCAGGACAAATCCAACCTTGGCTGACATTTCTCACGAGAATCTGTTTTGGCAAAAACAAAAAGGCAACAAAAGCTTCCTCTTCATAGAACTGGCCCAACAGCATCTTTTCTTTTCCTGATCACATTCGAAATCATCTAGACCAGTTATGTCACATGTGCTTTCCATTGAGCTTCCGGCCAGCCATCTACTGTATTAATCTCTGCTTTTATCTCCCCCGTGTGTTTACTCCGTGGGATCATTTTCCTCGACTATCATGTACATGGGTTGTCATCTCGACTCTTTGTTATTTTCTGCTTACTTCTACTTCATTCAGTTGATGAATTCACGACCCTATCCCGGTGTTTACTAGTATCCTGTATGCTCTCCACCTTTGCTTTCTCTCTTCATGTTCATCAGTGTGTCGGCTCCCTAAGAATGTACTGTTTCATCAGTTTTACATGTTAACATAACTACCTTGGTCCTAGGACTTCAACACAGGATTGCATTATGCTAGTCAATTGCCTCTTTGCTTCTTATGTTCTTTATAGGACTCATACACTCATTGCAAACTGGCCCCCTAGTACTGCAAAATTCCCGTCGCCTTTATGCGTACAAGCAGGGTCCTAAGAGTTGCCGGACAAGTTTTCAAGACACCACTTTCGTCAAGATTTACATACAGCATCCTGAATGTTTTCTTGCACGATGAAGGGGGACCGTTAGACGACATTTGGGTTCTAGAATGCAAGCCCTGGATAATCGAGATGGGGCCTTGTTCAAGTCAAAGAGCAATTCTCGTATCGCTAGGCACACTGTGAAGAAGGAGACTTGGCTAAAGAGATTGCAGGTGGCCCTCAGACTATATGGGAGAGAAGATGCTGCCGATGATGATGTCAGCTCGATGCCAAGGTGTTATTACGATGCTTTCTGTTTCTGTTTGAGTAGCAATCCATGAAGGTGCTTGTGTCAAGAATTTGAGGGAAAAAAGAGTAATAATGTAATGACTAGCTGTGTGAATTATGATGATCAATGAAACATATTTCGAAAGCCTCAGTCTTCGCATCTGTAACTGTTTAATCAAACCATTGCAGTCCAATGCTAGTTGGTCAACCCAGGGTCGAAAATGGCCAATGAATCTACTAAGGTGGAAGTGTATAGAACATACGAATGTACATTTGCAGCAGATGCTTGATATAATGCTTATCAGCCTGGGATGCCACCCAAAAACCAAATCAAGAATCTCATCGTATCATGCATCGGCTTTCATTGCCATTCTATGTGCATAAGGGTCGAGGATAGGCTGTGGCCACTAACTGCTTGTAGAATATGGGTTTTCTCGGTGGATCTTGGTGGATATTGGAATGCAGATTGCAACTGTCAGCGCTAAAATAACTACCTATCTGCCCTGTTTGTGTCGTATTGAGAAAGGTTTTTAGTATGAAGCTACTAGGCTTATTTTTGGATATTTTCGGGAAAATCCTCAATCAGAGATAGTGCGGGTCAGCGCAACTATCTGATCGGATACAGTAAGCAATACCAAATACTCCGGTGGTGATATGTACGCTGGTAGAGTGAGCTAGGGTATAGGGTATGCGGGCGATAACTAGGACCCTGCATGTCTCGAACCACCGATTGACCCTGACACCCACTCTCTTAGACGTTCGTCTTTCTTCTGTTCTTTTTCAAGACTCTGCTCTACATACTACATCTCTCGAAAATATAGGGATGCCATGTGAAAACTAATTCAGTTAAGCTTTTAAGGTCGATCCCGGATGTGACCTCCAAACAGCTTATGTTCCATGTGGCTGAACCCTAGTTCATAACACGTAGACTAAACAGTGGATAGTAGACTCCAATCCACGTAATTAGTATAGGAACGTCCAAGGTTGTCTTAGCTGTTTTACTAACAGTCCTAGCTACAGCATTAGACACATGCTCGCCCTAACCTGTTATAGACTACTATAATTAAGTCCGTGTCGTGGGGCGTAGCGGTGTATCTCTCACTCCTTGACCGTGCAGGGGAAGGTAGGATTACGATGATATGACAAAGTAAAACTAGGGGTCTATTTCGTGGAAAGAGAAAAGAGAACCAGTACGTACTTGGAATCCAGTGCGCTGCTTCCAGCGGACAAAGGTATAAATAGGACAGGAAGCCCACGTCTGCATGACTTTCTATCCATTATCAATCCCAACTACCTCTTCTCTTCTTAAATATTTCCATTCATCTAATATGAAGGTCCCCTGTTTCCTCGGTGCCCTTGCTCTGGTCGGCAGTGCAGCTGCCTGGAATGGTCAGTTGAGTGCCGATGCCTACAACCCAGGCGAGGGTGGTACAATTACCCAGGAAATCCACCTGCTTGACTACACTACTGGATCGAGATACGACGGTGTCCTTTATGGTGGTTTCAATGCTTGCACAAGCACTCAATGTTCCGTCTAGTAAGCTTATATGCCCCGAAAATAGCATCCAGATACAAAAAACTGACATACGACTAGCTTTCAGGAAGTCAGTGGCGGAAACTATCAATTCTCGACCAAGGTCTGGAGAACTAACGATGGATGCCACAACATTGATTTCTCGGGTGCTTTCGATGCTGGCCATGGGTACTGCTGTGGCTCGCTGCCTTGCAATATCTCGGCTTAAGTGTGAGGGTATATGTTCTCGTATCCTCTGATTATCTGGGGGAGATTGAACTGACAGACCAACAGAGTATGAGGAAGTTATTGCACCGAAGTCCTCTATGCAAAACGGATCTTCGTATAGAGAATTATAGCTAGTATACTGATACAAAAAATTCATGTTCAACTACCAACCTCTTCTTTGTAAACCATAATAAGCCCCGAGGTCAGATCGTACGCATGTCCGAACGTTCAAGCTTGAATCAACAACTGTCAAGTCTAAGACGATCACAGCCACGAAATTCACTCTCTTTTCTCTTCAAGTTTCTTTCATTCTCTACCTGACATTGGTTCAATCTCAACCATCTTGACAATATGGCAAAAAGGAAACATGATTCAGTCCAATAGTGGATATTCGAACTGATAATCAACCAAAAGTGCAACAGGGTCTGTTGCGCATGTCTGGAAACATATGCATACGACTACCTCTGGTCGCTCACAACACAGGATCTTTTGCTATCGGGCTGGGTTAGCATCTCAAAGGCAATGGATCGAGCCGATAAGCTGTCTAAGCTATTTGCAAGTCACATGCTATGTGCATATGGCAGAAGCATGCATTGTAGCAACGTGAAATACCGACGATGGGGCGAGGAGCTGGTTGTGCACCCAGAATGTTTCAAATGGGGCTCTGTCTACACTGTGTTCGGGCAAATAAGATGGAGTTAGCCTACTGTCATGTTGAACATTAGCGCCAGTCATTAGCTCGATCAGCTTCATGTGGGTAGAGCCTTGCTAAAGCCCTTGCTCCCGAGGAAGTGTCGTGCTCTGAGTCGAAATTTGATATGACCGCACCACTCGAGCACAAAATGTACCCAAGCAAGGCTTCGTTTTACTATCTCATTTGATCATAACCCTAGTGGCCAAGCTACAGTGACCCAATTTCAAATTGCACCTTAGTCTATCACAAACATATGGAATAGCAGCACAGTAGAAGTATCATTCTAATCGACTTAATCATACATTAAAACCACGAGTCCCAGCCAGAAAGACGCCTTGACCAGGAAAAGAATTGCGCCATTTCATAACAAAAACCATGCCGAACCCCGACTATGTTCACCTCTTCATTTCCTTGCACCTACATCTCATCCAGGTACATCGCACTCCCCTTCAGATTGACCAATCCCTCGCCAGTAGATTGAGCCTGAATCTGCTGCGTCTGCTCTCTGGCCAAACGATCCGCAAGAACACCACGCTCACGCGTCCTCACATCCGCAGCACGAGCACCATCCGCTTGGTCATGGTGGAGATACTTGTAGATCTGATCCGTACCAGAAACGACACGTGAAACGAGGGTCTCGAACGCCTTTCCGGTGAGAGCGTCGACACGGCTCTTCAGGGCGGTCTCGGCACCAGCACGTAGACGCTTTGCATTTTCGTCCCGCTCGTTCTGCTCGTCGGCTAGCTTGCGCTTGCGTTCTTCGACCTTTTTCTGGTGCTCGTCTTTAGTGGCCAGGTACTTGAGGGAATGACCAAGTGTTTGCGGCGAAGCCGGGATGTAGTCCAGCGGCGGCGCGGAGAAGAAAAGCACGCGGCCCAGGTCATCGCAGTGGAATTGGTGGCGGATATCCTCTGGGATTGAGGCGTTGGCTGCATCGCTGAGGTGGAAGACTTCCACTGGGCGCGGTGCGTTGGGGTTATAGACTGCGGCCGGGGCCTGCATGCGGCCTGAGTGGTTGAATGGCGAGGGCTGGGCTGAGGCTACTGGGGGCTGCAATCCTTGGTAGCCTGCCGGTGTTTGGGGAGCGGCGAAGTTGCTTGGTCGCCGGGAGAGGGATGCCTGGTACATCTGGGCAGGGGTCATTTGACCCGCGAAGGCTGGGGAGGCACCTGGGACGGGTGACGTCTGGACGGCGATTGGGGCTGCGGGTGAGCGTGCTTGGAGTGCAGCTGCAGTATTTGGACTGCCCAGATTACCTCGTAGGCCCATAGATTGGCGGGGTGCGACTGTCATGGGTTGTGGAGGTGGTGGAGATGGAGTTGGTTCTGGTGGTGGGGATTCCTATTGAATGTTAGGTATGAGTTCGCTTTTTGTCAAGTGATTTTGTAGCTCAACTTACGTTCTCATCGCGGGGGCGCCGGTGAACGGCGCCAACGACAGGGGGTGCATTGTCTGTTCCCCACGTCGGTCGAGGGAGGTCGTCGGTTTCTTTTGCGTCGTCCTTCAGAAGATGCTTGATCGGACTGGGTACCTTTTTGATCTTGCGCGGAACATCAAAGAGGTCCATTTCATAGTCCTTTTCGCGCACCTCATCTGGTAGACAACTGGCCCATGTTTTGATCTTGTTCAGTTTATGCTTTTCCTCATTGTAGCGAGCCTCGCAGACATAGATTTCTTTGTCCGGTGCGAGATCTCTTGGGCGTCCACGGCTGTAACGAGTAAAGAACATCACGAAGCAACGGTCCACAATTTCATCAATTCGGTGGTCTCGGTATTGTCCGGTTTTGACCACCTCATTTGGATAGAAGTGTTTTTCGAAGTGATGGACGGTCTGCTCTGGACGGTAGTACCAGCATGCATTGATCCATTTCTCCCCTTCGGAATCCTGCCAGGTCCGGTAGATCTGCGCAACGATCGGCTTGGTCACGTCGTTTTGGTTCTGAATGTGAACCCAATCTCCAACCTTCCACAACTCACCGCGGTGGAGAATGCCATCGGGGAGAGGGAAGCGACCATCTTCCATCAAAAACTCGCTGTCGGGCTTCTTCTTTTCTTGCTCGGCCAATTTCCGTGATTCGTTCTGCAGGTCAACAGCATCCTTGAAGATCTCGCTGTCGGATTGATTGTATGTTTTGGCGTTTTCGAACATGAGATCAAGATCCCGCATGAAATGATCGACCGAGTTATACTTCTTGCGCTTGGATTTGCGCTTGATGATGTCGATAGCAATAGGATCCTTGATCTCCATGTAATAATCCGGATAAGTTGCCTTATCGGGGAGCCGTTCAAAGTGGGTAATCTTCAAGTGGCCACCAGCACCCTTGAATTTGCGGATTCCTTTGAGAATGGTCTTGATCCTAGTCTCCATGGGAGTATCCACGCGTGGAGGGCGGCCTCGTTTCTTGCGCAGGTCTGGCTCCGGTTTCTGAACCATTCCGCGCTTGAATCCAGGCTTGGGACCGGGCTTCTTCCTTCTTCGGCCCTCATCCTCAGAACCCTCCATCTCAACCTCGTCATCGTCCTCGTCTTCTTCTACTTCCTCCTCCTCCTCCTCTTCGTCCTCATCGGGCAGAGGATCGGCCTCGGGGATTTCTCCTAGATCGGGAAGTTCTGCCTCATCGGCAGAGATCACACCTTGGGCAGCTAGCTTCCTGAACTCGGACGCAAAAACATCCTAATGCTGTCAGTTTGCCAGTCAGTCGATCACTTTCCTTGGGTTTATCTTACCCTAATAACCAGCGCATCCTCGTAAGCTTGCGATCGAGGTCTGTTATAGGTTTGCGCATTGTGTGGGATCTAGAGACTGTCAGTCAACGAACCGGAGATCTGGGCGCAATAGACGTACCAAAGCACAGTCGCGGACGAATTCCGAAAAATGTTTGTATTCCCGCTTGTTGATGCGGGCTTTCAAGATGCTGAGGGCCATTGGCTCCTTAATGATATCGTAGTAGTCCGGAACAAAGCGCTTGTTGACACTGCGATGGAACAATCGCGACGGATCATGGCCACTTCAACAATGTCAGACAAAAGTTCCACACAGCTCTATCAAGACAACTTACTCGTCTTCCCGATAGTTATAAATCGCCATGACCACATCCATCATCGACTTCCATAGTTCTCGGGTGATTACACCGTCATCCTCGATGGAGTTGACGGGCTCCTCGCGCGGGGGATGCGACTCTTGCTCGGAAGTCTCCATGCCGCTGGGAACGAGCGCGTTTCCACGCAAATCACAGGCTTGTGCGTTGCAATAATCGGGTGAGCGCTCAGCTAGAAAATTGCCTAAGTTGGATCGTAGGGGGAGTCGGAGAATGTTTTACGAGCGCGTGAAGCTACTGCTGAGTCAGCAGAATTGACGTTACATACGGTAATCTCATTTCATGACGAGTTCGAGCTCTGCGAATCGCTTCACTTCGACAAGGTATTCTGCATTCATGGCCATGTCTCTCCAGGATAGTATTGCCTTATATGGCTGCTATTATATATATCAACTCTGATCCTTTACATTCCTTGAAGCTGATTCTTTTGGCTTCATTGTATTCCGTATGCTAAAACCGACCTGTTTGCGGATTTCAGATCTCAAGAATTCTTCAGACCTGGACAAAGATTCCTTGAGCTCGTGAGCACCTCAGCAACAAAGGGACTTTTGCTTGTTCTTTGCTTGCATCGCATTCCGACAGCTACCCCACACGGCATCGTCATATCTATCGGTGGGACGCCCACATCACCGCCCTAGCTTCTTTTCGCCTCTGCAACTCTTCTATCTCATATATTTCATCTATTGCATCATGAGGATCCGAGTGCGCGGGCCATCAGGCCAGTCAACTGTCACTCTAGACGACACTGCAACCATCAAAGATCTCCGAGACCAAATTGCGGAGAAGACTGGTCTAACTGCCTTTGATGTGAAATATGGATACCCTCTCCAGCCGCTCGAGCTAGGCAGTTTTCAACCAGGCCAGCCTATCTCAGAAACAGGGGTCAAACTGAATGGGGAGTCACTTATCGTCGCTCCTAAAGAGGGATCCAAACCTCCTAGCGAAGCAACGAAGGACCCAACGGCCACCCTGTCGCAACTGTCCACCTCGTCGCAAAAACCACAAACCAATAACGCCGACGACCCCCCAGAGATCGCTTCGCCGGAACATGCAGGAACCTTTGTTCTCCGCGTCATGCCGGACGACAACTCATGCCTTTTCCGAGCAGTCGGCGCGGCAGTCATGGGCGATATGGACACAATGGTCGAGCTTAGATCGATCATCGCAGGCGCCATCCAATCAAACCCAACAGAATATACAGCAGCGATTTTAGGCAAGAAGCCGAACGAATATTGCCAGTGGATCCAGAACGAGGATTCTTGGGGTGGTGCCATCGAGCTTAAGATTCTGAGTGAATACTTTAACATCGAGATCTGCTCGATTGACGTACAGACTCTCAACATGTTCCAGTTTAACGAAGGAGCACCTACGCGGTGTATCGTCGTCTATTCAGGAATTCATTACGACGTCCTCGCCCTGTCACCCTCCCACCCGCCATACACTCGTGCCAACCCCTTGGCTGATGGTGATACAAAGATTTTTGAGGCTGTCGACCCTGTTGTTTTGGAAAAAGCCAAGGAACTATGCAAGGTTCTTCAGGGCAAACATTACTATACCGACACTTCTGGATTCACAGTGCGCTGCAACGTCTGTGGTGGTACATTTACTGGCGAGAGAGGTGCCACCAAGCATGCGGCGGAGACGGGGCATTATGATTTTGGAGAAGCAGGCTAAGCAGTTAGAATAGATGATAATGCATTTTGCAGCGATTATAATCTGCTTGGTATGAATAGCGTATGGCATCAAATCGATATCACATATCGTACATAAATCGGGTCTCATAGCATAGCGACCTCGTCTGCTTCATCTTCCCCTTCGTCTTCCTCTGCCGAGTCTGCACTCTCTTCAGGGTTACCGCCCCATTCGACATCATGATGGACGGGATTTGTGAAGAATTCATGCTGCAAGGCATCTGCGGCACTGAGGCGCTTGGACGGGTCCAGCTCCATCAGGCCAGACAATAGACGTGTTGCCTGTTCCTCGCTTTCTGTCAAGTCCTCCACACAGCTTGACCATTTCACCAGCTTCTCCCAGCTGTAGCCTTTCTCGCCGATGGTGGGGATGTTTGTTTCGAAAATTTGTCCGTGCATCGCTGCTGCGGTCTTCATGCGCCGAGTACCAAAGATGCTAGACATTTCAATCATCGCATCAATGTCGTCTGCAGAGTTAAAGAAGGGGAATCGACGTCCCAGCAATGTCAAAAGGATGACACCAACGGACCACATGTCGATCTTTGTGGTTTGTGAAGTGCATTTGAAGAGAACCTCTGGGGCTCGGAAGCCTCGAGTGCCAGCACGATTTGCTCGTCTCGATGGCCGTGAATCGTTCTTGGGGTAGCCGGCGGACAATCCCGCCGATGGGGGATTCTTGGAGTAGTAACTGGAAAGTATCCGGCTCCGGCGGATATAGCTTTGATGAGTACAGAGACACGGGCTAGTGTATTCCGAACCTTGGCGCTATTGAAACTGTCAGCACGCAAGTCATAGTATAGAAGATGGAAGTCATACCTCTGCAAGTCCGAAATCAACCAAGACGCCTTCTTTCAGGTCTGGGTTGTAGAGGAAGTTGCTGACATAAAAGTCAGTATGCAGGCAAAATTAAAGTAAGAACAATGAACTTACGTTGGTTTGATATCGCGGTGTAGAATATCATGTTCGTGAACCGAGTTCAATGCAGTCATAAGAGATCGCAGATAGTGGCGCATGTCTGCTACCATGAATGTTCGGTACTGAATGCGAAAGTCCGTATGTGGGAAGTAGGGTAGCACGGCAACGACTTGATCTTGGTATCGGAAAGCAGTGATCAGCGGGCAAACAGACCCGCAGCCTCGGAGATCATGTAGCAACTCCAGCTCGTTTTGGATTCGCAGCGGGCTGCTCGTCACATAGATCTTCTTCAAGGCAACGAATCGTGCCTTTTTCCGCCCGCTCGAGTCACCCTGTACTCGTCTTCGTTTAGACGGAGGGCTGTCGTATGTGTCTTGCTGTGCTTTGTCAAAGATATCCCAGTCATTTTGGTAGTGATCGTAGTGTAGGTCTTCTGCCTTGTACACGGTGGAAAATGTACCTATAGTTTGTCCGTCAGTAAACAGACAAACAAGCCATAAGATAAAATCATACCCTCTCCAATCCTGTTTACTAGACGAAACCTGTCCGAGATCCCTGGAAAGGTATCCTCGAGCTTTCTCATGTCCTCTCGAACGGATTCGTCCACTTCTTCTTCAAATTCGCTCTCCTCTTGAGGCGCAGCGCCCTGGGAAACCGAATCATCCTCTTCTGCTAGTGTGTACTGGGGCTTCAATGCATGTGGTTCCTGAAAAGAGCTGCTGCGTTGCAACTCAAAAACGCCTGGGGCGGCGTGGAGGGCCGACATAGCTTGATAGAGCCCCGGAGAGCAAGTATAAGAGGGTTTGGTCGCTCTTTGGTTCGGAAAGGTCTTAAAGGGTCGAGGATGTGGTCTTGGGCGTCGCGTGTCTATGTTTGGTGCTTGGAAAGGTTCTTTGAAGTTTGATTGTTTTCTGATGTCAATTGCCAAAATAATCCAAACGCGGTAGGTATACAGGCAAAACGCGCGGTGACAGTACCGAGAGCCCTTGGGGCTGGCAGATCGATGGATACAAGGCGGTAAGGAGGGGAAGCTGCAGCGTTAGCGGTAAACTATGACGAGTTACATAAGATTATGTAAGAATCGGCCCTTTTTGGCAAAAGCCAAACAATCGGCGTTATCAACAAGTTTCCTCCCCGCTTTGATCTCTTTGCAACAACAACAACCATGGAGGACAGGATTCAGTTCGACATCAACGACTCGCTCAAGTATTACTTGAGTGACCCAGCGACACTCCCCACCCCGGATGCAGACCCGGAACTGCTGGATTGCGAATCGGATCCCGAGTCAATTTCGCCCGCGCTGGTTGACAATGTTTTGAACCCGATTGTGGACGCGGTAGCGGAGAACCCTGAAGGATTAACGAGATCATCCATATTTGACTCCCTACAATTTTTGCTAAAGTGCGCCCCGGTCCCTTCCCAACTTACCCATGGAGGCTTTCGCCCGTCAGGAATCGACTCTGACGAACCTTTTCACACTTGCAGATATTCCACGGCCCTTCCCACGAAATCCTTGAGCAAACTTCTAGATTTGGTCGTTTCTGGCCTCTCCGTCGAGGCCGACATCATCCATGGAGACTTGGAGTCAGACGAACAGGATGCCATCCAGGCCCACAAGCAGCTGCTGGAAATGTACGGATTCCTTTTGCAGTGGGCCCTTTCTGCTGTTGAGGTAAAGGCAGCAGAAAAACCAACCGAGGCAGCTCCTGTGCGACGAGGAGGACCCAAGTCCAAGAAATCGGCCAAGGACGGACAATGGGACTGGACACCGCAGATCCAAATATCCATGGAGACCATGTGCAAGGTGATGAAGCTCAAACTCGGACGCATTTTCCTGACGACTTCGGATCGGGATACCTTTATTAATCTCTTCACGCGAACCATCTATCTGGTTCTCGAGAGTGAGCAGCGGGTGAAGAGCATGGCTATTCGCATGCACGCCTTCAAGGTCCTGTGTATTGCAGTGAAGCACCACGGTCATGCATTTGGTAGGCTTTTCGGACCCGTCCCAGCGCGACTATATTAACGTTGGTATAGGTGCCCAAACGTCGATTGTGCAAAGTTTGACCTACTTTGAACACTTGTCTGAGCCTATGGCCGAGTTTCTGCATATTCTGGCAGAACAATACGACTACCCGCAGCTCTCCGATGAAATTTTGAAGTAATGTCATTCGCCGTTCTGTCTTGTCTCGCACTGACGTTCTTTAGGGAACTTGGAAACAAGGAATTCAATTCTAATGACACAAGAGGGCCCAAGTCTGTTTCGTCATTTATCATCAAGCTGTCTGAGCTTGCCCCCAGATTAATCATCAAGCAAATGACACTTTTGGCAAAGCAGCTTGATAGTGAGGTAACTATGGCCAATAAGAAGATATGTTGTTCTTTCACTCACGAACACAGGCATACACACTCCGCTGTGCAGTCATCGAGGTTTGTGGAAACCTCATTGCTGATCTTAGCCGACAAGAAGAACCCAGCGACAACTACAAAACCCAGATCAACGCCTTTTTCGATGTACTGGAAGAGCGTTTCCTCGATATCAACCCTTACTGCCGCTGCCGTGCGATCCAGGTATTTATGCGAATTTGTGATCTTGAGCAAAAGTTCCCCAAGAGACGACAGTCCGCGGCCCAGCTGGCGGCTCGAAGCTTGGAGGACAAGAGCAGTAACGTCCGACGTAATGCAATTAAACTCTTGTCCAAGCTTGTCTCCACGCACCCATTCAGTGTGATGCACGGCGGGCAGCTTTCATACAAGGAGTGGAATGAGAGACTCGACGCAGTTGACGCCGAGCTGAATTCTCTTCGCCCTGCGGAGACCCCTGGCTTTGACGCAGGTGATATGACGCAGGTCGACCCTGAGCTGCTTGACGATGCTACACAGCTGCCAGACGACTCACCCTCGAAAGCACCCCGGATGACTGAAGAAGAAAAGGCTGTGGCTATTCAAAAGGCCCAAGAACAGGCTGCAACTTCTGAGCTGTTGACACGGCTCCAGCTGACCAGAAAATATTACAATGAGGCCATCCGCTTCATTGAAGTACTTCACTCGGCGTCTACCATTGTCTCGCAATTGTTATCTTCGCGGAACAAGAGCGAGGTTATCGAAGCCATGGACTTTTTTGTCGTTCTTGATGCGTACAAGATTGAAACGGCCCGTGGTGGAATTCGTCGCATGCTGCGTCTGATCTGGACCAAGGGCAACAGTGACGAAGGAAAGGGTGTCCAAACACATCTGATTGACTGCTACAAAGGTCTTTTCTTTGATGCGCCAGGCTCTTTCAGTCCCAACGACGCCGCCAATTATATTGCTCGCAACATGATCAGTCTGACATTTGGTGCGACACCTGCAGAACTGACTTGTCTCGAACAACTGCTCAGCACCATGATGAAGGCTGGGAATATATCAGAGGCAGTCATTGCCAAGCTATGGCAGGTTTATGGCATCCAGAAAAAGGAGATCTCGCGGACTCAGCGCCGGGGTTCGATTATAGTGCTCGGCATGCTAGCTCTAGCAGACCCCGAAGTTGTGGTCAAGGAGATCGAAGCCATGCTGCGTATTGGCTTGAGTGGTCATGGCAAGTCTGACCTCGTGCTCGCCAAGTATACTTGTATCGCTCTGCGACGCATGATTCCTGGGCGACAAGCCAAGTCAAAGGAAGTTGGAGTTACCAAACTTCCCAGTGACCACTCCGTGTTGATCAAGCTTGCTGCCATGCTCGAGATTGAGACAAACAGCAAGGAATGGTATGGAGTAGCAGAGCATGCGCTCAATGCGATCTACACTCTCTCCAAGCACCCGGATGTGCTCTGCTCAGACATTCTTCGACGGAAAACAATCTTCGTCTTCCAGCCACACCTTCAACAGCGCCCACCTTCTTCCCATGCCTCTGCTGCTGATGGCGAAGAGGAGCGTCCTGGAACCGCATCAACCGAGGGACAGGGCTCCAAACCCAAGCCAGCCTCCGCAGCACTTTCGCAATTGCTGTACGTTGTTGGTCACATCGCAATTAAGCAGATTGTTCATCTTGAACTTTGCGAACTCGACTTTAAGCGTCGTAAGGTTGAACAGGAGAAGAAGAAGGCTGCCTCCGCCCCTCAAAAGGAAGACAATGCCGACGAGGACGAGCTTGATCTCATCGGTGGAACTACCGAAGATGATTTCCAGGATGCTATGGCCCACATCCGAGAACGTGAACTTCTTTACGGAGAGAACTCTCTTCTGGCCAAGTTTGGTCCCCTTGTAACAGAGATTTTGGCCAACAACAATGCCTATCCGGATCGTGATCTGCAAGCCTCAGCGACTCTGTGCCTGGCCAAGCTCATGTGCGTTTCTGCCGAGTACTGCGAGAAGAACTTACCACTTCTTATCACGATCATGGAACGGTCCGAGGACCCGATTGTGCGTAGCAACGCTGTGATTGCCCTCGGTGACATGGCCGTCTGCTTCAACCATCTGATCGACGAGAACACCGACTTCCTCTACCGTCGCTTGAATGACGATGACGATTCTGTCAAGCGGACATGTCTCATGACTCTCACCTTCCTCATTCTGGCTGGTCAAGTCAAGGTCAAGGGACAGTTGGGTGAAATGGCCAAGTGTCTGGAGGATGACGACAAGAAGATTGCGGATCTGGCTCGCATGTTCTTCACCGAACTTGCAACCAAGGACAATGCAGTCTACAATCACTTTGTCGACATGTTCAGTCTGTTAAGTGCAGAGCGCAACCTAGAAGAGGCCTCTCTGCGCCGCATTGTCAAATTCTTGATCGGCTTTGTCGAAAAGGTACGATCATGCTTCATTGACCTATTAACGGAATTGACTAATATTTTTCAGGAAAAACACGCTCGCCAGCTGGCCGACAAATTGGCTGCTCGACTTCCTCGGTGCGAGACAGAACGCCAATGGAACGATGTCGCCTACGCCCTGTCTCTTTTACCGCACAAGAACGAGGAGATCACCAAGACCGTCAGTACCGGGTTCAAGGTTGTCGGTGCGGCAGCCTAATCAGAGGCAGCTTATGTATTGATGTAATTGATGATTTGGGTCTGGTTTGTAAATTCTGGCGTTGTCGGTTAGGTCTTGGAGGGGTTAAAGCAATGCATAATTTTCATATGATTCTTCCCAATGAAAACACGTACCTTGACTACATTCTATAAGCCGGATTATCCCACCGAGGCTCTGCTATATTCATTCTGGAGGCATAAGGTGCAGGATATGCAATAACTTCATTGCAATACTAATCAACAGCTCCATCGGCCATGTACTCCGATGGAGCAGCTGCCAAAAAAGAGTTCTAAAGGGTGAAAGATGCGCAAGATCTAAGTATGTGATGAGAAAGTAACAGAGACCAGACATAAACACAGAAGAAAAAGAGAAACAGACGCCGAGTGTGTGATGGTCGCATGCCAGATACGCCACGTTTGTGAACTGCACAAGCCGAGGAAGGGGAAAGGAGATATTAAACTGATCTATGCGCCCCTCACTGTACTTTCTGTCAAGGTATACTCGCCAGACCGAATCCCCTGCAAGACCTTCTGTCCCTCCTCTGTTAACTCGGGCTTGCCAAGCGGTGTCACGGCGCCAGTGAAGAAACGCGGGCTCCACTCGGTGCCCTTCTCCTTGCGCTCTGCTGCGCGTTCACGTTGCCGTTCCTCGATATCTTGTTTCAACTTGGTGGCCTGGCCGAACTGTTTGTCCACGATGGCGTTTGTGACATCGCCCCAGAACTTTAGAGACTCATTAGACAGCTGTTCTTCTGCTGGGGGGATGTTCTTCGGGACGGGAAAGAGAGGAGCAATGTCGATGAGCAGAGACGGCTCCTTGGTGCCTGCCGGGGTAAAGTATATCTTGCCGTGCCAAGACCCGGTGATGCGAGCGATGACATCGCTCTCTGGCACGTCCTTGATTCTTGTTACGGTGTCCTTGTCCTTGTTGTAGCGGAAGATCACGCCTTCCAACTTGTTTTGTGATCGGCCAATCCATCCTTCTTCCATGTACTGAAGGATCGCCTTCATGCCTGTCTTTGGGCAGGTGATGTAGCATGTGTCGGCGACTGTGATAGCCAGCGCGCCTCGTAGGATTCCTCCGAGGTGGGCGTCTGGGTGAGTCAACTGGTATTCCTCGTTGTCTCTCTTCTCGATGTTGACGAAGATTCCAAGGTTATGTTGGCCGGGGCTCACGCGAATGCTGGTGCCTGTGAACTTGGCACTGATTTGGTCGAATCCGCGCGCGGTGACTCCCCGCTCGGGGCAGTCAATGTAGAAGGCCGAGACTGGGGGGTGGTGAGAGGTCTGTTCGGTGAGGTAGCACACTTTGACTTTGTCGTCGCCATCGTGGACGCCCGAAGAGCCGTTAGAGCTGATTCCGGGGAGGTTTTGTTCTTCGGGGATGTTGTCATTGACATCCCAGCTGCACTAGAGGGGGTCAGCGAAAAACCAACAGAATACCTGTAGAGTAACTCACTCGGAAGAATTCACCCAAGGTGGAATTGTATGGCTTGCACGGTTTCCCCTTGATGTATTTCTGGAACCAAGTCAACGATATATCCGGCCAACCGACGCAGGGAACTATACCAGATCCTTTGTGAACCAAAACCTCAACACTTCCAACATACGGCCTAACTCATCATCCGACTTGCCAATGCTGTAGCTCTTGGGTCAGCACATGAGCGTCTGCCAAATATGGGTGTTGCTGACCTCGCAAAGGTCTCCGGTCGGTCTAAGTAATGCCAGTATTCTTCGCCACCAACCCGTTAGCCTCCAACTCCACAAATGCTAGCACAGCAATGACCTACCGAGATTCGGTCTCGGCTCCAGCAGTTGCGCCGGCAGTGAAAAGCGAACCGAGGCGATATCTGCCACACCCACGAACCTAATAGCCAGCATGTTAGCGCCTAGAAACGGCGGTGCGGGGCGACCCAAGAGACATACTTCCGGAGAATAGAGAGGAAAGTCTTGAGCTTGGAGGAGTCATCTGGGGCCTTTTCAGGCACAGCAGCGGTCGACATGGTGATTTAACGTGTGCAATAAAGATATGTTGAGGAGAGAAGCTGGACTGTTGAGTAGAAGATGTGGCGAACCGGTCGCCAGTAGGGGGGTTGAGAGGGGGTTCTCGGGCCTTGCGTGCCGAAACAAGGACGAGGAGTGTCGCTAGAGTCGCAAATTGCTCACGGTCAATCTCAATATGGTCAAAGGCAGAGAAAAGAAAGGAGGTAAGGGAGCTTAGAACTCGATAACAGTCGAGGCGGTGACGTGTGAACTATTTTTTGCCCAGTGGGGTTAGAGGGTGCGGTGTACGAGTCCTCTATGGAGAATATGTTTTATTCTTTGTTCTTTATTGTCTAAGTCCAAGTCTATATTTGTATACTTTCGACACTGGCCTGTCGAGTTATGTGTCTTAGACTACGTCACCGGGACGGGTCAAATGATAAGGCGCGGATCTACATGTACGCTGCACTCAGACTGGAGATCAAAGAAAGTCACTTGAATTGAAATAATTGGAGTAAAGGGGTATCATCGGCCAATCAGTTGGCCACGAGGGCGGTTTGTAGCTCCTGCAGCTTCTGCTTCCGCGCCAAGAGCCGAAGCCACGTTCGCACCGCCGGACTGTAGTCAAACCGCCGTCTAGTTGCGTACTCATCATCTGTTCTGTGTGCCTGCTGTTCTTCCCGAATGCGTGCTCGTAGTTCCTTCTGGCTCTTGCTAAGCTCCTGCTGATACTGCTGTAACTGTGCCACCGAACACGATTGGTATTGCAGGACCGTCTCAGGGACCTCCGCCGCATCGATACCTTCTCTTGTCAGGCACAAGGATGGCTCAGGACCGAGGATCATTTCATTCCAGGCGACTTCAATGCCGGGAGGCGGCAGGGACATAGCGCGCTGGCTGAGAATCTCCAGGCTTCGCACGTTGATGGCCAAGGACTTGATGAGGTCTGGTAGAGGGTCACGCACGAGTCCGAGGATCGAAAATTCAATCTGGTCCTCTTCGTATGCGGTCATTCGGGTAAGAAGATTGGGCCGGACCAATTCTAACCAGTTGTCCTCTGAACATTCGCCTATCAACTGGTGTTAGCAGGGTCATCCTGACATATTTCGCTTCCAACATACCAAGTGCTTGAGGCTGTCGCTCGAGACCATCAAACTTCCACAGTTGACCCATAACAGGCATGAAGGCAATAAAATGGAAGGTCGCATCGTCATGATCATCATCATCCTGATCCTTAGAGCGATGCTTTTTGGCCGTAGCTTCGATCTTGAGTTGTAGATCTGAATTGAGAATATCCATTTTCCTAACAAGGTCAGACCGGAACAAAGAAAAATCTAGAATATTGGCATACCGGGCGAATGAGTTATGGATTCTCTTGACAAATTCGAAGTTATTGATGGCATCTCCACGCAGAGCTGGGGTAAAAGGCATCGTGAATTCCTTGAAAGACTGCAAATTGTCTCCTAGATCAATACCTGGGATATTGTTCACAATGTTGAGTAGTGCCACGCTGGCACAGGCGTTATTTGCGGTCTGTCCCGTTAGTAAAAACACCATTTAAATAGTATCAAGGGCCTTACCTGGTTGGCAAACCAGATTCCCTCAGGGCAACTAGCTTCTTGTTTGCCGTGGTCATCCTCACGCCAACGAAACAAAAAGATCAAGCCGTAAACAGGTTTGCTATACATCTATTAGCGATTGAGTCTGGGACAAACTGGGTTGGGTTCATACTTGAGAAAGGCCATCATCTCCTCGTCAAGAGAGACCACTTCTTGGACCTGGACACCCTGGACGCCAAATTCACGCAGCATGACATTGAACAGAGCCTGGAATATCCGTTATTCTGTACATATATGTCAATGCTGAGGGATCATACCGGCTCTGACTCTACCTCGCAGAATCCATTCCAGCTGTCTTTGTCCAGGGCAGAAGCAGCCTGGCAGATGTCGTCGCTTTCGTCTTCCGGATCTGTCAGTCGGCGCCGCTTAATACGTGGACCCATGGCTCTTTAGATGGAAGATATGAAGTCGCTTTGCGATGGGTGGCAATAATTGAACTGGGTGAAGAAGCTAATGTGCAATGATGGAGTAGCTGGGCATCAAGTGAAAATAAAGACACCGCAATTACATATGACAGAACTAAAGATAAAATGAGGTCAAAGTACAATAGACAATAGACAAGAGATGTACAGTATGGGAGAATGTCGTCTAGTGGACCGAGCTTCCCCCGACGCGCTTCCCGCGTCTCCACCAAACTTCACTTTTTTGTTTCCCTTCATTCTCCAACTTTACAGCTATAGGCGCATCCTATACCACAGCCCCTCAACCTGCTCTAGAAGGTCTTTGCAGCTGACCCGGATCCTCCTTTGGGTTCTATCTTTTTCTCTCCTCGAAAGGCCTAGCTCTGGCAACCACAGCATGCCATGAACGGCACACCCCTCCTCGCGTCTGCCTTTCCCCAGACGCCTACAACAAACCCAGGAGACTCAGGAGTAAGGAGGAAGCTCTTTACTCCTTCACGATCGCAATCGCGGGGGACCCGTACAAGGTCGCCGACCAAATCACCGTTGAAATCCGCCTCCAAAGCACCCAGACCGGCTCCGATCTCAAACATCAATGCGCCGCTGATTCCCGAGAGTACAGTCGATGCACCCACCCAACGACTCTATGTGGTCGGCTTTTACTTCGCCCTGCATGCGTGGCGATTGTATGAATCGTGGACGGAATCCGATGGCGAGCCCACGGGGCTCCTCGTGAAATGGACGTTGGTTGATTTGGTCTTCTTGTTCGGCTTGCAGGCTCTGCGCATACCTTGGCTAGAGTGGACTTTCCCGACTACACTTGCCCTTTTCCTGCTTCATGTCGTGGGCAATGCCTTTCTGATGTTCCGGATTCCAATCCCATGGGGTGCATGGATTTCCGGACTGGTCAAGGTGGCCTATGATCGCGAACTGTCCATCTCTGAGCGTAAGGTCAAGCCAGGGGATATCATTCACAATGCGTCTTTGATCCTCGGAAAGCAAATCGTCCATATTCTGCCAGAGGGGTGAGTTTTTACCTGGCGTTAGCTATTGAGCGACATGCTAACTGATTCAGATCCGCCGTTCTTAACCCGGACCATGATGCTCTTTGCCTCGACTCGTTGAAATCCATTATCGACCTCCCAATCCGTGTCAACCAGACCGACCCGATCATGATTGAAATGTTGCGCATGGACCTTCACACCGGCGAGAATGAAACCATTACCATTCCGACAAAGCAGCTGAAGAACATCAAACGTCAGGCGGAGAAAAAGCATACTCCCGGGCAGTCCCACCGGGATCTGCAGATTCCTATCCGCAAGACTGGAATCTACCGTCTTCAACGGGTGGTGGACGAGTCTCAGCTCGATGTCCATACCAGAACTGTCGATGCGTTGGTGGTTTCCTGCCCGCGCGCTTTCGTCAAAAATTCGCACCTTGACAAGTGCAAGGGAGAATTGTCCAACTTCGCCCTGGAGGTGGAAGGCACACCTCCATTGAAGATCAAATACAGTCGCCAGGTCAACAATCACGATCGTGGATTCTCGGTTCTCAACATCCAACCAGATAATCTGCGCTCCCCGCTACTGAACCAGAGGACTACTGGTCCATTGTTCAGTATCAACCAACCCGATGTCTCATGGGCCCAGAGCCAAAAGATTGAGGTCCCGCTAAATGAGTCATTGAATGTCGGCGGAGAATGGTTTTATACCATCGAGGAAGTTCATGATGCTGCTGGCAATGTCGCCAACTATTCTACAATCTTCGAAGAATCGGATCGGCCATCTGCAAAGTCGCAATCCCAGTGGTACCAATTCTCTGTTCATGAACGTCCGCGTTTGTCGTTCGAGGACTGCAACGCCCAGAATCCATTGCGGGTCGCCAAAGGCAAAAGCGTTCGATTCCCACTCCAATTCCATCCTTCTGGAAATGGATACTACGATGATGGACCTTTCTCCGTTGCCTATTCTTACACCGGCGACGAGCAAGAAACAGAGGATACCAAATCTCTCTCTCAAATGACTATCGACCGAGTTCATCAGATCAAGGAGCCTGGGGTGTATTCTCTGGCATCGGTTTCCACACAGTTCTGTCCTGGAGAGATTTTGGAGCCTTCATCCTGCCATCTGCAAAACCCGCCTGAGCCTGAGGTTGCAGTAAAGGCCGAGAAGATCTTTGACCGCTGCGCCAACAATGCCATTGGGTTACTGGTTGATATCGATCTTACTGGATCTCCACCATTCACTCTCCGATACAGCATTGAGAGCTCCAAGGGTGCAACGCAAACCAAATCTCAAAAGATCGACAGTGTGCGCACACAGCTCGATTTGACCCCGTCGGAAGCCGGATTTTACAGGTATTATTTCCTGGATATCGAAGACTCTGTCTATTCGCCGCGGTCTCTCAGGGACAAGACACCTATACTTGAGCAGGACGTCAAACCACCAGCCTCGGCCCATTTCATGGGAACTGCCGGAGTGCGCCGGGCCTGCTTTGGGGAGCAAGTTGCTGTGGATGTATCTTTCCTTGGAGAGGCACCCTGGGCCCTCCAATATGAGGTCTTCCACAACGGCAAGAAACAGAAACTCACACTGGATTCTGACGTTGATACGGCCACTATCAGAACCGATAAACTGGTTAGCGGGGGCGAGTACACCATGTCATTGACCAGTGTCAAGGACAAGTCTGGCTGCAAACGAACCCTAAAAGAAAGCATCAAGATTCAAGCTCGGTCCCAGCCACCACACGTGTCTTTCGGTGAGATCGACAAGAAGAGAACTGTATCGGCCTTGCAAAACTCCAAGATTGATATCCCAGTGCGACTCAAGGGTGAACGGCCTTGGACTATCAGTTACAAGAATGTCGACCTGCAACAAGAACCCATTCAGCAAATTCTTTGGGAAGAGAACAGCATCTTGAAAGTGGATAAGCAAGGTCTCTATGAGATCACTGGAGTCATGGACAGCGGCTGCCCGGGTACCGTGGATCAGGCTGCCAACGAGTTCGAAATCTCGTGGATCCCCCGACCTCAAATCATTGCAGTAGACGGTTCTCCCGTCGCTGCTGCGAAGGAGGTCGCCAAATCTGAGGTCTGCCAAGGTGACGATGATAGCATGGAGCTTCGGCTGTCGGGCAACCCTCCGTATAATCTTCAATACGAGCAGCGACGCAAGACAGATCGTGGCATGTCTTCGGCCAAACCCAGAGCCCTGAAGTCTGCTCTTCATGCCACTTCAATGGAGATGGATACGTCAGAGCCTGGTCAATACAGCTACAAGTTCACGCAAGTTGGGGACAATCTTTACGACCATGACTCTCGGAGCGCCCCGCTGGTTGTGACGCAAAAAGTGAACCCGCTGCCCTCCGCCAAGTTTGACTCCCCTGGCCACATCTATGGCTTCTGCAAGGAAGATGTCAGCGGCGAGGAATCTATCCCCATTACGCTGGAAGGTGTCCCGCCGTTCTCCCTGGAGATCACCATCAAGCACCACTCCAACGCCAGACCCGAGATTGTCACCATCCCCAAGATCAACACCAACCGTCATAACCTGCTCATTCCTCGTCGTCACCTCGATCTGGGCCAACATGTCGTCAGTATCCACAAGGTTCGCGACTCTCGAGGATGCCAAAAGACCACCGAGTTAGACTCTTCATCGGTGCGGGTTGCCGTTTCCGACGTCCCCACCATCATCCCGCTTGAGTCCAAGGTCGACTACTGTGTCGGCGAGCGGCTTTCGTTCTCGCTGTCAGGACACGCTCCATTCGACGTTTTCTACAGCTTCGACGGCGCCCAGCGCAAGGCTTCTTCTGCCAACACCAACTTCCGCCGTATTGCCGAACGCCCTGGTGAATTCACCATCACTGCGGTCAGTGATGGTGCCAGTGGCAAGTGTCGGGCTCACAAGGACATCACCAAGGTTATCCACCCGATGCCCAGCGTGAGGATCAGTAAAGGCAAGACAACCATCGTGGACATTCACGAGGGTGGAGAAGCCGAGCTTCACTTTGAGTTCTGGGGTACACCACCATTTGAGTTCACGTAAGTCATTCCTCTCCAGACTTCTTCATTCCAATTTACTGACAACCAGCAGGTACATCCGAAGTTCCAACGCTGCCAAGGGAAAGAAGTCCGAGGTTCTTGATATCAAGCATGACATCTCCTACGAAAATATCAAGACCATCAAGACCTCCGACGAGGGTACATACGAAGTGATCGCGATCAAGGACAAGTTTTGCTCATTCTCCTCCCAAACGACGCCATCCGGCAAGTCAAAATGATGTGATTAATGTGGTGTAATGCTGGTGCTCCCTTTTATGATTCGTTTTGTTATTTATGGTCTTTTTCTTTCCTCTTAACTCTTTTCTCCGACTTGTTTGCATTGCAGCGGCGCTAGCACTGTCTTCCATCTCAGATATCTACAACCTGTTTTCTGTTTAAGAACTAATGAGACTGTCGTCTGCTCATCTTGGGTGGGTCTTTCTTTAGAAATGAGGCTACGGTGTTGGTGTTGGTTCCGTATAGAGGCATGGGATAAGGATTGAATGGAGTCACTCTGGATGATATTCTGTTCTAGTTTTGTATTGTCACCATAGCTCGTGGATCTACTGTTATATGACCCTGACATGCAGATGTCTCCTTTCCCAGATGTAGTATATCAAAGTCGGGAACAAGAACAGGTTGTCCTGGGCCTGGCAAGGACCGCACTCTCTTCTTTTGTGGGCTGCCTCGACTTTTTTGTCTCTTGGTCGATGTTCTGACCTTGTGGTGTGTTGAAGCGGATTGTAGGTGGTTGTCGAACTGCGGACAATGTGACAGGACACTTGTTCGTGAGGTTCGAGGTTAATGAAAGCAGACGTGTATCAAGCTCCCGAGGAATGTGTAGGCAAGAGTCAAAGGGAGTAAGTGAGGCTGAAGCACGTACATGCAGGTTTGTACAGAGGCGAGGGTTGAATAGCCTCACCCGGGCATCTATTCGCCCATTCGCACCACAGAACAAGACGATAGACATCCCAAACTAGAGAGAGAAAGAGATAAATGCGAATATGTCCGTATTGAATGGCGTCTTGAAGCGTACGGCATCGAGTGCTGGCAAAAATACAGATATTTCCCGATTGGGACGGGCAGGTGCTGGGTATAAATACTCTCACTTCCCCCAACTTCTTCCTTCTTTTCCTCTCTTCCACATCTCCCATTCCTTCCACTCTTACCATCCCGCCTGGGTTCTGAGTATCCGGGATGAGGGATGTCTCTGTGGGCGTTGGCTTTGTGGGCGTTGGCTTTGTGGGCGTTGGCTTTGTGGGCGTTGGCTTTGTGGGCGTTGGCTTTGTGGGCGTTGGCTCTGTGGGCAGTGTTTCATGAATGGGAACAGGCACCAGATTACTCAGTATGGAGGTGCTTGTTGTTGGCTGCTAAGTTCTGCTGTTGGCATGCACTGGGGTGGTGTCGAGGGTTCTCGGCCACCAGGAGGACTTGGTGAAATTGCGTTCGCCATCTTCTTTTCTTGTTGTCAAGACATGCATGTTCTACGGTTCAGGAGGGCATCTGATGGAATGAGTTCAGATCCTTACGCTTTCTGCTTCGGACTTGTCCAGGCAGTCTACGCCACGGGCCGGGGGCACGGATGACTCTCGAGAGTAGCTTCCTCTTGGGTCCTCTTCGTGTTTTCTTTCTCTTCCTCCATGAGTGGGCACTGGGGTCGTGGGCACTCCCCTGGTCAGGAAGTGCTCACTTTGTCATTTGACAGTTGTGGGGGTAGGGCATGGGCGCGGGCGAGTCTGCATTCATGCAAGTTTGCATTTTTTGAGGCTAAGTCGGCAGAGGTCAACCTGCACAATCAACAACATTCTCAGTCACTGAGATCACGGTGGCTGAGGAATACTCAGGTCTGCAGCTAAGTGTTGGTTCTACTTGAAGGCAAAGATCCTGCAACTCCATTCTCTTGGGGGGTAGGCCTTCAACTCTAACCCCGGAATCCTCATGGTCTCTCAATCATGTCAATAGGTTCCATGACCTTGTTTTTCACGTCTGTCAGATAGCGAAGAAAGAGAGTTCAGACACTTGCTTTCTTGCACGGCATGTTCTATGCAGAGGCAGAAATCGAGGGTCGGGAGGGTCTGAAAGGGTCTCAGGACTGGCCTCTTGAGCCCTTTCACGATCCTTTTCTCTTTCCACCCAGTATGGGCACCCGGTACCCGGTGCCCATACGGACTCTCACTGGGGATCTGGACACTGCGAAAGCACACGCGGGTCAGGATGGATACAGTCACAGATGTGGTGCGCTACTCTGTGACTCCTTCCTTGAATTCCGGTTGCAGCTATCAGCCTCTGAGAAGACTTGTCTTTTCTTAGGACGCGGCAATTACTGTTGAAGACACGAAACTGTTGCTTGGACTCTTCCGAGACAGGGCGCCAGTTGGGATTACAGTTCTGGCACGAAAGTGATCCAATAAGAGTTGCGACTTGAGGGCTTTTACTTGGCTCTGTGATGACCAATAGCAAGGGACATTGTCTGGACTTCGGTTCAGCAAGCAAATTGCTTCCTGGATATAAATCTGAGAGTACTACCAAGACAAAGCTTCTTGATCTTGTCTTTTTCTGTTGGCCTTTCCTGTTCACATCTCCCGTTCAGCTTTTTCGTTCACCTTTCCTGGTCTTCTCCTTCTTGTTGTGTCTCTCCATGTACCTGTTTTAAGTAGGAAAGGAGTTTCTATATGCATGGCAAAGTATAATGTCACATCGTTATGTTTTGAATTCATACCATGCTCCTACCACATACACTCTCCAAGAATAAACAATATACAATCCACCTTCTACAAATACCAGAAGTAAGAAAGACAGACAACTACACCATCATCATTTATAGCGACATCTACAACTCAACCTGCACAGCCACCATCCGCTCAGACATAAAGCCAGTAACGAAAAGCCAAGCCCTCTTAACCCCATCGCCGTTCATCTCAACAGGAACAAGAACAGCAGCACTAGCCGTCCGAATCCTAGTCCCATCATCCTCAAACAAAAGCCTCTTCTCCCACCCAGCCCCAACCCCAGATCCAGAAGGGCGAGCATACCAAACCTGCACGGGATCAATCCCATCAGGATCCTTAGCAGTAACTGGTAACCGAATCCCTCTCGAAATACCCGCAATAACAACCCCACTCACATCATCATCACTAGTAGCATACGGATCAACATAGTAACTGGGATTATCAGTGACAATATTAAAAGTAACAGATTCCGAAATCGAGAGTGAGTGGTTGGAGATGGAAATGTCAGGGTTCGGTGTTGCGATGTATAATTCACCACCGACAGCACTGGAGATTATCATTTCGTTGGTTGTGCGGCCGTGAGCGAGGCCGTTGTTGTTCCATAGGCCAGTCAATGCAACCGAGGCTTGGATTTCTGTGTCCTTGGTGTTGGTTGGGAGTTGGACGTGGATGATACTAGACCATTTCGCACTAGGCCATACATCCTCAATATGGCGCATTGCGCCCTCACGGTAGAAATGATCGTTGGTCACGTAGAAAGACTCCGGAGATTCGGCGTAGATATCGTTGGGTGTTTCGATGAGCGGGTGGTTGATTGAGCGAATATGTTGGACAGTCTTAGAGCCCAGGATATGGTGGAAGAGTTCGACCTGGGAGCGGGCTTTGTGTGTGCCCTCTGGGATCTCTGAGTCTGATGTTGCATTGAAGTAGGCTGGGTTGGGCAGGTGGTTCACAGCGAAGATGTAGACTGCATCTTCATGCTGTTGGTCTTTGATGACGTCAATTCCGTGGGTGATGAAGGGACCTTTGAAGTTTGTAAATGCCAGGCGGGTTGATTTCATTGTCTTGGTTGGTTGTTAGATTGGTTTCTTTATATAGAAGAAGGGGGTATGCGTGGAGTGTGAAGCAGATCAGAAAGAGGGAATATTGTAGTGCCCACCTTTGGATCAACAAGATGAATAGATCCACTAGTAGTAGACGGCACCAAATTCCCCAACGGCGGGAACCAGCTAAAGCGCGGATTTTTGTAATCTTCACAAGCAGTGAAGAGCAAGTTCGCAGGTCGGTAGTGGTGGACATCCTCGCAATGGATTGTATCCTCGATATAGACTGGGCCCTGGCCCTCACCCAGGACCGTCGGATTGGGAGTGAGGAAGACACCTCCAATGCGAATGATATGAGATATTGGGCCAGACAGGAAGGCGACCAGGGCGACGAAGATGCCCAGACTTAAGGTGCTGAGTAGACCCATGTTGTATGTTGGAGACAATCAATTGGATCAATTGACTAGACTGGGATTTAATGAGAGGGAAAGAAGAAAATGAGGGTCGGTCTTGGAGACCTCGGAGACCCTGTCATTACTAATTGGACCTCGGGATTATATTAATACCTTGTGGGGAGGAAGAATAGAGAAAGGATCATCATATGGGGGGAGCACAGTGGGGGTGAGCTTCGGAGTATAAAAGGAATTGATTGCACCGAGAAGCTAGAAAATAGAGCAATTGAATTTGGGCAACTAACTTATCCTATGGCAATGGACATGTTTTTGGGGTGTTTGCTTAGTTTCCAAAGGCCAAAAACATCATTAATTGCTAGTCATGAGTGGAGTGACTAGGTGCAAGTCCGAAAAAAGAAAGATATAATAAAAAAAAGATGATTGCACTTGTGCAAATTCCCGATTCCATAACGTGTCGTGATACAGTTTCAAATATTATTCCCCGCAAATGCTCCTCAGTTTGCGGACTGCTTGGCCTCCAAGTACTCCTGGTCGCTGGCGTCGAGGACGTCATATTCCTCGTCGGTCAGGAAGCCAGCATCGGTGCTGGCATCGTCAAGAGCTAGGCTTTCGACATCCTCAACATCGACTTCGGAAGAATTGGACAGAGTGGGTGCCAGGGGCGCAGGGGCCTCTTGAATGGTGCTTGACTCGGGGGACTCCTTCTCCAGCTTGGGGAAGATCATGCCACTTCCGCCAATCTCAGACACGGGAGACTCCTCGACCATAGCAGGAACAGGCTCCTGCACCTCAATCTCGCACCACAGGCTGTGGCCCACAGCCATGCCGTTGGGAAGCTTCAACCGCCAGTAAGAAGTTACGTTGCACTCACGCTCAGGGGCGCGAAGGTTCACGGTGAAATCGGCCGACTCGCCGGGCTCCACAGGGGCGAACAGCTTGTTGCTCTGCTGTGCCGAGTAAAGAGACATGGTGTCTGAGGGGTGGCTGGTGTCGACATCGAACATGGCGTCTCCACCAACGTAGCGCACGTCACAGCCAACGGGCCATGCAGCGTGGCCGTTGTTGACAAGAGTCCAGGTCTGGGAGAAAACATTGCCTGGCTTCATAATTGTGCCGTCCTCAATGGTATCCTTGAGGAACTCTGCATTGTAGCCCGGTACACCAGAGCTGGAGGCAGCTTCAACCTCAGGCTTGAAGGCCTTGGGCATCTCCACGGACTTAGCATCCACTTCAACGGGTTCCTGCTCATCAACCGCCGCACTGTCCCAAGTGCGGCTTTGGCAGCGGTCACCCAGGGCAAGTGCTCCCTTAGAGCCGTCATCGCCCAGGGTGCTCACAGTCACGCTGCGGACAGGAGTCTTAAACTTAACCAGCGGGTGGGTGCGGTTGTGGTGGTCAGTTGGGAGAGCCTCGCAACTGGCACAGAAGTCGCAATCATCACAGACAGCACACTTGTAGCGAACGCCAGTGATGTAGCTTTGAGCAGGCTTGTTCTTGCACAGAGGACCGTCACAGAAGATACCATAGTGGATTTCATGCTCACGAGGAGCCTCACTAATAGTATCATAAATCTTGACGAACCGGTGACCAGGGTGGTTCTCAGGTGCTGTAGCAATGCACTCAGGGCAGAAGTCCCAGTCGGGGCAAGCCAGGCACTTGTGACGGACGCCAACAATACGCCTGTCACAGCCGTCACAGACAGCGGCGTGGCGGAACTGACGACCAGGAAGACAGCGAGAAGTGATCAGATCTTTCAAGGAGAAGTTACGGTCAGAGCCAAGGTGGAAGGTATGACCAGGGTGATGACCGTGCTTATCTCTGAGGAGACAACGAAGGCACAGGTCATAGTCCTCGCAGTCATTGCAACGGACGAGATAGCTGCCATCAGCTTCACGACAGCAGCCATTGCACATTGGCTTCTCTTCTCCCTGGACTGCAGCATCCAAGGACTCCGATGGCTTCACATCCAATTTGAGAACCGGCTCGGGCATGGTTTCGGGAAGAGCCTGGACCTGGACAACCTCAGCCTTCACAGGGACATGAGGCTTGGTGATCACCTCAGACTTAATAGGAAACTGGTTGCGAGGAGGAATCGTCTCGGTGGTGCTGTTCGTAACGACACCATCTTGAACAAATCTCTTAATCAGCCAGTGACCATCGCCGCCGCAGGATGATCCGTCTTCGACGCATCGTGGGCACATGTCATAGTCTCCGTTCTCACAAATACTGCAGTGATAGTGCTCGTTTGCAATGGAGCGACCACAGTTATTGCAGTCGATGCAGAACATCCCATTGACGGAGTTGTGAGAGATGAGAGGGAAGTGGTGCTTCTCCTGGTCCAACTCGAAGTTGCGGTAACGAGGCTGGCCAATGGGAAGCGACTTTGGAATTGGGGTTGAGTCGATGAGAGGGGGTTCTGGGAGCGAGCCTGAAGATCGGCCGGGCTCAGAACAGTCTCCAGGAAACTGTATCGAGGCTGTTCCGGCACAGAGGGCTCTTCGGCCGGTGCCGAGGGCTCCGAGGACATCTCGGGCTCTGTGACGGTGGGACTGGGGACAGTGACCTTTGAAACTTTAATTCGGAGCTTAGATTTGGCCTTGGCAGCCCGATAGAGCTGTTTGTAGACTGCGATGTTGTCACAGTCCAGGCGAATATAGGAACCGGCGCTGTCGGAATAGCGTTCAAGGATGACGTTGACATCCGCCGGAACGCCGAGGAGGGTTCGGAGCTAAACCAAAAACATCAGTCACTTTCCCTTATTTCCCCAAACAGGTGTTTTACTATGAAGTAAAGACAGGAGTGAGAGTGTAGACGTATTCAGGGTTGATCAAGATGAAGATCGGTGATAAGGAATGGAGTCGGACTAGAAGTCCGGTCGGAGCTTGAGTGGAGACATACCATTTGAGGGAACACCTGAGCCTTGAGCTCCTTCAGAGGGAGTTTGAAGCGACGGTTGCTATCGTTGTAGAGCACCTTGACCGTGACCATATGATCCGGCCCCGGATGAGAAGGAGAGGATGGAGTAGCCATGATGTGCAAGCTCTCTATCAGAGGGTCAAAGGGTGGATGTCCAAAGGGCACTAGTGGAGATAAGGCAACAGTCACAGGAGAAGGGAAGACTGGCACTGAGAAGTAGCAGGTGAGGAAGTCAGTGATGCAAAAGGAAGAAGAAGATGAAAAAGGGAAAACTAAAGATGAGGCAAAGTCTACGAAAGAGAGGGGATTGTACAAGCATTGAACTCTAGGGAAAAGCGGAGAGAGACGGTCAGCTGCCTCACAAGGCGGTGAGTGGGTTACCTAATATGGCGTCAAAGCCGGGGGGAACAAATTACTGCAACTCGTGTCATTTCAAACCGGACACATCACTATATGAGGTCATGAATTGATTGCTGACCGGGAGTTGTTCGCCCGATTGGAGGGCTGGGGGGTGGAGGGCTAGAATCATGCATGTACATCGATGTATAGTGTGGGGAAATGATGAGGGGAAAGTCCAAATGCCTCATGTAGATCCCACCGTCACGAACTAGTGGACGGGATCTCGGAAAGAAGAGACGGTTTCTACAGACGGCACTTGACCTCCCGACTTTGGATGTTGGAACGTTTAGAATGTTGGCAATTTAACAAAGACCTGGGAATCTAAGGTTAGATGATGGGGCTGTGTACATCCCCGGGCTGCAAGATGCACATCTTTCACATTGTATACTCCCCGGATGTGTATCACCATGTCTAAACTCGGTCCATTTGAATGTGCCCCCGACTACAACCTTGGCAAAGCCTAAAAATAGGGGGATTTAGATATCTGGCCCATTTGGCGAGCCTTGGCCGAATATAGAAAGATAAGGAGCTGCATAACTTCGTCAATGTCTATATAGATGTCGATACAGACTAGGGGAGTTGCCACTTCAGCAAGCCACGACAGCCCAAGCAAGGATTTTTTTTATAGATTCTGCCAACCCAGGCAACCGCAATTTCATCAGTGCATGTCCTATCCCTTTGTCCGAATATCCTGCAGGGTTGCTATGCCGATCTATCTGGTTCACTCTGCAGTCGATTCTAGGCTCGAATCTCATGGTATGACAGCAATGGCATTCAACGGTCTCCGTCGGGGCATACTGTCACTCTAGAACCGACCCTAGCCTGGTTACCACGGTGTGTGCTGTTGGTTTCTACTAGAACCTCCATATAAGGCAATGACTGTGCTGCCCTTTCAGAAGCACAATCTTGAGCCAATCCAAGACGTGTTCTACATCGTTCCACATCGCGCGACAGATAGCAGATAACAGTGTGATTTTACAAGACACAATGTACATGACTTTGCAATTACTTTTATTGTCAAAAACCCGAGGTGGTGGATCAACATAAAGAAATAAAGTCATAGGTGAAGAATTGAGATTCGATATCCCGATTGGAAGAAGAAGCTGGACCAAGTACTTGAGTCTAGCATGGATGTACCTTGGAGGTACTGTGGAGGAGTTGCGGAGACATGAGGGGGGGAAACGCTCAAATGCATCAATAATCCAGATCTAACAAGGGCCGCAATGAGTCATATCGGAGATACCATGAAAACCAGAAAGATTAAGATAGAGGAAGACAAAGTCATGCAAGTGAATGTGGCTGGATGAAAACTGAGAAATGAAAAATGGAAGTGGAAGATGAAAATGAAATGACCCCTGTTGATCAAGATATTCAAAGGAAATGACAACATAATAAATGCGAAAGGTGGGAGGGAAGGAAAAGGGATCCGAAGTGAAGCTGAAGTCAAAGAGAATTGATATCGTCGATCATTGACCGTAGTACCCGGACTGTTGTTGCGGGTAGTAGAAGGTTGTGCCGGGCGGCGTCATCATCCCACCCATGCCGACCACACCACCAGGTCCAGATCCAGGCCCGGGTGGTGCCGCTCCACTGTAGCCAGACCCAGAGTACATCTGGTTGGCATCGTAGAAGTAAACAGTGCCGTTGGATTCATGAGCAACTGTTCCAGGTTGAGATGGCTGCTCGCCCGCTGAGTAGGGTGCCTGCTGGCCCGGGAAATTCGGCACAGATGCACCAGGCCCCACTGGTCCGTTGTAATAGTCGGGGCCCGAGTTCGGGTAGTACATGCCTCCCGGAGGATAGCCCGAAGGGTAGAAACCAGGTTGTTGGTACGTGTAAGGTTGGAAAGGCGGAGCGTGGATGGCTCGCTCCGGGATCTGAGAGAGTGGGGTGGCAGAGGGTTGGCTAGGTGGACCTGTACCATCGGGGTGTATGGCAGGAACCTGGTGATGAAAGGGCTGCTCTTGCTGTGGCTGAGGAGGGTTGAATGGGAACGGAAAAGTAGCCGGACTTTCGATGTCAGCCACAGAGACTGTCTTTTGGGGACGAGGTTGATGCATGGGGATCGGGGCGGGGCGGCTTTCCCGATATGCGGGGTGAGGGAGCGGCATGGCAATGGGCCCAGGAGGGAGAGTCCCGAATTGTGGAAGCCCCATAGGCGGGCGATTTGGCGGGGGCATGCGAACAATGGGTTTTGGCTCAGTGGGGATCATGGGTCTGGAGTAGGTGGATCCTGCGGGCGAAGGCCACCCATCCTGACCCAGCGAAGACCGACGGCTCACCAAACTCGGCGTGTACGATGAGTTGGGGTAGTAGCTGGGACGGCGCCCACTGTAGAACCCACCACCACGACCACGCCCACGGTAGCTTTGGTTCGGCCGCAATGCGCGAGGAATGAAGATGAACGAGCGCTCCACTGAGGGGAAAATGTACCGGGGAGCCTGATTCGGGAGAGAAATCCGGACCGGCTTGTCGCGCCTCAAGGGAGGCCGATGCTGAGGCAGCCGAGTGTGGAGTTTCTTCTCAGTCACAAACTGGACAGGGTTGGCCATTCCAGGCAAGGAGACAACCACCGGCACATTTCCAACCAACGTTGTACTCGAGAAGGATCGGTTTGGCGGCGAGGATCTCGGGGCGGTAGGGACAGGCTGTCCCACGGACGGCGTTGGGCGTTTCGGTGCAGCAGCAGCGGCAGGTCGATCGTCTGCCACGGTATCGTGGAGGTCATGTGCCCACTGTCCTCCGCTGGCATCGGACTTTGAAGGCCTAATTCCGTTAGTGAGTGCTATCACTCAAGGTTCGTAGGAAAGTACACACCTGCGGGAGTTTCCGTCCACGATCAGACCGTATGGACGAGACTTGCTCTTGCTGAAAGGCCGGTGACCGTTTGTGCCCGCTTCAGCGGATCGTTTATCGTGAAGGAAGAAGCTGCCCCGGGTGGGGACGAAGGCCGGGTTTTGATCACGCTCCTTCACATACTTTTCATTCTCACGACGCTTCCTTGAAGCCAAGTTATCTCGCCTCGGTTCGGTCGGAGGGGCAGAGGGTGTTCTAACCTCCTCTAGGTGGTCGAAGTTGACTTCAGCATCACCAGAGGCATCCGAAACTTTCAATCCATTCATCATTGCCTCAGTATCCGAAACCGTTGTCTTGGACCCTCGCTTCTCGGGAAACGTAGAGCTGTGCCGCGTCGACTTATCCCGTTGACCGTTGACCTGTTTACCGTTGACCGACGGGGCCACCTCTTCCTCGCTTTCCTCACTACCCTCTGCATCTGCATCTTCATCCTCCTGGTGACTGTCGGCCGAGCCTTCACTCAGAGAGTCGTCTCCCAGATCTCCAGCCATTGAACCCTCATCTTCGCCATCGTCGTCCCGTCTCTTTCTGCGGCTAGACCCGATATGACGTCGAGCAGGAGCCATGTTGGAATACAAGGGATACCGAAGGTTGAGATGGCTCAAATGTTCCCTGCTGGTAGAGATTTACCTCGAGACCAGGTGATCGGGACGGGTACCGGCTGAAGAGAAAGGAACGGAGTCTGGTGAGGGCCAACCCGGATTCAGCAAGGAAACGATACCCAGGTAAATGGAAATCAAACAAAAACAACAAACCAAATGGCCTAGAAGAAAGAAATGAACACCTTGTGCAACAGATGTACCAAAGTGAATAAGAGAAGAAGAAGAAAGAAGAGCAAGGGGTGAGAAGAAGGAGCAGCCCAACAGTGAGAAGCACAGAGAGTCAATGAAGGGCATGACATCGCGACAGACGTCAGGCCTGATCGGGCCTAGCCCAGGCGGTGAGGGTGGTTCTGCCATGAACGGGTCTAGAATTTGTTTACCTTATATTTTTAGTTCCAACTATATCTTCGAGTCTACTACATACTGACCTGCTGATCTGGACTTTGTGTGCTTCATCTCTTGTTTTGATTTTTTTCCCTTTTGGCTCGAACAGCTTCCTATGCGGGTTGGATGCTGTGGTATGTTAGTCCGGAAGTACATGCATCTCCTCGCGCATCTACAACCTGTACCACCACCCGATAAGATCTTAAGAAGAAGCGCTTAATGGTTATCCTACCATCGAGTCACAAGGAACACCGTAAAAGAGGTGATATCAATGCCACCTCAACAAAATACAGGCTGTAAACAGCAGATCATTGACAGGGATCAGAATTTTAGATATCCGGTACGAAAAGAGTATACAACGTGTGGGAGGACCGGTTCAAATGGTCATACATCGAGGGGAAAATCGCAAATCATCCACAACATAATACCGGTTTTAGTCGAATGTAGTCTTCTGACCTTGGCCTTCGACAATGGCACCGCTGAGCTTTTGCACAGTCTCCTTGGAATAACGAGACTCGTCGATAGAGGGACGTCTCTTCTTGTACCGGGGCTTCTCTCGTGATTCGCCGTCGACTTCGGTGATTGCAGGTCCATCCTTCTTTTCGGCATCCTTTCCAAAGCGCTTCTTGTACCGCGTTGACGCATCCTCTGCGAACTCCATTCTCATGCGGCGGCCCATGAGCTGGTTGACCCACACCCTGCGCATCCTAGGCTTTCTTGTCTTTTTCGCCTTCTTCTCAGACGCCGAGTCGCTCTCGCTCTCGGAAGATGAATCTGACTCCTCGTCCTCCTCCTTAATGAGTGTGAATCCTCTCACCGCTGCTTCCGCGGCAGCGAGCTCTTCAAACTCCACCCAGGCATATCCCTTGCATTTCCCTGTATCCTGGAAAGTCGCCATATGCACATTGTTGACCGTTCCACAGCGAGCGAAGTTTTCCTCGAGGAGTTCCTTGGTCACATCGAAGCTGAGATTGCCGACAAACAGTCGCTTGGAGGGAGGGTGGCCCGACTTGGAGGCCTCGGCACCGGTTCCTTGGCTCTCAGTCTTTGCAGGACGACCCTCGTAGCTCTTTGCGTCCTTGATGAGTACGCGGCGGCCGGTCATGAGCTGCTCGCTGAGGCCAATTGCCTCCTGCAGAGCCTTTTTGCTGGAGAAGTCGACATAGGCGAAGCCTCTGTTCTGAGAACGGCCGAACTTTTCGGGACCCTTGGGGAGGTGAATACGAGTAATCGTAGCGTCTTCGATGGAGGTATCGTTGGTAAAGAATCGGCGAAGATCGTCCTTGGTCACGTTGAACGACAAGTTTCCAATCCAAACACCGTATTCAGACCGCTTGTCCTGGGCATTTTCTTTTTCGGACTTGGGCTCAGACTTGCTGGCCTTGGACTCTCCACCATCAGTCGCATCACCCTTACCCTTCTTTGCTTTACGCAGAGCCTTCTTTGAGGGTGGCTCCGGCGCAGACACATCGATCTCAAGCTCAGGACCTTCCTGCAGCTTGCGCTTCTTCAGACTGGGATCAGTGACTTCGGACATTGTGAAATGTATGCAAAAAATCACTAGAAAACACAATATTCTCAAAAAAAAAAAAGAGAGCGCAAGATATCCGATCGGCGATAATCTAATTTTTTACGGCGGTCCGGACCCGCCTCCCACGCAGTCCGCACTCCGTGTCTTGGCGTCCGCAGGGTGAACATCCCCTTCACCATCCCATCTCTCTTTATCCCGTCTATTCTTCACAATGGAGCCAAACGGAGCGCGGCCCGCCATGGACACCTTACCGGATGCTCCGACTCCAGCCAAGCAATCGGTCCGGTCTTTCAAGTACGTGATCCCAAGCAAATCAGCCCGTAGGGATGAAGCTGACTCGTCTCTACAGGAAAAAATACGCCAAGCTCAAGGTCAAATTTGAGCTAGGAACTCGCGAGAATGAAAACTTGATCAAGGAAGAGCTGCGCATTGAGGATCTGTCCAAACGCATTCAGGAACAAAACGAGTAGGTACTTAGCAGTCCTATATGAGCTGTTGCTAACCATCCATTCTAGTCAACTGCTAGAGGTCCTCCTTGAGTTCAATGAAAGCCTTCATATTCCACCCGATGTGCGGTTTGATTTGAGCATGCCAAACGACCCTCCCTTGCTACCGACCCCCGAGCAGGCAATCGCGCCTTTGGTCAATGATGCGACACTGGCAAAGACAGCGTGGAAGGAAGCCAAGGCTGCTTTGGCCGAGGGCAGGATCAATGCGGATGCTTACCGTAGCGTTGAAGAGAGCATCAAGCGGAACAAAGCCTTTGCTCCCGCCAATCACTACAGCTCTTTGTCTCAGTCCCATCACCCCAGTCTAGACGTACTAAAGGCTGGAAACGACGACACCGATCGCAAACTCGGTTACTTTGCCCCCGATCATGAGACTGAGTACTACCTGGCCCTGGATGCGAAGCTTGGAGACGAGGCAGCCGCCCAGCAGCTCGCGCGTATCCCGGATCGTCCCACACTTGCAGAGCGCGAGCGCGACGCCTCCATTCGGAATCCCGCGTCGGTCTACAATTGGCTACGACGCAATCAACCGCAGACTCTGCAGGATAACGAGGCCGCTTCGGAAAAATCTGCGTCGCGTCCTTCCAACCAGCGCGCTTCCAAGCGAGCACCAGCTCAACGCAAAGACGAGGACATGTATGATGAAGATGGGATGGATGCACCTACTCCCAAGAACAAGCGCAAGCGTGACGAGGACACGGGATACAGACCAAAAGGTGGCAGCAGCCGGTCCAAAAGAAGAAGGATGAGCCCACTTCGACTCCTAACAAGGCTGTCAAGAAACCCTGACGGTTGGTATTGCTCTCTGGGATTTATGTGTATTTCTATGGGCGTTGGGCTTAATTTAACAGGCTTGGTAAAGATCAGTTGCATTTCAATATTGAGGCATATCGGTCATATGTCAAAGAAACAAATTCACAGTTCACCTTTTCACTATCAAATGTAAAGCTCCGTAGATGTAATGTGGAACAGTCATGTGACCTTTCTTCTCTCAGAGCTTGTCTCCGACACTCCACTCACATTTCTGAGATACAGAATCAACCAATTAATTCGCAATGCCAATTACCATTCTGCCTCCCGTGGTAGAGGATGTTGGTCCCTACGCTGACTCGGACGACTCCATGTCAGTGGACTCAGATGAAGACGTTGAAATGGGCGGCGTCTCTCTGTCTCACAAGCGATCCCGTCTACAAGGGGACTCGAAAATCGGCACAGGAATTGTCACACCAGGAGAAGTGGTCACAGATGATCCGCAATGGATGAGGTTCGTATTGAATTGAAAAGACTTTGCGACCTGCGAGGCTCAATCTTCACTTTTTTTCGCGAGCAACACTAACAACCCGCAGAGGTCACGGCACCTTTATGAACCCGCTCTCAACATCCATCATCGCCACTGTTGCCGGTACAGTTCAAAAAACGAATAAGCTACTCTCTGTACAGCCCATGCGCGCCCGCTACACCCCCGAGATTGGAGACTTGGTCGTTGGTCGCATTGTGGAAGTGCAATCGCGGCGGTGGAAGGTCGATATCGCCGCGCCACTACTCGCTCAACTCCCTCTTTCCGCGATTAACTTGCCCGGTGGAATTCTGCGCCGACGAACGACCGCCGATGAACTTCAGATCCGCACATTCTTCAGCGAGGGCGACCTTGTGATGGCCGAGGTGCAGAGCGTGCACCAGGATGGTTCAGCGTCACTACATACCAGATCTGTGAAGTACGGAAAGCTGCGCAATGGTGTTTTCCTTGCCGTGACAGGAACCGGAGGCAGTGGAGCATCCAGCTCCAGTGTGAAGGGTGGTCATGGAGCTGGGCCTGCCGCAGGTAGCGCCCTTAGTGCACCTGGAGGCTCTGCTACCGGTGGTGTGGTGCGGTCACGGCGACAGATGTTCACCATCACCTGTTCCAACGGTGGCGGCGAAGTGGACATTATCCTTGGTGTGAACGGTTACATTTACATCTACAAGCATGTTGAAGGTACGGATGCTGCATCTTCGACCACAGATAGTGTCACTATCACTCGCATGGAGGAGATGGTCTCGAGCTCGATCTACTCTAGCCAGAACGACGATATCCCACCACAGACCCGCCGCGAGATTGCGCGGTTGACACAGTGCATTCGGGTTTTGGTACAGAACAGTGTTCGTGTGGACGAAGACACTGTCAAAAGTGCCTACGAAGCTAGTCAGCAGGTGGATCTGGAGGTTGGGGATGATGAGGATGAGGAGGATGAGTGGCGCCACGAAGGTCGCGAGTATCTCGAGGGTGTCAAGGCCCGACGAATCATCGAGCTGGTGGTTTCACAACAATAGAATGTATGATAATGATACCCAAATAATCAAAAAGGGAACAATAGGCAATTGTCCACAATGTACGGGGACCTTCTCCGGTCTTCTCCTAATGATATCAATGGCCCACGATCATCCAATCGACCAACCACATGGCTGCATTTTATAAAATGATTAGGCAGCCAAAGTGGGATCTCGATTTTATTTAATAAGAACAAAGAAAAATATCTGAATAGCAACAGAAATAGTATCGCACGTCCATTGGTGGAATCTATAGAAAGTTCTCCAGGACTCATAGTCGATTACATACTCGGTCACGGGCTCCATAGGAAGGGGAGTCCGTTTGACTTTCTCCCTTTCCCTTACTCTTCTCTTCTTCATACTCGACCCTGCTTGAGATCATGCCCAGTACTTTACCCATATCATTCTCACTTGATTATTGCCCGGTTCCTATAGGTTAATACATCTTTTTCTTATCGGCTTATCGATTACTTGGACTTCACATCTACACCTCGGCTGCCCGAGGACTTTCTTTCAAACACCTAATTTGCGGCACTTCTCTCCAAAATGCCTGATCTTCGTCGCCAAATCTTTGAGAGCGGCAAGACTGTCTCGCGCAAAGCTGCTTCCCGTGAAGCGTCTCGCAACGGTTCTCGTGCCAGCTCCAAGCAGGCCTCGCGCCAGGGTTCTCGAAATGCAAGCAGACAACCCTCGGACGAAGAAGACTCTGGATTTACGTCTGACGACACTGCTATGAGGTACGCCCCCTGCCCTCCCTTTTCCTCTCACCGCGCACTTTTTTTTTTTTTTTTGTTTGTGCATTCCAAGCTATATTCACATGCCCCCACTCCCGTGGCGGGATGATGTCACTACCAATGATGTCGGGAATTTATTGCAAGCAACGGCACTAACCAAGTATGGAACAGCATCGGTTCTCTCGACGATGAGAACCCCGAGACAGACAACCCCGACTGGGAGCAAGAGCTCGGCGATCGCATTCAAGAAATCCTCGACCGGAAGCGCAGCAGTGTTCAAGGCCGCGAGGAGGCCTTGCAGGCATTCAACCGTCTAACCAAATACCACTACACCGTGGAAGAACTTAATGGCGCTGTCCCCGATCTTCTGGCTGCATTTGCTCGCAGCGTCCGCACCGAAGTCAGTACCCGTGAAGCGACCCTAGCACTGCGTGCGATTGAACTGCTCGCTCTCTCGGCCTTTGACAACACCATCTTTGAAAATGCCGAGCCTTTGCTCACTCGCACCGTCCGCGACGCCACCTCTGCCGTTGTCAAAACAGCTGCTATTCACTGTCTGGGCGCATGTACCATTTTCGGGGGTGCCGGTGAAGGTGGCATTCTCGAACAGATGACCTTCCTCCTGGACATCATCGCCTCTGATGGTCAATCTATCGAAGCTACCGACGACCCCACCGTGGTGACTGCTGCAATCCAGCAATGGGGATTCCTCGCAACTGAGATCGATGACTATGAGAGCGAGAGCGAAGAGGCCGTTCAGATCTTCATGGACCAGCTAGACAGCGCCGACTCCAATGTCCAGATCGCAGCCGGCGAGAACATCGCCCTCCTCTACGAGAAGAGTTATACCCCCCAAGAGGATGATGATGATGAGGAAAGCGAAAACTCAGAAGAAATCGACGACCAGAAGGTGGACAACACCCCTGGCCCCAAGCTGGTGAAGCGCTACAACGCATACCACAACACCCCTGAGCTGGAAAGCCAACTCCAAAACCTGGCCACAATCCACCACAAGCGCATCAGCAAGCGCGACAAGAAATCCCTGCACAGCAATTTCGCCTCCATCTTAACCACGGTGGAGAACCCACGCCGCGGTCCCCGCTACAACACAGCCATTGACCAAGATACCAACCGCCACTACGGCAGCACTCTCACCGTCAAGATCGGCCGCCATGGCATCATGAGCATCGACCGCTGGTGGAAATGGATTCGTTTGACGGCTCTGCGCCGCGTTCTCCAGGGTGGCTTTGCTGAGCACTACTTCCAGGGTAACCGAGCCGTTCTCGACAGTCTCCCTGTTATGATGCGCATGCCAGAGCAGGGATCTGGGGCGAATGATCGCCATGGTGCGCGGAAGGCGGCTAAGATGCGTAACTCGCGTCGCTGGACTGCTCAGCATTCGGATGACGATGAAGAATAAACTGGGATAACTGGATACGATACGACAATGGTTATGGATGTGCTACGGGTGGAGTATTCTTACCTTGCACACAGTGTTTCTACGATTGAATTCGGCTGCATGTTACTCTTTCTCTTCCCATTCTTCTTTCCCTGTTTATATGTTTCTGCTACTCCGTACTGTTGCATTCTTATTCCAAGCATTTCTTGATTTGACTTGACTTGATCTTCTTGACGACCCAACGCTTGAACTTTGTGCATACTTCAATGATACTCAACCTGCCCTTTTCACTACAAGACCACAACAACCATATGTAGCATACCAAACGGTACTGAAAAGTAGTCACGATTTATCTCTATAGAGCGAAGAAGGTCCTGCCCAATCCAAATCTCCCGCCCACAGAGCGAAGATGGACGATTCTCACCATGCACGCAGAAAGTAGAAGCAAAAGACAGACATTCATCCAGCATGACCATAACTTTCTCATCATCAACATAAACATCAACATCCTCAACCAACCAAACCCCAACTCTACCCCTCAAAAACAGGCACAACATTCGACCAACTCCCCCTAGCCCTTTCCTCCCAATACCCATCCTTACCTCCCTTCAACCTCCAAACAACCTCACCATCCGAATCCCCACTAATCCGCGTAAACCAGCGCGGAACCCAAACCTCGCCCGCATCCTCCATCTCCCGTCTACGCGCGCGCTGACCCTCTTCAAGCTGCACCTTGACTTCCTCCGCACGGTCCAGATCCCCATCCTCCAAAGCCCGCTGATCAGGGCGGAGACGGGAGTCCGTGGCGGGGAGATGACCCTTTTCAATCGAAGTGATCTCATTGAGTGAAGCCGCGAAGGATGTCAATCCGTAGTGTTTTGGCGCGGATGGGACGAGGGATCCGGCTGTCCAGACTGTCTTGCCTGTTGGGTTTCCGTCACGGGTGAGGGTCAGCGATGAAGGCCATGCACCCGACAGACCAAGCGGGAGGGGTTTGTTATTGCTGTCGACGGCGCGAGTGGAGACTTCCTCGCTGCGGCCGGAGAACATGCCGCCGGCTTTGAAGGTTGAGACAGTGCGGTTGCCAGAGGATTCGTTTGTGACTGCTAGTTCGCCGACTGGCTCGACGTATTTCTCGCCTGCGATGATATTGCGCAGGAAGGAGGTTGCGGGGGTCCAGCTGTAGTGTTCGCCTGTGGCGTGGAGGGTGATGCGGACGCGGCCTTCTGTAGTGATTTCGGCGGACTTGCCCCAGAACTTCTGGCTGGGCATAGGGGACTGGCTGAGGGACCATTCCTTGCTGTCCGCTTGGTAGGCCAGTTGGACGGGGCGGTGCGAGACTTTCTCCGCTACGAAGCGGAAGCCGCGGTCTTCGCGGACGAGCTCGTATGTCTCGCCAAGCATTGGGTTGAAGGGTTTGCGGATTGAGCGTTCGCGGACGCGATTGCTTGAGAGGGAGGAGATGGCGAAGGCGGTTACGTACATTAAGCGTTCGGTTGCGTCTGTTGACTGGCCTGCTTGGTCGAGCAGAGAGGAGTATTCGAGGATCTCTGCTGCGCGTTGCAGGAGGGACAAGGGCTCGTTTGCGGAGACAGGCATGGAGATGGTGGACAGGTCCTTGCCGACGTTCTTGCGCAGGAAGCCGATCAAGCTCGGAGGCATGACGGTTGGAGCGAGGATGTTCGCGCGACGCTTTACGGGATCCAGAGGCAGCGGGATCAGGGATTTGGGCTTGGTTGGGAATAGACCTGATACACTGCCACTCTCCTGTCGAGTGTCGGATTCGCCATCGCTGTCGGAGGGGGCGTCGTCTTCGACTTCCTCGGCAGGAGAGGCAGGTCGGTCCTCCTCGGGGCGTTCGTCGTCGCTGTCTTGAATGGTCAAGAGGGGAGACCTGTCACCACCTCCGTCGGTTGCATCGAAGAACTCTTGCGAGATATCCGACTCCATACTCCGCCGCGGAATGATAGATTGCCGAGGCAGGTGCCGTCTATCCTTGCTCTCAGCAATCAACGTAGAAAATTCCGAAACAGCAGTATCAAGGTCGTGCAATACAGCCATCAGATGGTCATGGATCTCATCCATCTGATCTGTATGACTATGAATACTAGCAGGCTTTCCCTTTCCATCTGTAGGAGGCACCACAAGTTGCGAAGAACTAGAGTTCGAAGTCACGGCATTTGGACGCTTGCCACTAGCATGCGACTGTCCACTTGTCTTGCGCTTCCAAAACGGCCGTCTAGGCTCCTCACCAGGAGTGGCATCGTGAGAGTTCGGCTGAGGACTGGGCGACCGGCCACGAGACTTAGGCCGGTCAATACCAGTCGGCATCGGCGAAGTCATGTATTTAGGGTCCGTATCTTTAGCCAGGCGACGCACGGCATCCCGTGACCCAGAAATCTGGCTCACCAGACGCTCAACGCGGGTCCACTCGCTTTCCTCTGCTGGCGAGGGATGCGATGGTGCATGCAGGCGCAACTCCGGAGGAGCGGCCAGACTGGCATTGCTATCTTTCTGAGCATCCTTAGAGGAAGCTCTCTCCAAAGCACGCTTCCACGCGATAAAGTCTTGATCATCACTGGCGCGGAGATGCCAGATCTCAGTACCAGAATCGATCGAGATCTCACGCGATTTTTCGTTGGTCGCGACAGCCGCTAGCGAGAGCGGGATCGCGCCTCGCAGAGCGGCTGAGTTGCGGTCATGATAGTATGACAGGGTGCACGAAGTAAAGTCCAAAGAAAAGAACCGGCGTGCCCAGCCCTGGTGACGCTTTCGCCGCCGCTTCTGCAGCAGTCCCGTGTGGACATTTGCGTTGGATACATCTTGCTGCCCGTTGAGCGTGGCGCGACTGTTTCCTCGGCGGCGGGTCT